GGGCATTATGCCAGTCCAACCCAAGACGCAATACCGATCCTTCGAGCAGCTTCCAGAGAGACCACCATCTTCGCCACGGATGTTACTCCTCTGCATAGTACGTCCTCATTCTCGATCAACAGACCGGAACCGCTACTGCAGTCTTGCCGCCCACCATCAACAAGCTGGGAGATCTCGTCTTTGCCGCTCCCTGGCTCTCGACTTGTGTTGAGATGCAGAATACCTACAGTCCGTCAGCAGCCGTCTTACGTCGTGTATCTATGGACGACCAGGGGCAGTTACCTTTTGGGAAGACACCAGACCGGAACTGAGCATCCCCTTGTCTACATACCTCGCCCAGCCGGCACGTGCGTATCACCGCCGAGTCCACCGACCTCCAGTCATCCTGCCAGAAGGTGGCCCCGTCGTCCGGCGACTCGTCCGGCTGGCTAGGCCTTGAACATCACCCGTCCGCTTAAACGACGTGCGCAGGTCCCTCAACACGCTAAGGGATCTATTGTCAATGTTCGCACGCACCACATTGCGCTTTTCGGGTGACGGCAAGCCACCAACACTTGTACACGAGCGCAACGTGTTGGCATGGAATAAGACTTCGGGATGAACTTGGCACCATCGTCTTCCTCGCGACTTCGACACACGGCACAGAGTATGTTGACGTCTGTCGCTGAGTCGAGTCCATGCATGCCCCGGAAATCACCGTGGCCTCGAGGGGTTCTGTCCCCAGTCAGACAACGGTGGCCGGGGAGTGTTGAACCCGTCTTGACCGGCACGTCGGATCACCCAAACTGCAACGGGGGTCGAGGGCCTGATGTCCACCCTGGACCTCATGCAAATTTCTGCCCTTGGCCGACCTGAATGACCCGCAAAACAAATGCTCAAAGCTCCCTTTCCAAATTGCTGGAATTCCAACTAGCATGACCAACGTCTGTTGGGTTCTGCAAAGTCTAATGATTACCCTGCAACGTTTACGGATACAGTGAAGGCATGGAAAGAACATGCATAATAGACGTATCGACTGCACCCTGCGATTGATACGGCAATCGGTGCCTCAGAGACTTACCGGCCACGACAGAAGGTCGTTCTGACTTGGCGAGATCTGCCGCCATCATAGCATGCCAAACATGAACTTTCCGGCAGGCATACTCGACGCCGCATCTTGAGATTGTTGCAAGCCTTTCACGACGTTCTCGACATCGAGCTCAATGTTACCAGCCAAAGTCTGCATTTCCCCAGTCGTCCAATGTCGCCTACCTAGTGGAGGCAAGTGGAGGGAACTTTTTCAGAATCCATCGTCGGCAGCGTCACAGGTTGAGCAAGGCCTGGATACCAGGACCCTGGCATCAGATCTGACCTGGCCCTTCTAGCCCACCATAAACGGCATGGGAGCGAAAGCAAAGTTCTGACCTGCGCTGTGCCAGTCATTTTTTTTGGGTCAAGACGGGCATTGCTCCGTTCGAATTCAGAACGACCTGTATCATTACTCATTCCAGCAGCGCAAACTAGGGAATGGAGCGAAATGGTCTCCGCAAGTATCGACGCCCCGTTAAGGGCATATTTGACATGGACTCTGCGACACCCGGTTATCTGCAAATGCAGAGATGACTCGCATTCGCGGAGCTCTCCTGATAACTCATCTTCATCCTTACGGCGCAAGCTGCAGAAAATTCATTGACGATTCAATCTTGATTCATTTTCCAACCACGGTACTGGCACCGCGTCAACCTACCAGTCAACCAGCCGGGATGCGGTGGGCTTCATCCGCGGCGTGAACACCACCGAGTCTGGACAAGGGTTGAGACGCCTGGTATCCAACAAGTTGGTCATCACTTCTGAGAATTGATACAAGCCAGGCTACCGGTTCTCGCAATTTGCTAAAGACGCAGCGGTGATTCGATTTCACAATGACACAAGGCCTTCAGCTTTATGGGGTTATGCACGAATGATTTGCCGAATTGAGGATCGCAAGAACGATAACCAATGATGCTGTCTGAGTTGCAGCATAGAAACCCTGTCATACGGACGCTGTTGCGAAATTGAGACGACTTAATCCCCCAAAGACTGGCTTAACTAGCCAGGCCAACTCTATTCGTGATGGTCTCCATCCAACCCTTGCGCTCGCCGTAGCGGACGGGGCTGGCCGGATCGGAGGTCGGAGCCGTCTCCGCGGCCTCTTGGAAAGCAGTTCCTGCAGGTGGATAGAGCAGGACCAGCGATCAGCACTCTCAGTATGCCTCGGCCGAAGCTGCCACAGAACGACGAAGAGACTAGAGACCTTTGTCAAGAGTTCTGATCGTGGATTTTCTTCGCCGATCTGCCCCCAGATATCGACGGCTTCTATAAACTCCGCGCGCCACCTCGAGGAACGAATACAGCCCGCAAGATGTGGCAATCCATCACTTATCTTGGATTCAGGGAGCTCGTTAGAACTAATGGCACCTTTGACGAGGCCACACGCCTAGGTTACTTCCTCCTTCCCAATAACCCAGGAAGAGCGTACGTTCATTGGGCGAGCATCACTCCATCGTGCCCGACTGTATCAGGAAGCAAACATTTACCCTGGAAGGAATGCGCCCCGCCACAATATTACCAACAAGCGCAACTTCGGCGCCGGGGACCAGGAACAGCATCCGGTTGTCTGCAGTGGCGACCCTCGTCCTTTTAGCTGTCGTTGGTTCCCGTACCTGGCTCTCGGGCGTGTCGTGCTCTTGAGGACGGAGTTGGCGGGACGCCGCAGACCCGTTTGGTGTGATGACCGATCCGCGGCCTTCATCCTGGCTTCCGCTCCAGGCTGCATACGCGGCTGCATGGAAAGCACCAACATGTACAGATAGTCAGGAGCCTCGGCGATACCTGATCTCGACAATTACAGCCTTTGCAAAATTCGATTTCATTATTCACGCTACATGGACTTCCACGACGGTTCAAATCGAGCGGAGAAAAAACTCTAAGGATGTTGGTGAGCATCAACTACCATTCCGTGCGCAACCACGAAAATCAATATACACCTACTCGTACCACCCAAGGTCTTCAACAATTGCTCTGAACTACTAAAAACATCCATACGGATAAGAGAATAACATATTCGGGCCCATCGCTGGACTAATGCACGGCCGACTGTTCAACGTGCTTCCCCGGGACGGTTGGACCCTGAACTGCGGGCAAACACCTCCGCCCTTCCCCACTGCATCACAGAACTTGGCGCACTCACTTTCACGCCGTCTCGAGTTAGCAGCTCTTCGCGTCATAAGCGGCCAGCTGGTTGAACTCTTTCCTGCCCACAATCTTGGCTTTGTGCCACTTGGAATAGCTGAGGGAGGCTTTGCGCCAGGGCTGTTTCCAATTCAGGGATCCCACCAGAACGTCCTTTCATCCAATACACACCGTGGAGTTCGAATGTCTTATTTGATGAGGTAACAGTTTGGGATCAGATTTGATTTGATCCCGCAACGAGGCAAACTGCGTTCTTGATCGTGTCGGTTTTGCGTTTTGGACGTAGCTGGCGGCCGGTTGGCTGTCTCGCCCATGACTACGCAAGAATGCGCCATGACGTTATTTTAGATTGACGTCGAAGGCTGGGTGTTGTCATCGAGGCAACTTGCCATTTCCGTACCGGGATCGTACTGAAATTGCTGGTCATTTCAGATCACCACGAGCGCTTTTCTTTGGACGAATTCGGCACAATGATCTCCTCATGAGAGTCAACGCCCGTCCGCCTGACTTGGATTATTGACATGTTGTTCAACACATCGTCAATCTATCGGTTGACTAAGCTTGGAGGGGCGACTTTCTGACAGTGGGCTGCTTATTCTGACGGCCGCGAATGCCGCAGCTCAAGGGCAATCGATCTAGCTGCAGCGCTATCCTGTGACGAGAGCGCCACGATAGTGCGAAAATCGCAAAATTCTCCGTCAACATCCATCCATCTTAGGATAGCTTGAGAGTTGGTGGCCCAGCTTGCGAGAAAAGCCTGACTTCGCTGTCCTTGGAAAGCTGGACTGGAAAATGATATTACAGCTTATCAGCTCAGATTATGGCTCCGGATCAACCTGGAAGTTGGGGAAGGCGAATGGGTCGGAGGTGACACCGCGCGTGGCACTTCATTGCCTGGTCCACGCCAGTGAGAACCAGCCCAAGATCCTGCAGCCACTTCATTTCAGTGGCTTCATGATGAATAGAGTTCTGCTGTTTTTAGCCTGGGACGAACACCTGCAACAGCTTTTCGGGGGCGAAAATGCGGTCGTCGCATGGGATTGAGACATCCCCTTCAAGCCGGGGGCGACAAACATGCGGCCTTCCTCGGCGCGGCCAGAGCGTCGCGTTAGCTCCGAGGCGGCCAGGACGGTCCCTGGCGATCATCATGGAAGGGCTGCCGAATGCTTCACGACGAGCTTCATCAGGTTGGGCCACTGAGATATCACTATTCCGTACGGATGGGAGATCTGCCTCGGTTGATAGGTCGGCGACCAAGGCAACTCCGAAGAAGCAGGCACGGTGATTAATTAACGTGTTAATATGGCCGCTGGTAAGTGCATGTCTCAGACCTCGTCATTGTCGCATGATTAGTACTAACTATCTAACTCCGCTCAACGGTGGGAGGCACCCGCTAAAGAATATACAAGAAGAGAAAGTGATCGACAAAGGAAACAAAGACTCGAGTCTAAATCAAGCTCGAGACTTTGAAGCGTCGTTTGAGAAGAGGAAAGTCGTTTTCCCCCCCCCCCCCATGGCGTCGATTTTGGTTCATACACCAAGGCACATCGATCTTGGCCAACAGACCCTGAATCATGAATCGCGTCGACGCTGGGGAAATGGGCAAATGGACCCATATCGGACTCGCACCTGACTCTATCCTCGGCAAATGGCACTCTCAACGAACATGCTGATCGTGAGAGACCATCGCCACGGGTCATGGGGTTTCCGCAAATAAACACCATGGATCTGCGAGACGGCGTTCGCATGAACACCCGCCCGGCACATGACAGCCGTCATGACAAGCACACCTACTGCGGCGCATAGACGAACGCCAACCTGTCCATCTCATCCCCGTCCCGTCCCAAGAAGCCGACGATCTGCCATCCAGCGGGGGCCGTGTGCGTCGCGCACTCAGAGGTCGAGGTACCGGCCGCCAGCGTCTTGCCCGCGCTAGTCGTCGCCTGGATGTAGAAGTTGCGCGTCTGGCCGTCCTTCTGGCCCCAGCAGAGCTTCGCGGCGGTCCAGTACTCCGAGGCGCCGAGCGTCAGAGTCGCCGCGGTGCCCCCGGTGCCGCCGTGCGTCAGCGCCGTGCCGTCGGCCAGAGTGAGACCCACGGAGTCGAGACGGTTGGAGCCGCGGAAGGTCAGCACCGAGGCCTTGGGCTTGGTCTTGCCGGCCAGCGTCGGCAGGTCGGAGAACCAGTCGCCGTGCGGGCCGCCGGAGAAGTCGGACTGGCGCAGGGTCGAGGACAGGGACCAGGTGAAGTTGGCGGTGATGGGGTTGTGGTCGGACAGGATGCTGCCGTTGGACTGGAGGAACTTGCTGCTCTCGTAGGCGAAGTAGGTCGCCTTGAGGTCCACCACCGAGTTGCCGCGGTAGAAGGCCTTGTCGACGGTCTCGCAGTAGTTGGTCGTGCTGGGGTTGGAGCAGAGCGTCTCGGCGGTGGGGACGACGCCGCCGCGCTCGAGCTGCAGCCAGACGTCCGTCATGCCGTTCTTGGAGGCGAAGACACCGATCTGGTCCGAGGTGCGCGTGTAGCGGCTGTTGGTGTCGCCAAAGACGAGGACGGCATTGCCGACGGACCAGGTGTTGATGTAGTCGGAGACCTGGTTGAGGTTGCTGTTGCGGGCCGTCAGGTCGTCGGCCTCGGTGCCGGCGTCGGTGTGCAGGTTGTACACGTCGACGTAGACGCCCTCGGCGATGCGGGCGCGGAGGAAGGTGAAGCCCTTGGGGGTCAGGCAGTCGGCGCCCGAGGCGTTGGAGCAGGTGTTCCACTTGACGCGCTCCAATTCGATCCAGTCATAGTTGGAGAGGGTGTTGAGGCCGGAGCCGAAGGGGACGCCGCCCGAGGTCGCAGTCCGGTAGGGGTGGGTGTCGGTCTCGTAGATGTAGGCGTGGTAGTTGAAGTCCTGCGCAGGTGGCACGACTGTTAGTCTTTTTCTCGAGGTTCATGGCAGATGATCTGAAACAATGACATCTTGGTGTTGATGCGTTGATGGATGTACCCTGCGACGCGGCTTGAGACGGAGCAACCGGTGGCTCAAGCTCCCGTCAGGGATATCATGAAGTAGCAAAGCATTGTGAGTATGGCGGTGTTCCTTACCTCTTGGACATTGATGATGTCGTAGTTGTACTTGGCAAAGTACGATCCCATGGTCCTGGAGTTGGTCGTCTTATCGCCCGGGACCTCGTTGTTCTGGAGGAGCTCGGGGAGACCAGCGACGTTCATGGCGAGGACGGTGAGGTCGCCGCTCGTCTGGGCGAGGGCGCCGGAGGACAGGACGCCTCCGGCGAGGAGCATCTTCATGGAGGACTTCATGATGAGCGTTTGTCTTTCTTACAACTGCGTGCGGTGGAAAACAAGATGGCACGAGAGAAGGCAGAGCAGAGCAGAGCAGAGCAGATGTTGGCGATGGCGGCGCTGAAGAACGAAACAAGACGAACGGTGGCGAACAGCGGCGAGTGTGATATTTATTAAAGCTGAACCACGAACGCAACCACGAACAGGTTTCTTGGCCTACGCATCCCCGCAAGGTTACTACTTTTAAGCTTGTCGCTTAAGCAACGAACAATATCGACGACGCGAGATTGAATCGAGAAGGTGACATGGTGATGTGCGAGTCGTCTTTTTTTTCCTTGGGGCTCGTGATGGGTGGGAACGGTTTCCGCCTCTGCCGCTCCAAGGAGAGAAGAAGAAGAATGACAATCTCGCGAGGCCCCTCATCAACCCTCACCGCAAACCACAAATTGCTGCGCGCTCAGCGGCACTTGTGCCCGAATCGGTAGTTGACACACCGTGACACCCCGGTCTTATCGAGTTGGCGATGTAACCCGCCGCCAGGCACATGGCTGCGTTCGTTGGACGCGAGGCGGTCGCATTGCTTCGGGCGTCCGGGGGAGGAAGGCCGCTACTGCTGTTGATATATGAGGGTGACGAGTTCTAGTTTGCCAACTTGTTGATATTGTAAAGACACGTGAAGATCAAGAATTGGTGATGGTAGTAGTCTAGTCTAAGTTGGAGATGCAGAGAGATCTGGGCGGATGCTGCCGCGAGCCGAGTTCACGACTTGCGCTGCATGGCGCATGTTGAATGTGTGATTGGACGGCGATGGGGATCGTTGAGATGAGCTTCAATACTTTATTTTCCTGTCAAGGTGAAGTTTATCGGTTCACGTGGATCCACGTGGAGTGTCTTGGCCACGAGATTCGCTCGGCCGGGCATCTCCTTGCTTCGCCAATACTCAATATTCCCAATTCCTTCACCGTGAAGACCCACGATGGGCAGAATTTATTGATATGGGAAATCTCTTGTTTCGGAGAGGCTCCCGGGCGACCGGACCACGAGGCGGCCCTCTACGGCCCCCAGGTCCCTTGGCCTTCTCGGCTTCTATTTCCGATGAGAGGCCCACCGCAGCCGGCGGGATAATTAAGAACCATCTTATTCTCCTTCTCGTCGTCTCGAACTAAAGATAGGATGAAGAATGGTGTGTGAGGTCTCCTCTCCCCTCCGCGGGGGGATGACGAGGCCGCCTCGGATGAGTTTTGTCTCGGGGTCTTTGACGTGAACTACAACACAATGCTCAACTCCTCTTCCGAAGAGGCCGTCGCCAGGCATCCGTTGACGATCGGGGACCTGCGACGGCGTTCGCGCTTTCGCTTCCTCTTTGTTTCGGTAGTGGCCGGGGATGGCCGGCCTCTTTCTTTCGTGGCTGCGCCGGGCAGTATTGTCGCAGCCGCCCCGACCCGGCGACGTTTGCGAGGAGCTGCTGTCCCTCCCCCCGAGAATTCCGTTGGGGGCCGGTCGTCGTCCGAGGATGCGGCAAGTTCCACGGAAGGGCTTCGCGAACCGGGCAAGCGAGCAAACAATACTTTCTTGTTGCATATTACTTACACACACGTTTCCAGTGGTCTGGACCGGGCTGGCTGGCCGTCCGGCAGTTTCTGCGTCTAACCCGAAGTACCATTTTTAGACTCGATCTGGTTTCCAAATGTCTATCGCCCACTAGAGAAACCTAGCCTGTTGGTCGCGAGAGGCGCGGTGGAGATGAACTTACGTCGTCCGTCGCCTTGTTAGTTGAATTAATTCCGTGGAATCACTGGCTTCTGTCGGGTGTGTGTTACCAACAAGCGTCCCCTTTGTTCCTGGTCGTGTTTGGAGCTAGGAAAGTGTGCCGCCACCACAGCGTGGCGGCAAGACAGGCTGTTTCTTGGCTTTTTTCGTCTCAATCGGCTCACTTCCCACGCTCTCGCGCCAGTTGCCATTGCTTTGGAGTTGCTATCTCTGCGGCATCTGGTGTAAGTCGCGCCCGTAATTGCCAGGGAGACGACAACGTCATGACTCAACGATAATCCGATGTGTCCTCTCCAAGTGCGACTTAACGGACATCAGCTGCCATTGCCTTGATGAGCAGAGGGAGGCGAAGTTCCTCTCATAATGCCGTTTGTGATGCGATAACGGGCAAATGACTTGACTGAAGGGATTCTATGACTCGGTGCCTGTTTGGGAATGTCTGCGCACGGCCCCGGTCGTGATCAGGGTCCGCCGTCGAGGTCTGGTCGGGAGGGCTGAGCTCCGGGTCTCAGGATGTGTCGAGGGCTCTCCATGCGGAGGAGGAGGAGGAGGGGTGGATGGTGGGGGGGGGGGAACATGGGGGATCACGATGAGCTCGGTATCCTTTCGGAGTTCTGAGATTCTCGTTGTTGCATGCTGATGGGTGCAAAGGCAAAAAAACAGCAGTCTTGACATTCGATATCACGGACTGTGTTATTGAGACTTTCCGGGGTTGAGGGTTGAGACCTGTTATGCCATGTGGCCTTCCTGCCCTACCGGCGGCGACGCCGAGGGTTTAAACTTGGACGAGTTCGTGTGTGATTCAGCTCCAACCCGGGTGCCTTGTCTTTGACGACCCTTGAATTTTAAATCTCGTTGCGTGATGCACGTATTTTGGTCGATGTAAGGACGAAGCGTAATCGTGGTCAGCGAGTTGAGATGTGACATGTCCAGTGGTTCACGGCATTTGATGAACGCCATCGTGTTTGACGGCGTTTGATGAACAAACAAACTTGAACTTGACATCTTGAATCATCGGCAGATGCGTTTGAGACGCTTTCTCTTGGTGATCGAATGATGATGCCTTCTTCCTGCATCTCAACGTCGTTTGTCCGTCGTTAGTCAGCCGGCGAGTCGGCGAGGAGGTCTAGACCCGGGTTACCATTCGGCGAATTTCCATGTGGATATCCGTCTTTGACAGCGGGATGCCGGCCTTACCTTGGACGAAAGACACTGTCCTCCCGTACCGTCCTCGCAGACTATCCAGTAGTGGTGGACGGATGCTACTCGGCGTCGTAGTACTCCTGCGTCTGGGTGACATTAAGCATGATAACGTTACGGGCGTCGGATGTTGTCTAAGAGACTACTAGGACGCTTTCTCACTTCCACCCCACCAGGTTTGGACCCTGATGCAGAGAGGTCGTGGTGCCCTGAGGAAGCAACCCTGTGCCATGCTTGACGTGATTACGTGCTTGATGGAGGAGTAAAACTTCCCCGTTCATTCGGTGTCCTTGTCGTCCGCCAGCCAAAATGGGGCCTTGCTGGAAGCCTCAATCTGTTGAATCCAGGGAACCGGGCATTTGTGGATAGCAAAGGGCAGGATTCGTCGTCCAAGAAGGCTTGGATTTGCATCTCCACCACCAATTCGTCATCGAGACTTTTCCGCCGGGGGAATGTGGGATGGACATCGGGCCAGGAAGAATGGATTCAAGGGACCGGAAGTGTCGATGGGGCGGAGGGGACAGCCAGCCTTCGGCACGGTGTTGATAGAGGCTCTTGCGCCGGGCCCGGCAATGGCGTTATACGCGGACTGTGGAAACTTGGATGGAGCGGGATTTGCAAGTATCGAGGCGTGAGTGAACTGGGAAGGCCTTACTTGCGAAACCTCGGGGATGTGCCCTTGCGAGAGTCATGAAAAGGATATCTTGCCAAGACAGCTCTTGCGCGATCAAAGCTCCCTCTCCCACTATCCGTGTACAAGAGACTTGCGCTTAAGAGGATGATCCTATCCGTAAACCACGTTTTTTCTTTTCTTTTATGTACCGTGAGAAACTCACATGGTGCGTGGCCTTCTAGAAAGTGGTTTATGCAAACGAAGCTGGGAAAATCATGATAATTCGTTGTTTCTCATGTTCGGATCTTCCACCGACGGTAACAACGACAGAATTGCTACCATCGTGACCGTCCGGAACCAGCCGGCAGCGACTGTGTCCATGTGCCTTTGGTTTTGTCGTCAGGTTGAATCATTTTTGTCTTGTGAGCGTCAGGGGAGGCGTGGAGCAGAGAGCGCGATGGGACGGATTAAGCGGTTTTGCCATCGTGCACACGTCGGACCGGAGACGAGGCCAGTGCTGGGCGTGCATCTGAACTATCTGCCCGGGTCGGAGTTGGCGAAGGAGCGAAAGTTGAGCTGAACTCTGTTTCCCGTTTTCGAGAACATTACTCATTTGAGGCTTGAGAAGAAGTCGAAGTTGCAAGTTGCTGGTTCAATCGCGGATGTCTTCGTGATGGCGGCAGACGGAGTCGGTCCCGGGGATGACACTCCGGACTGACGGAACTTCCTGACGAAGCCGCCGTTCTCGCACCGGCCGATTTGCCGGCCCTCAGAAGGCCGAGGGAGCAACCCGGCACGGCGGTCGTGGAGCCACGCAGCCAGTCGCATTCCTAGTGGCGTTCATTTCATCATCTTGATTGAAGTTCATTTCTTTTCCTCTCACTCACAGAATCCCCTCTCCTCTACCGCGGTGCGCCCGGGCCCCTCGTGCCCACACACGTCTGATATCACAATCATCCCACGAGAAGCGTTTCACAGACCTGTGGGATTTCTTTCCGTCGCGAGGGTTTTTCCCTCTCGCCGCCCGGGTCCCTCGCTTGCCTTTCCGTGTCTGTGCGTGCCAGGATCACGGCTTCGTACCGACTGACAGGCCCCGTCGAGAAACTGCTATCCACGCGAACATCCTCGGTTGACCCCTCTTTTACACTATGCGTGAGCGTCGTGCCGGTGTCATTGATCACATCATGGACTCCACGCCACGAAGCGGGCGGACAGACGCGCGCCTTTGTAATATTCGGTAGTCTCAGGTTGATATTGACCAGGTGTCAAACGACAAGCGACTCTTGGGAGACTGGCACAACTGGGCACTTCGATAAGGTGGCCTCCATGCCTCCCTTGCTTCGCTTGACGTTGCGGGGGCAAGCAAGCAAGCAACCGACAGGCCTTCAGACAGCTGGATGTGGACGCGCGGGGGTTCCATCCTCGCACACTAAACCCAAGCTGCAGCTGTCAATGCGGGCAGACAGAGGCGGTTTCGGTGACCATTTGCGCTGTGATGGACGACTCTGCAGTCGGTTTTTCTTTTCTTCTTCTTTCCGCACTGACCTCTCCTCCAGAATAGGCAGTCTACTACCCCTCCCCTTGTCTCCATGTTCCTGGCGGGCCCAGGTCTGATCCCTTGTCGATATTCCTTTTCGTGTTAAGAACGGGCATCGTGGCCGTCAGGGTTCTGAAGCTGTCTGGGCTGAAGAAAAGGGGGCGTGGACGTAGATGTTGTCCTCACTCGAGAATCACCTGCAGGTTGAGACACAAGTCAAATTGAATTAAGAGAAGCTGGGCAACGTGCTCGCAGCCGTCGACGAGGGGTGATTGACGCCGGTGAGAAATCGCCTGCAGGACAATGACACGACACCCCACTGTGATGTCCACCGTTAGACATTGAGATCGGCCCAGCACATTCCCTCGACGGCTTGAACGCACGGGGGGGATTCTCGAGTCGGCATATCAGAGCAGGTATCGCTATCGCCCTATCGCGGGGCACGTGGTGTAACCTCATGAATCTTTCAACTTCATGTGTGCAATATGCCGTAAAGAGATGGGACTATAACCTGTTATCTACAGGCATATCGCCGCATATCGATCCAATCTTTGCAGTTGCCAAAGTCTACGCGTGCAAACTGCGCATTTCGGCGAGAGATTAGGACTGCGGACTGGTACGTAACCACATGCGTGTTGCCTTACAAGTATCATAGTAAAAGAACCATAAAAATATCGTCATGTCATGCTTTCCTCCACAAGGGGCCAGGCTGGCCGAGAAACCTAATTGCCAAAAGCCTCCGCCCGCCTACCGAAGATCAGACGAAGACAGGAGAGGAATCCCAAGTCGACAACATTCGCTTGCCTGCCGATGACACAACTTGGTAGGGATGACCACATGGAAAACTCATCAGCGGAAGAAGGAGAGCCTGGGCAAGGAGACCCCGCCGGTGGGCGGGATGTTGTAGGCAAGGGAAGAACATCGGGCTCACGTTTCATATCTCGCCGATGGCTACAGGGTTCCCGCGGAGGTGACTTCCTTGGGGATTCGGGGTGGAATGAAGCAATTGGGGAAATTTGCTGGTTATGCAACTAGACGCTACGGCGGGTTCGTACGAGTTCGTGAAACGGCGATGCTCGAATTGATTTCCCTTTCGCTGTGTCGCTTGGTGGGCGTTTCGACCTGACGGACAGCTTGCGACGGTTGTGATTTCAGAGACCGTTGGATTTGGGAGGGTATATCAGTGATTTGTAAGTTGCCTTCAACGTACGATATTGCCCTGTAAATAGTATGTCGGTTTCTTGCATGCATGATATCGTGACGTAGTTAGAACTTAACATATCGATAACACACTCTCAGGAAACTTTCGGGAGCTGGGGTTATTTTCGTTCTAAGCCCGGAAACTGTCGTGTTTGACAGCTGGTTCTAAGAGTTTACATCCATAGCAGCATGGTTGTTGATGGCCAATATGAGAACGATGGCAATGAGACAGCCATAATGACAGCTTTTAATGGCCGAAACTCGGGACTATGCGCTTCGTTGCCATGTTGATGCACACAGGATTGAAACATGGTAATCAAAACGGGGAACTGATCGTCGAATAATGTTCAACTGCTGTTCGTAACACGAATATCGCCATGCAAGTTAGGTTGTGACAATGGCATGAGCGAGACCGGAGCATAGGTAGAAATGGGCTTAGGACGGGGGCCTTGCATCAAACCCTGTGTTCTGTAAGCATCACGAATCTTAAGATGGCAATCATATTGACAAGATAAAGGTATTCCAAAACATGAATCATAAAGAGTTCAGCTATGTTTTCCAGAAGATTGGCAATATTACCGAAGATCATACCGACCTACCGAACGCCATGCGCAGTATTCTCAAAGCCATATTTTGCAGTATAGCCTCAATATATTCATATACAGTAGCTAATTCGATTACGAAGTCTTGAAAGCCCTATCATTGCTAACAGCGTTTTGAGACGTGGTGAGTGATACTTTTGTTGGGAATTTGTCTGGGATAACTCAACAATTGAACATCTATCTGTGATGGCCAATCTTGCATAGAACGACGGACACTTCTTTACCCTTTCCGTGTCTACATAATAATATGTTGATATTTGCCTGGCTGTGATGTTTGAGGGCCTAGAATGACTGAGTAACAGGTAGCTAGGCTTGAGTCCGTTAGACTCGATATTTTGGAGCCAAATAGGCAAAACAACTGATTTAAGGATGTTAGAGTCCGTGATGTCCAAGTTGGATTCAGTCGTTGGAGTATTTCGACTCGTCGGTACCAACTCCTAGATATTGCGACCGCGTCTTGTGACCACGTTTATATGTAAGATTTCCCTCGCGAAGAAAATTCGAACAGCTCAAATACATTTTGCAATGTGTTCCTAATCAGTTTTCAAGCTCAATACGCTCGCTCTCTTTCGTTGGAAGACGGGAGCCGCACGCAGATGTCAAAATTCAATGGGGTAATACTCGTTAAAATTGCCTTTAGTTTCTTACTTGCCCTTCTTCAGGAACTGACGGGCACGATCTCTCCATCTCGGGACATCTCCAGTCAATGTTATGGTCTAGTTAAGAACCATGAGGTCCCCATCTCGGTCCTTCTCGTTGGACAGGGCCCGCTCTTCCCACCTAGGGCTCCGCAACCGCACAAATGTCAACAAACAGAACCAATCCGATATGGTGTAGTGGCCAACATGATGCCCTCTCATCTCTTGAGAGGTTAGGCATAGCCCCGAGTTCGATTCTCGGTTTCGGAACATTTTTGTGTGTTCGGATGCCACATCTCTTTTGCTCGTAGTCATCCTCACCTTCTGCTGCTGTCGGGACTCGGAGGCCAATTTGCTGGGCCATGATCCATGACCACCAAGTTTCTTTGCTTTTTCCTGCTGTGTAACTCGACTAAAGTTTCCGTTGATCTCTTTCTGCAACTAGCATATCGGTGTACTCACATGACCACGTCGAAGAAGTACGGGCTTTTTATCACGAACCCTGCTCCTGAACAAGAATTAGTGAACGCCCTCTGGTCATTGGACGGGGAGCTTGGTTGCTTCTTGCGCGACAGGTGGACGATGCTACTTACTGGTTGCGAACGGTTGGTCCCCGATCAGGCGGCGAATCGGACTCGGGGCCAACATGCATACAAGAGGCCTGGACTCGCGTTGGTGCTTACGGTGATCGTTCCAGCTGCATGGTTTTGATTCGATACTCGCAGAGATCCATGCGAATTCTGGACAAGCTTATCAGTTTTCAAGGATCGCGGTGCGGCAGTCGCCATCGCAACTCTGACGCTGTCATATTGACCAATCTGCGTATTTGTGCGAGTGATTCGTGTAAGAGGGCAACAGCGGCCGGGCCTATTCAAGCACGTCATCTGGCTGTATGTAATATGAGATGCATGTATCCAGCGTCAACCCGATTTTGGTGTCTGGTCCCGATGTTACACGAGGCGAGTTTGGTCGAGGCCAAGTCAGAGCGTGCCTGCGGAAAGGCTGTATATAAGAAAGATAAAGACCTCTGTTGCATTCTGTTTGAGCCTACCTTGCCAGGACTTGTTGCTCTTTCTGTACAGCCTACCAACCTGACAGAAATTTCGATTTGTTTATTAGTAGCCTGGCATCATGGGACTTACTTCGTTGGCATGGAGTCCGACTTCTTGGGCCATTGTTTCTCTCCCTCTGGTCTATCTGCTAGGCAGCTGGGCTCTTGCAGCTCGGCGGCCGAAAGATTTCCCTCCTGGCCCTCCCACTGTTCTGGGACTGGGCAACGTTCTGCAGATTCCGCCAGAAAAGCCATTTCTCAAGTTCACAGAATGGAGGAAAACCTACGGTGATATTCTGGGTCTCACTGTTGGATCCCAAAAGATGGTCGTGCTTCAAACCGCCGAGCACGTCAGGGAGCTCTTCGAGAAACGCGGCGCCATCTACTCCGACAGACCCGCGCCTTTCCTCACGTCAAAGATCATTCACCCAGGGTCCGTCCTCTTCATCAATGACCCCACAGTCAAAAAATGGCGAACGGCGATGCAGTACATGTTCAGGCCTACCGAGCTGAAGCGAGTTTTCGAGGTCCAGGCGGCACACTCTGCCATCTTCATGCGAAAGCTCCTCGACAACCCTGAAGACTTCGAAGATCATATGAGACATTGGGCGCTGGCTACTCCGCTGTCTATCATAAGTGGACAAAAGGTGGAAGACAGCGGACCGACATCGACAGCAGTGTGGTACGGCACCCAGGCGAAGTGGCTTCGCTTCATGACACCGGCCAAGACACCCCCTGTCGACATTTTCCCCATCATGAAGCTATTTCCCGGGTTTCTTGCTGGATGGAAACGAGAAGCATTGGTCTTGAGAAAGCATATGCTTCGCTATGTATATCACATGCTCGAGGGTGCCAAGACACAGCATGCCAGCATATCGAAAGGGCTGCGCGGTCACCGTAACGAGTCCGTTATGTCGAGACTCATTACCGAAGGCGAGACTAATGAGGCTATACGCATGGACGAGGATGAGCTTGCGCGCTTTGGCAGCGGCACCTTGGATGCGGCGGTCGACACCGTCATCGCTACAACCCTGAGTTGCGTGCTATCTTGGGCGGCGTATCCGGAGGTGCAGAAACGTGTCCAAGCTGAGGTTGACTCAATTTGGGAGGATGAGGTGCCTTCCGGGGAGAAGCTTGCAGAAGCTAAGTATTTAAGGGCTGTCATGATCGAGGTAAGTCAGGATCACAACCGGCACACAAGAACAGAAGCTTACCGTCTTGCAGTCGATGCGCTGGCGTGGAGCTGCTCCGCAAGCCGTCCCACACGTCCTGACCCGTGACGACACATATCGCGGGTTCAGGTTCACCAAAGGGACAATCTTTATCATCAACGCCTGGGGTATCCACATGGATGAGAAGTGGTACGAGAAGCCCGAGGAGTTCAACCCGGATCGGTACATGGAGAACCCTTGGGGCGTCAGGCCAGAGATGAGGGACGCTGCCGAGAAGGAGAACCGCCGGCCAACGTACAACTTTGGCGCGGGCCGCCGGATGTGTCCCGGATTCGATTACGGCGAAAACCATATCTTAATCGCGCTGGCTAAATTGGCTTGGGAGTTTGACGTTGTGGCGAAGGGCCCTTTGGATCTAGACGTTGATACCGGGTACCACTCGGACTTGATTCTGGCTCCCAAGTCGTTTGATGTAGATTTTATGCCGCGAAGTGAGTCGAGAAGAAGCAAGATTCTGAAAGACTGCGAGAATGCGGAAAGGGTCGTGTCTGCTTGGGTGGAATGAGAGCGCTATGGAAGAATTGAATGGAACTTCGGGTTATGAGCGCACATTCAGGTCTCGAATTCGCTTATTGTCTATCGTCAAGTTGGGGGAAGCTTTTGTGATTGAAAGCTTCCATTACTGTAGAAGATGAAAAAGATAGTCTGCAACAAATTGCGTGAGCTTTCTATCTGCAGCGTAATGGTGATGTCTGGTAAATCTAAATCGAGAGGGACTGATATGTTGCCTGAACTAGAATGTATGCGGACGAGTCTTTTGGTTCATGAAGACACTGGCCTGGTGATCAAGGTGTGTTTCCGTAACATGTGTGGATTAGGCTGAGTATTGTGTGTTTGAGAAGATTGATATGGCTGTCAAATTACTGAAAACCAGCTTTTTGACATGTTGCACCGCCATTCAGACTTATTTACCACATATTCTCCCGTTACACTAACCGTTAACCACGACGCTTTGTAACTGAAAGTTTGATGCTGACTTTAACGCCTTGGTCTTCATTAGAATGCTAATTCCCTCAGTTTCAAGCCTGTGCCGTCTCAGATTCACCACTTACCGGCCGTGGCACGCGGTTGGTCGAGGAGACCGATTCAGTCTGTTGGATCAACTCACCAAATGTAATATGCCGCGCAATACAATGCAGCTACCCTTATAATCTAGTTATTAATATCTCAATATACCTAATGAGTATATACTTAACATTTAATATCCTGAAAGAAGAAAACTCTGTCCTGATAAGCTTCCTGGCGTACAGCGACGATGCCATGATCTAGTTGCTCCGCGTTGCCAGAAAATACAGCACGACCGGATTCTTGGATATCGAGGAGGTGCTGGGCTTTTTGAACGGGAACCAAGGCTTCCCTAGGTGCTAGCCGCTATCTCAACTTAGCTATGAGTCACGGATTGAACTGTTTGTGCCGGCGAATATGCCGCCAAACATAGCTATACAAACTGGCTTCCAGATTGCGATGAAGAAGCCAACCTAGAGAGTGAAGGTACTTCAAAGGATTCGAGATATCTATGGAAATGATTAGAAGCGGGTTCTTGGACATATGAAGATGGCTATCTACAGACGTGTTGACTGCAATAACAACATTGCTGACGACGACGAGAACTGGATCGATGACTGGATGACGAGAGGGTATCAACTCGCCCTATCCGACTTTTTATAGGGCTTGCCTTCTAGTTTCAATTGAACCGACCTTTTGTCATCAAAAATCTAGAGGTGATTTACAGTTGTCCAAGTTAGACATAGTAGAACAAAATTGTTTGCCCTTTTCCAAGATGATGACGAGCATCCATATTAGATGGCGTAGAGCATGAACCGGACGCAGATCGAATAGACAGACAATCAGGTGCATAAAGAACTGTTTAACCTTGATAGGCAAACTTCGCTCAGCCTATCAGTAGACAGACATTACCAAAGTGGCCAAAAGTTTGGACGACCGGCATTATTGAACTCCAAGACCTGCTGCCAGTCTGTTATCTTAGGTGTTTTTAGGGGCTCATGGTTGACAACGGCGTTCTTTCTCAGCTTCCTCACCTCATTGCACAGTGTGTCGGATGTCTCGGCTTCTCAGGATTTTCAGTCCTTGGCTGATGTAACGCAGCAGTATGTCAGCGTCTGCCTGTGTCCAAGGCAATGGACGAGCACTCCCGAATCAAGCCTTTGCTTTCAAGAACAAGAGACGACTAGATATGTTCATGAACAGAGGTTTCCAAACTGCTGAACTCCAAGCAAATAACAGTGCTTTTTGTTCTTCTTCAGACGGTCAAGAATGACTCGTAGTACCTGTTGGCGTACAACAACTCAAGACAGAGAAAGCCACCAACACCGCCACTAAGAAAATCAGCAGGCCAGGCTAATTGACGTCCATGCGAAAGCGAAGAGCCACAGCATAAATAATTGCCGTGCCACAGCCGTCCATCGCAGCCCGGACGAGCCGCAATCCGGTATCATTCCGATTTGGGAGCGCATCCCGGATCATCGGCAGGCGGAAAGATCGGATTTAATTGGTCCAATCGGCCGTCCCGTCCGTGATTTCCTAATTTGATTTTAATTGTTAATGCGGCGGTGCGCGCCTGCGCCTCACGCGGAGGGAGGACCAGCCAAGCTGAAAAAAAAAAAAAAGAAAGGCAGGGCGAGATTTTGTGTTGCCGCCCGCGAAAGCCACACCAAAACGCGTAAGACGCCGACCCCTCCATCATCTCACTTCTTCCAACCATCCTTTTAGCCTGGACATTAATTATCACACCGAATTTCCAAGCCCAAGGGCTGAACCGGACTCTCCGTTCCACCTTCCGCCCAGATTTGCTTGCCTGAGCCCGTCCATCCAGTCAGTCGCTATGTCAACGACCGGTTCCGATGAGGAAGCGAAGAGAAAGCGGGATAAAGTGGGAGAATTCCTGTAGGCGCGACATTTTTCCTTCCCCGTACCCTGCCTGCCTGCCGGCCCCCAATTACCTAGTCGGTCGGTTGGTTGGTCTACACCGCCTTTGACTGAACCCGGGGTCGCTGCCACTACGTCATTGACGACGTGAGAATTGATCGAACTGTTTGTTGACTTGGATGACAGGCAAAAGAACCTCACCAAAGGCGAGCTTGCCCTCAAACACGCCATCGGTCTCGGCCAGACACCAAATGTCGTCCCCGTGACACAGCCGTATCTGAATGGACCTCCTCGGCCTGTCGAGGTTGGATGGCATCCCGTCGGCGGTCTCGCCGGCAAGTGGTTCGCCGAAGACACCGGCCTAGGCAAGATGATCACCGAGAGGATCAAGTTCTATCCGGATCCGACGCAGCATTGGGCCGTACTGGTCGGCGACTTTGCCCACCAACTGTGGATGGTGAGTTTTCATCTGCAGCTACCTGGATGAGTGGATGATAGTCTCAGTTTCGCATACTAACTGCGACAATGATGAACAGGATGAGAACTTTCATGTCATCTACACCAACGAGAGATACAAGCGGGATGAGTGGCGGACATTTCCGGTAGGAGAGACGCGCTTCAATGACGACGCGATTCGGCGAGCCGGTGAGTTCAGACTAGCGACCCATCTCACATACTCGGCCTTACTGACGATGTACAGGTGAGTCGGTGATCCAGAACATTAGAGAGAGGCAGCCTGCGTATAACCTCATCACCAACAACTGCCAAACATACGCCCTGCAACTGCTTGATGCCATCAAGGTCGACGGCCAGAAGGACTTCGGCACTACACTTGCCGTCTACCACAGACTCACTGGGCATGGAAAGGTCATGGATCTGTTCGCCACGCCAGAGCAGCAGCAGCAACAACAAGCTGCTATTCAAGGGCCGCCATCACAACTCGCGCTACCGGCCCCGCCCGGCCCTCAAACAGGCTCACCGCTCGGCACGCCACCCCCGGGTTCTCCACCGTACGGCACACCGCCTCCGGGTGCCATGTACCCGCCCCCGCCTGGACCGCCGCCTCCAGGCATGTACCCCTACGGTCCAGGATCTCCGCCCCCCGGCGCGCATCCCTACGGACCCGGATCGCCGCCGCCTGGTCCCTACCCATACGGACCAGGGACGCCGCCGCCTCACCCGCCACCCGGCATGCATCCTTACGGTCCCATCACGCCGCCGCCAGGCTCCCAACCCTACTTGCCCGGTTCTCCACCGCCAAACATTTCGTACACTCCCGGTCCGCACGCGGGTACGGTCTCGTACGCCCAGCAGCTCATGCACGACAACACAACGCAGCTCAACACTGAGGACGAGGCCAAGAAGCACAGCGGCGAGAGAGGCATGAACGGGGACAAGAAGAAGAAGAGTTTCTTTTCACTATCACGCTTTACGAAGAGCTGAGGCTTCGAACTCAGTAACAGGAGCGGCAGACTCATGTTTTGAGGTGGCTCGTCTCAAACGCCATGCCCACTCCATCACGTCCCCTCTTACGGCCTAAAAGATGCATTTTCAGACGTCCACCACATGATATCCATAGAAGAGCCCATAGAGGCTATCCCGAGGCTGACACTAGTCAGCAGTACACAAGAGAGACCCCAACGCAGATAATGAACTAATACACCACAATAAATTTTGCAACCCAGTTGTTGCAAAGGCTCGCAAATTCTGTACAGCGACCTGCCACATTCAATCCCCGTTCATGCCAAGTGCACATGAAATTGGAAGTAATTAATATTAACGTGTTCAATGTATCTTAATCCCACAAATCCGATTCGTCGCTCCAATGATGCGTCAAAAAGAACCAACGCCGCTGGCCATGCATACCCGCCCAACCCTGCAACCCCTAATTGCTCGTCCCGGAAGCACCACCGCCAAAACTGCTTCGACCCATACTCGGATTCCCCGTCCCTCCCAATGCTGAGTTCGTCCCTTGACCGCCGTTGGGACTTGACGGCTGGCTCGAATAAGCCGGCGGAGGACCATCGGGATCCGACACATTGCTCTGGTGGTACCCCGAGGCATAGTTGTATGCCCCCTCAACACTATCGTACTGATATCCCGGAAATGTGCCCTGACCGATACCGTTGCGGTCGGTGTTGTTCTTTCGCGTCGAGGCGGCGGATATCCTGTTGTGTAGTTTCTGATATTGCGCCTGCTTCTTCTTCATCCTCCGCCTGGCACAGCATACGCACGTCGCGAAGACAATCGCCATGACTATTGCGACGCAACCGAATATAAGTGCGGGATGCGGACCTGGGCGCTGGGCTTCTGGTGGTTCGAAATCTCGTCTGCTGTTCTGGAGGGCGTTTATTTGCGTCTTGACGCGGTCGAGGTTGGAAATCCCCCGTGGTAATGGGATAGCCGGCATTGTGTATGTGTATGTATGTTGACGTCGGCTGACGAACTTGTGGCTTGTCGTCTCGTACGATGTTACTGATATTTCGCAGCTGATATGAGGCAAAGATTCTTTAGTTGAAGCTAACGATATTCTTTCGTGTATGGTTGATTTATTGAGTCTGAACTGAGAAATGGCAGATAATAAGTCTGTGTACTGTCGTCATGGAATGATGACTATATTTATTGAACCATCAGGTCGGTAAGACATTGGGCCAACTGGTAGGATCTTTTGTCACCGCAGGATTCACGATCGCCTAAGCCCATATTTACCATAGATCACTGCCTCCCCCCAGGCACACAGACAAGTGTATGGCACACAGACAAGTGTATGTATGAAAATGTTCCGCAGCAGGGATCAACCAACTGGTGGGTTCTCACGGCGCCTTAAAGGACCCCTTTGAGACCCCAAAGGACTGTACGACAGACGAACCGTGTCACGAGGAACTTTGGTCAAGCCAACACAGTTAAAAACCAAAGTCCCAAATTCGGACCCTCCCGGCTGGGCCCGTTGGGTTGGTTGTTTTACGAAGCGTCTGTCGGCTCTGCGTTGCTTACCTATTACCTGCGCCGCACAGCCTCCGCCAAGCGGTGGAGGAACCAACACTGCCGTGTTGCCCGGCTTCTATGCGAGATTTCCAGAATCATTTTCATTTAACTGCCTTGAACACCCCCCCTCCGCCTTATTTCCTTTGAGATAGGTGTTCGGCGAATCCGACGAAGAGATTGTAGGACGACGCTGCGCCTTATCACACCGAGCACAGAGCGCCTCGCATGGGGAGGATTCTGGCGGATGATCGATGCCTTTTCTGCTTCGGACGGTAAGGGTGTCGTTTCAGACATACACTCGTCATTGCGAGATACATCAGATCCTGACCTTTAGGCTCTTCTGAATTGTTCTGACGAGGCTCAGAGATGCTCCGAGAATCGTCTTGGTTCCCCGCAAGGCCTTGCGAAGGAGGTTGGCGCTGGGCTAAGCGCCCCGCAACCGACCCGGGCTTGGAATTTGTCGAACCAACACAACGATGGCACCATGCAGTCTCGTTTACGTGTTCAATCATCATAGGACTTCGAACCGAACCGAACCAACGCGTTAATTACGCCTGGCCTTCACCTGCAGCCTCGGCCCGAAACCGCTTCGACATCCTTTGGCGGTAAGCTTGATGAAAGGACTTGACGTGTTGGATGATCCACTTGAACAACTATGTATTGCCGATTCGAGAATCTCGACTAAGAAATAATACATAAGAAACAGGCTTCCTTGTTACTCTACCGCGCTCTCAGGGATTGGTCAGGGTAAAAGCAATATCACCCTGGCTCGCACCGCCCACGCAGGTCGATTTGAAGCTGCCGGTCGGGCAAGTCGCCCTCGCGGCGCGAATGCAGCCCTCCCAGCGGCCCTTGGAGACGTTGAGCGTGGCGCCAGAGTTCGTCGGGTTCAGCGTGAACTTGGCCGTCCCGGACTGGCCGGTGGTGCTCTTGGGCGCGCCGCCGCACTTTTGGATGGAGCCCGCGATGCCGCCGCAGATGGCCAGCGTGGCGACGTTCATGTCGTGCGTGTCGATTTTCCTTCACGGATGAGCTTAGCAGAGTTCGGATGGCACCAAAGGTACAGACGAGGACTTACGCATTCTTGTCGGTGCAGGTGGTGCCCTTGACGGCGGCGGGGTTGACGTCCTTGTTGGCACGGATCTCCACGGCGTTGTCGGTGGGCAATGCCATGGCAAGGCCGGAGAGGACGAGGAGTCCGGAGGCGATCTTAGTCATTAACATTTTTAGGAGAATTTAATATGGTTGAAAATAGAGTTATTTGTGGTAGTAGAATGAGAGAATGGAGTTGCAGATAGATGGACCCGCCAAGAAACGAACTGGACTGAACTAAGACACCAAGACTTGCCAAGGACGATGACAGGAATTGCGCACTTTAATAAAGATGAAATCGATGGGGTAACTCGAACCGGAGACTTCGGGCTGCGATGAATTTCACAGGGACAGTTTGCTTGCATGATCGGCGCTTCCCGTCTGATCGTGTCGAAGTTGGTGTTCCATCAGGGAAGGTTTAGAGACGAGACGAGTTTCAACGCAGCCCCCGTCCTAAGAGATGAGACGAACAATCTATGGGGACGGAGTTGGCAACCACGCTGCCGGATTACCGAATTATTTCAACACGAGCTATTAAATGGGCCTATATCCCTTGATTTTTGAAAGCCAGGACATGTTGTTGTATCAAAATTCTGCGCCTGTTTCGCAACACACCAACGAATCCCCGCCCTCCTGATTTTCCCGCGGACCTCAGGTGGCAGGTGATCCTATCGCACGAACCGCGGAGCGATACTTGAAAAGACACAGCCTCGGCCGGTTAAGCTTTTTGTTTAAGCCTACATCGTTGTTTTTTCGCCGGTTGTCACGACTCTGACTATGACCCTGGGAAACTTCTCGTCGGCCTCGTCGGAATCAAAGTTCAAGAGGGACGCGTGGTGACGCGTGGTCTGGAACGGGCGCAACTCGATGAGCATGATTCTATTTGTCGTCAGCACTTGAACCGAGCATGAAGCAATTCGCAAATATCACTTTTTTCGGCTGGAAATGATTGTTTACTGAGTGGTATCTAATAGCCTAAAGATGGCAAATTCGAAATGCTACGACTCTTCAGACGGTGTCCTCCGTACGCGTCCTCTTCAAAACCTTACTGAGTCCGAAATTGTTGCCGACGTCTCGTAAGAAACCGATCGGAGGGTAGACTTCTTTCTCCATCTCCTCGTATGCGGTAATTGCCGGTGCCTCCCAAACGAGGTCGACTTCCTCCGGCTTCAACCACTTCGTACCCTTGTAGAACTTCCAGAAGACGAACAGAACGGCCGCGAGGAAGACCATCGTGTAGTGGATGAAGAACGAACCCACATCAAACGGGCTGAAGGAGATGTACCCGTAGCATGTGACAATGACAATCATCGCAATCAAGCCGATGTACGCGCTGTATGGCTGAAACCGGCCAACGTAAGGTAGCTTGGAGCGGTGGAAGCCCTGTGCCTTGCAAGCGCGGTGGAAGCTGATGTATGTGATGCAGATGATGATGAAGTCGATGACGGTCGAGGCGGTCGTTAAAGAGATGATCCAGTCCAAGACCTTGGCGGATGAGCTCGACATTTGCATGAAAGAGAAGAAGGGGAAGATCATAACGACGGCTAGGCAGTAGATGGGTGCGCCGCTCTTGGTAGTCTTGGTCAGGAACTTAGGCGCCCTGCCCTCGAGAGCCAGACCGTAGAGAACTCTCGTCGAGTTGTACGTGCAGGTGTTGCCGGCCGAAAAGATAGTCGTGACCAGGAGTGCCGTCATGATATGCGGCAAGATACCGATTCCGAGGTTACCCATCGCGATGATGTACGGCGACGCTGCCGCGCTACCGGTCGAACCACTCTCGCCGCCGAAGATGGCAGTCAAGGTTGGGTCCTTGTGGCTGACGATGATGCCGGCGGCGATGGCGCTGCCGAAGAAGAAAATCCAGCAGCGAAGGTAGACCACCTTGTACGCCTGCTTCACGTAGATACGAGGGTGCTTCGCTTCTCCGACCATCATCGAGACGTACTCAGGGCCGACGCACGTGAAGGAGGCATACCACAGCGCAGCCAAGAAGCCTTCGAACTGTCCAAGACGGCCAGGACTTATATACTCGGCGAACGCACCGGCGGACCATGACCTGAAGCCATAGGCATCGTGCTGAGGGTTACCGCCCACCATCGTGACGAAGGTGAAGCAGAACAGCATGATCAGGAGAAGTACCTTGCCGCTGCAAAGGTAGAACTCCGCACTACCGTAGGTGCCAACGGCGAACAGGTTTAAGATACTGTTGCTCCAAAGGAGCTTTACTTAGTATGTTTTCATCTCTGGCTTTGCTTTAAATTGCCAAATAGTTCACACTCGACGAGAAACTCACGCGTATAGCGCAATGCACCCACAGCACACAGCCGCCACTGGAATTTGATCGCTCCAGTACGACAGCACCAAGGTGATTGCGACGATTTCAAACGGGACCATGAACACTTGGTAGAAGAAGAAGTTGTACCCGGCCATGAAGCCGAAGGCGTCGTCGACCCATTTGCCAGCGAGACGGACGAAGCCGCCGCTGACGGGCATGTAGACGGCCATCTCGGCCATGCAGTTGTTGCATAGCGAGAGGATGATGTTATAGATTCCAAAGGCGAGAAGCAGGCTGCCTGGACCGGAACGTTGCAGGGCGCCGCCGATGCTCACGAAGAGCGCGGTGCCGATAGAGCCGCCGATGGCTACGAGCTGGACTTGGCGGGTGCTGAGCCTGCGGTGGAGGCCGTCGGTCGAGGTGGCGAGGACTTGGGTGTCATTGTTGACTGAGTTGTCGGATCTGTCGAGGGACTTCTTTTCGCTATCGCTTGTTGGAGCGCTGGGCCGGTCTGAGAGAGTCGTCATGTTGAGCGACGGGAGAAGGAGGTGTGTCGAAGAAAGGATTTGCAAGATTGTTTGAGCCAGCCAAAGAAGTTTCTTGTAAAAATGAATTTTATTTGAGTTGACCTGCCTCAAAAGGTGGTGTCGGTTTCTCGGGCGTGCCGAATTCAACAAGAACCATAATTCTGGGTGGATTAGGCTGCCAACTTATACGTCGAGCTTGATGGCCACCCGAGACCTCAGCGACCCGAGCTTCAACTGTTAAAGACCCCTTTATTTACTACAGGAGACGCCGAGTATCCTTGTCTCATGTTCGAGGATAAGTCGGGAAGCCTCAGTATCAATGGAATCCTGACAACTTGGGAACGCAAGGAATCTCATTGGTTGAAAGCTCTGAAGTCGTCTTCATTCCGCAAGAAAAGGACTAGTGTATCGTCCTCACTTGCGTTGAGGTACGTAGCCTGCCTCTTCCGAGCCGACATTTGGCTTCGGATAAGCCTCAAAAGACGTCATTCTCGGGTTCAAACTGTGTTTCCCCATAAAAAGGCAGCCGACCCTTGGACCGAAGTGGATCTTCTCGGGCTGAGGCTATTCAGGTACGCTGGTCTAACCTATGGAAACGAACATGCGGGGACGACCAATCATAGAGATGGCCACTGAGACAGACATGTACCCTATCCTTGGGGCAGAAGCACTTACCCCGGATTTTCTTTGCCTGTCATTTCGCCATATTTCTTGATATGACTTGTGCATTCGCAGTGGAGAGCGCGGGATGAACCCCGGACGTTTTTGCGGCAAGGGACGGGTGGCTCTCATTCCGATTGCCGTTTTCGGAACGGTTTCAAGCAACCGTCTGCTGTACGACCGTTAAATACCGTAAGAGTAGTGGATACTGTAGAGCTCAAAGAGTTCATAAGTTCAAACTGGTCTGCATCTAACGTGTAGAGTGCCTATCTCGGGCTTTATTACTATGTTACGTTGATGTAGCGTTCATCAAAAGATTCAATTTCAGCATCAACAACAGTTCTGCTGCAAGCCTCATGAGATTTAGTTTTGCCGCGCCTCACATTGTCTTCGTCAAGATTGATTTCATGAGAAACAGAGTTCAACACTGCCAATATTTACATGTATCATGTGCGGTGTGTCTCATCGCCCTGTGGCATGTCATGCAAGCTGGGTATGGTTGGTTGGATAAGCCGGCAGATACGAAGCTACAGCCTACGGCCGTGAAGAATTGACTATTTCAGTAATGCTATCCGAAGGATCATGTACCGCGAGTGAGAAACCCTAGACAAAACCTCATCTAAGTCCCCGTGTGGGGTCACTTTGACCCAGAGGCAAAAGATCACATGCCCCTGACACTCACATCACGCACACATATATCCTCGAGTTGCTTGCAGCTCTGTTTAGGTATCATCTTGAGATAGCGAATATTGGAGGAACTCGCCGAACATCCCCGAGAGTAGTGCTGGAAGAGATACGCTTCGGCCACTCTCATACCGGCCGCGACCCAGCTATCAAGCAGACGAAGCATAGGTACTTCAGAGAGGAGTTCATCTCGCCTTAACGTTGCGATAGATAAGAAAGAGGTCGGGAGCTTTTGAAACCAATGGCACATTTACGATCGTATCACGGTGTCCAGTTATGAGTCAAGGCCAGCGGCAGCTCAGGATTGAGGACGAATCCAATAGATTGCTGCTATCGTCGCTCAGTGAGTGATAGGGCCGGTTGATATTGAACATGAAGCAGTTGCCAAGTCATCAAGGATGTGGCTCACCGATTATACAGTCATGAATTGGTCCTGGAACTACTGAGATGGCAAACGGACTGGCACCGGCTAAAGTGTTTTCAAGATACTTTCAGCTTTCTCGACCGCAACGTGATATCAATGTCACGTCCCCAATGCTGCTAATTGCCGTATTTAACTTGAATTTCAGGGTTTTGGAATGATGCTTGGAATGAAACTTCGCACAAACGGTTGAATTGACGGGCTGTGATAGAAAGATGCCCAACAGTTGACTGTAAACTTAGACTCACTGTCGGGCCTGCCGTAGCTGTACCTTCAAGTATCAAGAAACGCCCAGATTGATGGCTTTGTTAGGACGGATCCGGCTATTAATTCTCCCGCTCAAAAGTATTGCCGTATCTGATCCTGCAGTCTCAGTTTCGCGAAACGCAGATAAGCTAGATAAATAGTTGACGCATGCATCGTGACCGCAGCACAGCTGAGTCCATCCTCAGCTAGGGTACCACAATTTCCAGATCGCCGATCTACTCAAACGGAGCTCGACTCTCTCACTCTCAACATGAACAAACGAATCGCGTTGCATTGATTTTATTGGTGATGAGGGTACAATGATTGTATGTAGTAGCGTTGGCCTTTTCGAGATATGAAGTTGAAGGCTGCACGGGGCAGAAGACTCAGAATGGAAAGACAAATGAGACATCATCATTGTTTCTAGCCCGCGAATGTCTTCATGGCGTGATTAGAAGTGTCTATCTCTTACCTAAAGGTTTCGTTGCTCGTGCGGGGTGAACCAACATGCCCTCGTCTCGACACCTTCTCCTTCATCACCACAATGATGCCTTGTTGGATTTTGGTACAATTTCATTATGATTCATACGACATGGTGGCATAAACACGATATCTAGCAGTGTGTGCAGGTACAGGTAGGCAGAATGATGACCATCGCCGATAAAGGAGCTTAGCGACGTGGCCCACCCATATCGTGGCAGGTTGGGATGACACAACTCATGTTAGGTTTCTGATAAAAGCCCAGCCACTCATGTTTAAGATGTCTCATTAGAATATCTCAAAATAGCTAGTGCATCTCTTGTCTAGACTTTCGGGAGCGGCCTTCCTTGCTGACCCCGTGTTTCCCCCGCGTACATATCTTTAACCCCGCTCATGGCGGCCACACTGTCTCCACGTGAGACTCTATGCAATGCCCAAGACTAATCAACCCAGCCTAGTGATAGTAACTTCCAGACGAAATGGGAGGGCCGTGTCAAGTATAAAACAAATACAAGAGCTCCCTCCACAATTCATGATATCTTCATCCTCAGCAACCCTTGAGCCACAACTTCGATACACATTCCATCAATCAAGCCAGTTTCCAGCTTTCCAACATACCCCATCAACCCCGAACTCATTAGCCATCTTTTCCGAAGCTAAAACGAGGATCCAATCACAATGGCCGCCGAAGTCATGATGCCTGCAGCTGCACCCGCCGTGCTAGGCCCCAAGCTTAAAGAACCCATGCGTCCGACGAATCAGCTGCCGGACTTTCTCATTGAAGAGGCCCGGCGAGTTGAAAGGGTTCCCTTTGACCCAAAGAAGCACCTCAAGATCGCTGACCCGGAACGGATCTTCACCATGCAGGAGATAGGGCTCGGCGGACAGGGTATCTCGCCCGTTGCAGCGTCAGCCCCATTCTCCATCTTCACGCCGGAGGCCGTGGCGCAGATGAGAGCCGAGATCTTCAGCGAGCCAGTCCTGCAGAGTTGCCAGTTTGCGTCGGACTTTGCCAAAAACATGATTCGTGGTTATGGTCCCAGGTAAGCTTTCATGTTGATGTAGATGACCACGGTTTTGGGATCTGGCTGCTGATCGTTGGTGTTGCAGACTTTGCCCCTTTATCTTCGACGCATGGAACAGCCCCGAAGTCCTCAACGCAGTGTCAAAGGTTGCCGGCGTCGAACTTGTCCCGGCTATCGAATACGAAGTTGGCCACATCAACATCTCTATCAACAACGTGACGACTGAGTTGAGCACGGTCGAGAGCAGTGCCACGTATCTGGACGATGAATCCTCTGCCTTTGCATGGCATCGGGACAGCTACGCTTTTGTCTGTGTTACCATGCTTTCTGACTGCACTGGTATGATTGGGGGAGAGACGGCGATGCGGACGGGTAATGGAGACGTTATGAAGGTCCGTGGACCTATGATGGTAAGCCAACGGCCTTGATCTTGCGTCGAGAGCAGTTACTGACTTGTGCCTACTTCCAGGGCACCGGAGTTGTCATGCAGGGTCGTTACATCGAACACCAGGCCCTGAAGGCCAAGGGAGGCAGGGAGCGCATCAGCATGGTGACTGCTTTCCGCCCAAAGAGTCCCTTGGTCCGAGACGAGACGGTTCTTACTGGTTCTCGCCCTATCAGCACTCGGTCCGATCTCTACTATCAGTGGAGCCACTACCGTCTGGACGTGCTTGAGGAACGCTTGCGAGCTGGAGCCAAGAACCTCCGGGAGCGCGAACACGCCGGCCGCAAGTTTGACGTTGATGCTGCACGGGAGTTCTTGAACTTGCAGAAGCAGTTTTTGGAGGCCACCATATTGGAACTTGAATAGACATAGACGGGTCTATGCAAGAGATGGACCATTTATGGGGAGGGGGGTTGACGCAGAGAACGCATCATTATATCGGTGTCGGATGTTGGATGTCGTGAAGCCACTATGTAGGATCAAGCAGAATGAATAAATGAGACACGAAGAATCATCTTGACTTCAATAAAAGTTACTTTCTTCTCGACTGAGGTCCTGGAACCTGGTGGTTTATCGCTGGGGGTGGTGATCATATTTACAGCAACTTCCAAACAGTGTGAACAATTGCTTTGCAGATATATTGAGTGTTGTGTTGAATGCCAACGCGGAAATGATGATAGCAGTATTGCCGCAAAGACGTGCATTGCTCATATCACGTCGCCAAATCATCACCGGTGAAGATAGTGTCCACTGCTGCCTGATTCACCGAAAAACGCAGTGGAGACATGGATTCAATAGATAACTGATCTTCATACAAGGGTTACTACGGCGGTTTATCCGCCTCCAAGTCTCAGATGACGTGGAATAAACCTCAATAATGGTGCACGGCTGCATCGTTCCGTGAAGCTTGAAAGCATTGCTCAAGTGTAGATATGCGACCTGAAGTCCCGTTGAGCCGGGGCTTGGCGTGTTGCTCTCATTTGCTTTACCTTTCTAGGAATAGTCTCTGATAGCGGAGATATTTTGCGGCCAGGGAGACCATGCCGATCTCCGGAGGAGGGGCCGCGGCGAATGCACAAACCATGCCGTAAATCTTGACACATCGAAGTCGCAGACGTGGAGCGCTGGCAATGCGGGGAAGGCGAGATAAGGCCGCCATCCCCTCCTTGTCAGCTGGCTGCATGGGATGAGGTGGATTCTGTAGTCGGGGTTCTCTCTGTTTGCGTCAGTCCTGTTCCCCGCATCATGAACGTTTGCTTTGGTCTCAACACCTCCAAACACCAAGTCCTGAGCAAACCAGATTTGACTCGTTGAAGGCATCATGGTCCGGAAGAAGAGGAAATATGTGCCGAAGGTGAAGGGTATGTCACGGACAGTTTCGAGGAGTGAAGAAAGGACAACGAGCTGATAGGGCTGACAGGTTGCTATGAGTGCTCCCAACGCCGCATCGACTGTGATGGGACGAAACCGAGTTGCGCGAAATGTTCCACGCGCGGCATTCCATGTAGTGGCTTTGGTCCGACGTACAAGTTTCTCGATGGATTCTCGTCGAGGCGCAAGTCATCATCTTCGGTGAACAGGAGCGCTCTCTTGAAAGACGCCCTCGCTCAATCGTCATCAGATGCATCCTTCCGAGCACGGCTGAACAAGACTCAGAGAGATGCTGAGAGTGAAAACATACCCTACGACGATTGGGACAGACTTTACTGGGAAACCTCGCTTCTGGACTTCGATGATGCGGTCCAGCAAGCAGCTTTGGTCGATGCCTGCTGGCAAATGAGTCCCTGCATCAATGTCAACAACAGTGCCTGCGACGTTGTCGAGAACGAAGAAGTTCAGAATCAGGGCGAGACGCCTGAAGTTCCTATACTTCCTGAAAACTCCGGAGAACTCGAGGAGGTCGATGAGACAGTGTTCTCTCCCTCGACTACAGAAGCCTTGGATTACAAGGCTATCCTGAGATCGGCGACGCCAATGGACTTGAGCTTGCTCGAGCCGTGGAAAGAATTTCTGCTGACACATTGTAAGTTCCCGAGTAATTGCCCGGCGACCTCTGCAAGGCTGACTCAATCCTTCTCTGGTCAAAGTTTCCGACGCCATTGCACCGCAGATGGTGGTCGTCGATGATTGTTTCAACGGATGGAGACATATGATCTTGCCTCTCGCCTGGTCTAACGAGATGGTCATGGATGCTGTGATGGCGGTATCAGCATTTCATATTTCAGGAATAATCTCGGTTCAGTCGTTCGCCAACCCGGATCGACTGTATTCTCGTGCTATCAAACAGCTGCTCAGTCGGAAAGAGCTGGCGGATTGGGATGGAGAAACAAGGCAGATGGTCATCCTTGCTATTGTGGTTCTTCTTGTCTCTGTCATGGTCAATGGGTTGCCGGACTTTCCTATTGTGTTTCAAATGTTGGAATCAGCCATTGAAGCCGTGGGAGGGGAGGACATTCTCGCCGACGGGAGTGAGATGGGCGGTTTCCTGCTTAGGCAGATTCGCAAGTAAGTCATCGCTTTGTTTCGTGAATGAGGTTGTGCTCACCAAAGATCTAGAATGCGAGTCTATGCCGCGCCACTTCTCAGCCAAGATGCCGGGATCAACGCTATCATGTATCACGCCCGGGAGAGCTTCGATTGCCTGTACTACTACCACAGCTTGTACCCTGATTGCTGTTCCACATTTGATCTCTTGGCCGATCTACGCCAGCAGGCGTTCAATATTTATCTCAATCGAGTCTTGGAGGAAAGAAACAGGGTTTCCTCAGATGAACTAATTCTGTCTTACCAGAAAAGCCTAGAAAATTTCCCAGAAGGGGCCTTCGGCGAGCACGTCCTTGTGTGGTCGACCTTTATTGCCGCCCTGGAATGTCGCAACCGCGAGCAACAATCATTCTTTGAGCAGTTTCTGCTTCGGCAGTATCGTCGTAATAAGTTTATGAACATCTTGAGAGCGCTGGAACTGTTGAGGAAGGTCTGGTCGCAGACGGCATGTGGAGGCGAGACAAATTGGCCAGCTCTGATTCCAGATATGCGGGTTTTCATCATGTAGATAGATCCTTGTTGTATGTTTCGAGATGTGGGATTTGGTGTTTTGGGCATCTGGGCTGGTGGATTAAGTAAGGTAAATTGTATTATATCACATCACGAGCTCCAGGATGCTTCCTTATTTAGATGGATACGTACAATTTAATGTTCATTATCGTTAGATTGCCAAAGAAAGACTGGAAGGTTTACAAGTTGGCCCGCGGCGCTCGCTGAACAGCTTCAATGACCTCCTTAGCACCCTGCTCACCCGAGCACAGAGCTCCCTCCATGTAACCCTTCCATTCATTCGAATATTCCGTGCCAACGAAGTGGAGGTTTCCCACGGGCTTGCCGTAGACGTCGGCGTACTCCGTGTAGTGGCCAATCTCTTGAATCGGGGCTAACGCTCCCTTGCTGTACTGCTCGTGCTTCCAGATCTGATCGAAGACTTCGATGGGACGGAAGGCTTCCGAATCCGGACTGACATTGAAGATCTTGGCTACCTGCTTGATCACAACGGCGCGACGCTCGTGGGGATAGAGCTTAGACCAGTCCTCTCCGAACTTGCCATTGACGAAGCAGGTAAGGGAGAAGAAGCCTACCTCATCGACACTGGTGTCGCGACCCAGTGTGACGGGGCCCTCGTAACTCATGAAGAAGCCGTTGTAGCCAAGGTCCCTCCACCATGGCTTATCGTAGCAGAGGATAGCCTTGTTGTAGTGACCAAGCCTTGAGGAGTCGTTCACCTCTCGCACTCTGAGTGGAAGGTTGGGCGTGATGTTGATGTCGCGCATCATGGTACTGGGAATGGAGATGATAGCCTTTCTGCCGACAAATTTTTGGCCGTTGGTAGTAACCACGGTGACGTGGGTCTGAGCATTCTCGACAGAGGCGACTGGCGCAGAGAGGTGGATGTTGCCACGTCCGATCAAATCTGCGATGCCGTTTGCGATCTGCTGTGTGCCTGAATTTTGATATTAATACTTGGTATCAATCATCGCTCTTTTAATTAGATATTTACCTTTGTGTAAACGTTGATAGTTTCCGCCCGTCTTGTCGTCCGCGCGAATAGCAAACAGCCCCAAGTTACGCCGACAGTAATCGATGAACCAGGCTGCAGATTCCTCCGTAGACTCAACCCCGTGCATGACCTTCGCCCAAAGATTGACCATAGCAACCGTCTTCGGAAGAGCACCCAGGTTTCGCACGTACTGGTCCAGAGTTACATTGTCGTCTTCTTTCTTCGGAGCCTCCTTCGTCAAGGATCTGGCTTGAATGTGATCTCGGACGAATTCGAGGTTCTTCTTCTCCTCTGGAGTGAACTGAGATCGTCGAGTTAGTCATGGAAAGCCTCGACATGCTTCCGTAGAAGACGTAGTAGACTGACCTCGGGCGTAATACCAAAGGGAAACTCGATCCTGTCGCCCTTTGATACCTGCATAACCGCCTTTCCTACCAGTCTTTGCGCGACCATAGGGAGATTGAAACGTCGGATATACTTAGTAATTCGTGGTTGGTTGTTTTCATTCACCCAAGCAGCTCCGAGGTCTGCGTAACCGCGTCCTGATGCCAACGGCACACTCCATGTCTTGCCACCCACGCGGTCCCGAGCTTCGACGACCACGACGGAAAGGCCTGCCTGTTGAGCGGAGTAGGCAGCCTGGAGGCCACTGAGGCCGGCACCAACAACAACAACGTCAAACATGTTGAGAAAGTTCGTGAGAAAGTTCGATAGGGCGGTTTAGTAGTGAAGACCGAGAGGTACTGTTCCTGGTCAAGTCAATCGCTGAGAAAGAAGTACTGGATTCAAATCAGACACATCACAGGAAGTGCGGAGTCGTCGTAAATAAAGCAAGTCCATCGCAATGTTCTTGAAGTGAAATCGAGCATCAAGGTACGTACATTAGGAGTAAATGCTCACTAATTAGAGCTCAGTGGTCTCATATAATCCACCGCATTCTGGATCACAAAGCTGAGTGGCACCATGATCAGCCGAACACGAGCCACTCTATACCGAAATGCGCTTTGTTTGGGGAGCTCTGGCTGCTCTTTAGCTAGACCTCATGGTAGCTGATTTCCTATTTAAGAAAGGCAAGTGAGATACGCCGTTATATCCCACCCGGCCTCCGATCCGATCCTGGTCATCCGACCCATGAAGTATCAGAGGTTAATGATGCGGAGGAGTGGGGTCAGAACGCAGCGTCGCAGCGTTGCCCGATTTAGTAATGAAAATGAGAGAACCACCCACGCCTTCTCCGCAAAGTTGCCCCTCACTCCCCGCATTGAACTTCGGTCAGGATCCCGAGGCCGGTGCGTGGGAAGCCGAGATCAGTGTATGGACGCCGGCCCGGTACCGCCTGGGTCATGAGTGGCCGTCTACACAGCTATTAGAATGAATTCGGATGAGCAGACCGATGATTAGAGACTCAAACAGCTTTACATTCACTACATGTAAACCCGTTCCCTGCCGAAAGAAGTTGTCAGTGAAGAAGCCTCTAAGTCTTTCTCAGGACTGAGTGATATTGGTGACCTTCAGTCGATCTGTTTACAATATACGCCATATCTTCTTGTCTGTATCACTCACTCAATAACTAATTCGTTGTTCTTTCTCGCTTCGTTCCTCAAGCAATTAATGAAGTTGGAAGCTTCTTCTACCGTGGATGTCAACATATTTTAAAGACGTATGCGATAACTCTCGACTACTGCGCGATTGCCCCTCACGACATCTGCGACAAACCCTCAGCCAACCTGGAAGCCGGAACCTGTCCTAGAGCTACACCGAGATCATTGACTTGTTGCAACAGTTGAACCTGATCACGACTTGTACAGATCCAGCCATGCGACAGAACCGCACCGTCATAACCGACATCTACGCCTCTGTCCTGCTCTCCCAGCCAATACCTGCTAGTCTGCATGGAATTGAGGACAATGCGAACATGGCGGGAATATGCCGGCGTTGAAGCTTACCCAGAGCATAGACCTGTAATTGGGAAGGTGAAAATTTGAAAGTTCCAGCACAGAGAGAATCTCAGGGTGTTCAGTCGCGAGAGAATTAGCGCATAAGGATGTTCGAAAAGAAGATGTGCGTATCAGATCGAGAATTGTCCTAACGTAGTGGATGTTTGTTGCCTGCACTAATTATGAGTCGATTGCAGGGAAAGCAGAGGGTGGGCAAAGTTTGGTTTCCTTCGGGGTACGTGAGACTAAATACTTATCAGAGAATGAGTGCATAGACAAAAGCTCAAGTAAGTTCGTAATGGATGTAAGTTGAGCTCTTTCAGTGTGACAGAAAGCCTGGCATTTACCGGCTGGGGCAAATAATCGATCCAGTCTCCAAGGTTAAATAGCCACTTTGCGTGTCTAAACGTCATGACCGCTATCTGAGTGTTTCTGTACTCCCCACACGACAGTCTTAATCATCTCGCTTTGTTTTCAGTGGTAGCTTATATTCATGGAATCCTCTTACGTGAGGGCTCTCACCCAAATGACGGGTCTATCTTACTCAGTTGTTGTGAGTTCTGCCCGAGATATGTTCGACATATTTACCTGTGAGTGCTTGTCACAAGTGCATCGAGTCATACCCGAGTTTGGTGGCATGGACACCTGTTGAGAATAATGCTACAAGAGACACCTTATCAATAGAATTCAATAACAACATAGCGCGTTCGTCTCGAAATGTGACAGCGATGACAATTCAAAGTTCAATCCAGAGAGCCAATTACGAGCATTCCGAGCCTCTCTGGTCCAGACTCTCGGTCCGAGACGCCAGCCCCATGTCCTTGCGAGAATATCTCTATCCTTAGTCATGCAAAGTTTGTCCCTTCATTTGCACAGCAAATTGGTATATGTGATTCCGCGCAACCGAGGAAGCTGGAAATGACTTGGTAGTTGTTGTCATCAATCTTTCCAATTTCTCGTCACGTTGATGCTATCTCTTGAGCTTCCTCAAATAAGAAGCTCAAGTTTCTGAATATAAAGGCAGTATTTATGTAAGTTAAACGTTCATCGTATTTCTACTTTATCGAGAACACCTGAATCATGGCAAGGGTACAAACTAATTGGTGGTGTCCTGCAGTCCCCACGGCGAAGATTGCTCCAAATGGATCCCACAGGCAACTTCGAAAAGAGACATTCGTCGGAAGCTTCTCGACTTATGGATAAGGTTGGCAACTACCCACGAGGCGTGTGGTCTTGGCTCCCTGGTCGCTTCTTTGGAACTTCCAACTACACAGCTGTGGATGATCCGGGCGAGCCAGAAGACAACGCTGCCTCCCTGGCGCTGGAACTGAGAAAAAGGACAACATCTTTGCGGAGATGGCGCTGTATCTCAGCTGTTTTGACAGCTGCTCTTGTCCTTACTTGGGCTTTCGTCCCCGCGTCAACAACGGAACCTACGCCAGCACGATACCCTCAGCCCGATGAAGGAACCGACAATATCCTGAAGTGGATGAAAGAGGCCGAGACGGCCGACGGACACTACTGGTGCGGTCCAACAACCGAGGAGGCCAAGAAGCGAGGCTGCACTTTCAACAAACTGCACAACAGATGGATGTCACCGCACTGCGCGGCGGACTTTGAGCCTGCCCGAGATGCCGTCTTCGAAGCACTAGATGGTGACGTGCCGGAATTTGTTTTCTACAATGACGAAGATGGAAAGCCTGGGGCCAAATTCAGCGAGGAGGAATTGAACAACCTCGATATCTTGACTCCGGCATGGACTACGGTCGGGCATCACATGACGCACTGCATGTATCTGCTTCTCCAAGCTGCCGCCTCGCTGAATCTTGGGACGAAGGCAGACATGGTCGTTCACGCATGGGAGCATGCTGGTCATTGTGCGAGCGTCATCATGAATATAACCAAGACGGCACCAGGATGGCAAGATGTCGCAAGTTTTGGACATACTCAATCCGGCGTCTGCTGGTAAACCGGCATTTCCGCATGGCTTGAAGTCCAACATGTAACACGCGTTTTGCATTCGAAGAATTACATTACTCTATATCGAGCTACGATGACTCATATCAAAAGACTATCTCTTCTAAGCTTCCTCGCTGTCGCTCTCGTGGGTGCTAACTTTCACCCTGGACTCCCGCCACTTCTCGAACAGGGGCAAACCAACACCCGTCCAGACAGTCAGCGCGACCACAAATGCAAGCGCGCTTTCCCATCCGTGAGTCTTCGCGAAAGCTGGAGCTTGTCCACTGGGCATCTGCAACTGTTGGAAAGGGATGACTACCGCCTGGCCGACTGATACCATGAAGCCGAGCACAAAGGCGCGCTTCTGCTGGTCACCTCCGCATGCCTCATTTGCCCAGCCAGCCAGAAGTGGCGTGTAGCAGCCGTAGCAGCCGGCAAGGATGAAAACTGCCATCCGCAGCATGTGGGGGACGGTCCACGCCGCAAGGACAGCGTACACGAATGTGAGTAGGCAGCCGACGGCGAAGCAGACGGGACCGCGGCGGCCGATTTTGTCGGCGATGTAGCCCGTTGAAACCATGAAAACGAAGTTGATGGCGCCGACGCAGGTGGGGATGTTGTTGATCTCGGGTACCGTGTACATCTTGGTCGACTTGAGGTAAAGCGTAAAGTATTGAATGATGTAAGAGCCGCAGGTGAGTGTCCAGAAGCAGTAGGCTGCTGTGAATGCGTAGACTTGCCATGAGCCGAAGACACGGCTTATGACGGACCAGTTCATCTTTCCGACGGGCTTGCGGCCTTCTTCTTCGATACGCTGGCGCGCGCGCTCCTTCTCCCAGTCGTTGAGGTAGAACGCCTGAGTGGTGTGAGGCGTGTCGGGGAAGCAGATCTGCATAGGGTTAGCAATTGTCATGAGTTATTGAGGAGACCGAACACATACAACGCCGTAGATGACGACAGGGATAGCCAAGATGAAGTCGAAGATGAAAAGCCATCTCCAAGCTGATAGGCCTCCTTTACCGCCCATGCCGGTGTACAGGGCCGACTGGAGGTAGCCGGAGAACATTTGGCCCAAAACGCCGCTCATGACGAAAAGACCGGAGCGACGGGCAAGTTCACTCTTGCGATACCACGACCCGAGTGTATACATGACTCCCGGCCAAGCAGATGACTCAAATAAGCCAATAAAGAAGCGCAAGACGTAGAACTGATGAGCGCTGTTGCACTTGAAGAGAAACAGAACGAAAAGCGACCACACGAAGAGACAACCCGTAAGCCAGAAGCGCGGACGAACGACGGTGATGATGAGGTTGGCAAAGCTTCCTCCAATAATTGTACCGATGTTGAAGTACGTGTTCATCCATGAGAGCTCGTTGCCAGGGCCGAAGCCAAGCTCCTCCGACATGCCCGAGACGTAAGCATTGGATATGTTGTTTTGATCGAGCTGGTCAATAAGTTTAGCAATATGAATAAAAAAGCTCCGTGGGTGTCTAAGTACCTGCTTGATGAAATACATCAAACATCCGAAACTCAAAAGAAACCAATCCAGCTTGAAGATCAGCTTCTTCTCTTCGGCCGACGTGCCTGGCTCATGCCAGTGGAACCACCCGGCCGCTTCTGGCTCTTGTGGGGGCTCCGGCTTGCTGTCGGCAGCGGCAGAGACGGACGTCGTCGAAATGCCATCTTTGTCGTGGGGCCGGTCGACCGGGTCTACCGCCGTGATCGCGTTGGACGCGTTGTTGTCGAGATGCGCCATCTTGGCTCAGTTGTTGGGCAGGCGGATCAGCAACAAACAAAGTTAAGACGGAACGCCGCACGCGTGGGACTCAGCGCTCGCCGAAAAATGCAGCTCGGTGAGGCATTCAACCAGGAGGTGACGGGCTGAGACTGGGCGGAGGAATCTTTATGAAAGTGTATGCCCTGCCCCTTGCTGCTTGCTGGTTCTGGAATCGGTCGATAGCCCGAAAACGATTGGATAACGAGTTTTTCTGGGTCGAGCACGCGATCGTCTTCCTGTGCAGAGACATTTTACAAAACCCGGCACTTGGGACAATATTTTGCGTCGGCACGAGGCGGTGGACCTCTTCCTTCTGCGGTGGTATCGGGGAGGGGCCTTCGTCTTTACCGCTTTGGGTAGTTTTGGTCGGGTGTCGTCCGGTTCGATGGCCCGGTTGTTGGACCCTTACTCGTGAACCCAGCATTTCCCGGCTTGTCTCCCATTCGCCTCCTGAGGTACCAAACCCCGCGGCTTGGGCTGATTGCGCGATAAGGTATCTTAGGTGACGGCACCGCCACGGCTCATCGAGTATCTAAACTGTACTACGTGATACGGTTAGTCGTTTGTGATTCAAGCCTCTCGTTCGAGTAAGCTCCCTCTGAATCCAGTCGCGGCATAGCCATAATTAGCCAGCCGACTCACAACAGTCACCCTTCGTTGCCCCTCATCTTGCACATGATGGTCGAATTCGTCAATATCAACGGCGCTAAACTGGCATATCGCCTGGCCGGCCCAGCAGATGCGCCTCTCATGATCACGTTGCACGGAGGTCGAGGAATGGGTAGGCTCTTGCTACTATGCCGCCATAGACCGAGAAAACAGTTGGCTAAACAACTGCTGTAGGTGATCACAGATCGGATTTCAAGGTCTACAGCCAGTTGAGCGACAAAATTCGTGTCTTGTCCTTTGACTACCGTGGACATGGACAGAGCTCTCTCACCAAGCCTTACACATTTGAGCAAATTGTGGACGACATCGAGGGCGTGAGGCAGCACTTTGCTGGAGACGACCAAGTCATCATCTGCGGCGGCAGCTTTGGGGGTTTCCTAGCACAGCATTATGCGATCAAATATGCGCCTCGTGTATCACATTTGGTTCTTCGGGGGACCGCTGCATCTCATCACCGTAAGGTCTCTCACTTCCTGTCACCACTCTTTCACACCTCTGACAAATTTCTCTTAGATGAGGCAGGCGCGATCAAGACCCTTGAGGAGAGGATACACAAAGTTCCCAGTTTCTCAGTCGACATGCTTCGCAACAAGGTATTCGGGGCTTACGAGAGCGACCGCGAGTTTCAGTTGATTTATTTTGCCATGATGCCGCTCTACCGTGAAGTATTCGACCCGGACGCGGCATTAAAGAGCAACCTCGACGGCGTCTATGTGGCAGACTCGCATAGTGAGTCCCGACTTGATTGCGGTGGGATCTCAGCGTGAAGAGCTAACAAAGCATGCAGACGATCTCTACTCCGAGAAGGAGAAATACTTTGATTACACAGAACGGCTTCCGCAGATTACAGCCAAGACGTTGGTTGTAGTCGGTGACAAAGACTGGATTTGCCCTCCAGGTACGTTTTCTCCCATGAGCCTGAACACTAGCACTAACTCGGCACAAGAAAATTCCAAATTGATCGCCGAGAAGATCCCGGGAGCTGAGCTGTTCATGGTTGAGGGCGCGAACCACGGAGTTCACGCCGAGAAGCCCGAGGTCGTGCTCCCTAAGATCCGGAGTCATTTGAATATCTAAGGTAGATATTCACTTGGCGAACCTCTTGTTTTCAGCTTTGCTATCACACCAGCGCTAGCCAGTAACCAGGTCACAAACACTCTATACTCTTATTACGTGCTATGGTTGAGTGAAAAGCATGGTATCTTCAAGCAAGAGCGCACCGCTAGACAAATCATCAAACATCACAAAAAGCCCAGCTCCAAAGAGCCCCATCCGTAATCCATAGCCGAATCCTCATTACCCACGGCAGCAGAGTGTCTCGTCGGCCCTGTGGGTGAAAAGGCAGCTTGACCCCTGAAGCCTGTTGTCGGGGGAGGTTGACCAGCGCAATCAGCGGGCCACTCGTGGAAGGCATAGCAAGTAGACTTTCCAAGGACCTCTTGCATGAGAGCTACCAGCCCGGTGATGATCGGGCGTACCATGGCCTGATATGACTCTCTCGAAGATGTCATTTGACCGTTGTTGGCGTAGATGTTGTTGCTTGTACTGGGGAAGTGTAGAGTGGTGTATCCGTTGTTCGGCACTCCGGAGATCAGACTCATGAATTGGCGGAAGACATGGGCAGCCTGTCGCGCGTGCGACCAGCCTTCAGGAAAGGCCTCGAGTATGCTGACGATGACAGCTACCTCGTCCCTAGCTGAGAAGGATGTGCACTCTGCGGCACAGGCGATGAAGCTGTGGATCAGGACCAAGCCTACAGGAAACAAGCGACATAATGTGACGCGATTCAGCGGTAGCTGACGCTGCTGAAGTAGAACCGAGGTGGACTGCAGGTGCTTTTGCGCGAAGCGAAGGAGCTCAACTGCTGAGACAATGGAACCGCAAGAGTTGAAATGACAAGGATAATGAAGTAGTAACAGGAGGTGGTAGTAGCGTGCGCTTAACCATGTTACGGAGTTGTGAATGGGTACGTTGTCAGGTTCCAGGGGAGATACAAGACAGCCGTTGCTATACCAGTTCTCGATCTCGGATCTGATGTTTTGCACAATTGCCCGACGATCTGCCTGTGATAGGGCGGCAACCTCGGATTGCTTTCGGGTATGAATCTGACGGAGGATGCGGTCTTCCAACTGTCTCAGCTGGATGACGTGTCGATTTGTCTGGAGGATGGAAGCAAAGTGTTGCCTATCTGGGGAAGCAAACTCCTCGATGGTCAATCCGGGCAAAGGGACATCCATATTCTCGTCTATGAGCGCGACAGGTAGACCAAGTGAGATGGCCATCATCCGATCGAGGACATAAATACTCCAGTATAGACGGTGACGTAGCTCGATGTCCATTGCGGAGAGGGACTTATCCTCTGACGACCTGCGACTGAGGCCCAGCAGCATTGCCTGGCGGGACACTATGCCTGCAATTGACCATGTCGAAATGCCGTTGGGGTCGAAGAGGGAGTATAAAGCCACCAGGACAAGAATCTGAATGGATTCGAGGTCTTCTCGTGCTAGACACTCCTGAATGATGTCGGCATACGCAACGTCGAACTTCGAAGTAGTGTCGTTGGGTATCTGCCCAGCTCTCTGAAGGGTAGTGCATCCAATTGCCATGATGAGATATAACAGAGTTGTGTCTGAGTCTCGATGTCGTTTTGCCGACTCTCCCAGGTTTTCGAGGTCTCGGAGAGCCTTGGTCCTGTTCACAAAGGGATATGCCCGATTCACGTTCCGGAAGTAGGCGTCTACAAACCGACGAGCTATGGCGTCTCGTGGCAGACTCGAAGACGAGAACCCCTCGTCGTTGCGGATGGACTCAATGCCAAGAATTCTTCCCGGTTCTGGCGCTGGTTGGAGCAGTGCTCGCATGTGGTCACGGCCCCTTGATGAAGGCGACTCAGAGTCGACGTTCACTGCCAAAGACCTCTGGTCGAAGACCACGGATCCGGCATTTCCATGCGATGGGTATGCATCTCTTGCCTCTCCACGATTGCTTCCACCACTGACGGACCCCGGCGTGGCACCATTTGCCGGTGTGGTCGGATTAATATCCAGTTGTTGACCATGATGCTGTGAAAGAGCTCCGGGTGAAGAGCCTATCAGCGACGCAAGGTCCGTACCCGTTTCCAAAGCTTCAACTCCACCGCCAGATACGCTTGCAACCGGGATACTGTCGTTGATGAACCGCGTCAACCACTCAATACGCGCCCGTAGATGGTGTGTTTGAGCAGCCGTGGAAGCGGCGGGAGTAGAAAACGAACACTTGTGTCCAGCATTGGCACAAAGCGTGCATACAGGGAAAGTTCGGGAACATTTCTTCTTGAAGCTGCGGCAACGATCGCAAGCTGGTATATCGCGAGCGGCCTTGGGAGATGAGGCCGAGGCCGCCGCAGTCACAGAGGCGGAGGCATTGGCGACATTGGGAGCTGCTCCAACAGGAGGGATTACAGGAGCTCCAGAGATCGGACTTGGCAGTATCGATGGCGTCGGGGGTGGCAGAGCTGTCGTTACTGCTACTGCTGATGCCGTATCTGAAGTTGGGACATCGGGAACAATATCCGAAGCTCCCACAGACGCTGTCGTTGCTTGCGGCGGCGGCAACGAAGCGCGAGGCAGAGCGGGCGGAGAAGCCGAACGACGCAAAGTGGATGGAGACGATGGGGATGTTCGTCGGACGCGGAAACGGTGGATGTTGGATCTGATCTGTTCGGGCGACATTGCGACTGGTGTCGGTGATGACGGCGAGAGGCCGACGCGGCGCCCGTCTCGAGTCGGGGGGAGAATCGATCGGTCGGTCACTGTGCGCGGTCGCGTCGCATAAGGGGGACCAAGACAGGATTGCTTGGGAGTCGTGGGGGCGATCTGGGTCGGGGATATCTCCGCTATTATGCTGAGTTGGAGCAGTTCATGGCCATGTCGATTCTTCAGCGATGATCTGGTATGCTGCTGCCGTATGGATTCTCTATCTCTGTCACGTATGTCGACGTAAAGTGAGCGATATCACAGCAGAGAGCAGACTTCTCTACCTCCTCCTTCCCCCCTTTGAGCGTTACAGTCCAGCCAGGCTGTCCAGTCCGCGCAGGATGATCCGATAACAAATTTCTTCACTGGGCTCTGGGCCGGCAGCTGGCACTACCCAGGCATTTCGGCAGTGACTTTAATCGCAATCAGCAAAAGCAGGACTCGAACGGGCGCAGAGCACGCAATCTCCATGGACTCGGAGAGATGGACGAATGAGAAATCTTTTCAGGGAAATTCATCCAGTAGATGGCCCTTGTTGGCCCCGCCAACGAGGATGCGTCATTCGGAGATAATATTGCTAAAGAATTATGTTCCTACTGAAGAGTGAGCTGCCCAGAGTGAAGAGATGTGTGACGGCTTATCGTCAACACTTTGAGAATGAGACACAGCGCAAATGAATAAGAGGAAACCTCTGCCAAGAGACTCAGTTGTAAGACCGGACGTATCCGTATATCACTTGCATGAGATCGCTGTTCATCCCAAGAGCTCGCTTGTGACAGGCGTGAGTAAATGATGCGTGTATGCAATAGCGTCCCACCCCTGAGCACTCACACGACTCATACAAAAACACTGGACGCCAGTCGGGCCAAGGCCGACCGTTGTCGGTCGCTGTGGTCGACTCACCATCCCCGCGGGCCATTCGTCCGATTGCAAATCATGGTGCAGAGAACTGAAGTTGCTCACTTCTACCGAAATCTGGAGATATGGGAATGTAATCGCCTGATGTCCATACTGCAGACCCGACGGCCTTTTGCGACTGCTTGCTCATTTAAGTCCGTCATCTCCTCTTTCCACAGGCTTTCTCCGAGGTTTTCACCGGTGCTGCGATACCCCTCATCCTCATCAGCACCTTTCCACGGTTCCTATTCCGAAGGCCGCTCCGCTCCGAATCGGACAACCCCCGCAGTCATGTCGCCGATTTATATGGAGGATAAGCTCAGTGTCGACCGTGTCGCCGTCATCGGCGCCGGGCCGTGCGGTCTCGCCGCTGCGAAGTAACCCGTCCTTCGTCCGAACCCTGTCGATGGCTGACACTAACCTTGATTTGATAGATACTTCTTGGCTGAGAAGAAGTTCTCAAAGGTGCAAATCATCGAGCAAAGAGATACTGTTGGTGGCGTTTGGACATACAGCTCCTTGAACGTCATCGACAATGATTTCAGCATCCCCAGGACACAGCCGACGAGGAAACCGGACACGGCAATCGCTGTAGAAGGGCATAAGGCCAAGCAATTCGTCTCTCCTGTTTACGATTACTTGGAGACCAATATTCCGCACACTCTGATGAACTACTCCGACACAAAGTTTCCCTCGGATGCGTCCCTGTTTCCGCCTCACCAGGTGGTGAAGAGATATCTGGAGGACTATGCCAAAGAGCTGGAGCCCATCATCTCGCTGTCCACGCAGGTGTTATCGCTGAAGAAAGTGCGAAGTGCGAACCAGGTTTGTTGGGAAATTGAGACGCGCGACCTCAAGACGAATGAGACAAGCAAGGCACAGTTTGATGCGGTCATGGTTGCGAGCGGGCATTACAACGATCCCTTCATCCCAGATATTCCCGGCCTCGCCGACTTTGACAAGGCGCATCCGGGCTCAATCTCACACTCAAAGTTCTATCGCAATGCCTCCCAATATGAGGGAAAGGTGAGAGCGCCTAGGCGACATAAGTATTCAGTGCTAACACACCTTCGCAGAAGGTCATCATCGTCGGCAACTCGGCCTCCGGTATCGACCTGAGTGCGCAGATCTCGACAGTCTGTAAACTGCCCATCATCGTCTCTGAAAAGACCGTTCCCAACACGCCGGCTGAAGACCGCTCATCATGGGCCAAGATGGTACCCGAAATTCTCGAGTTCATCCCCGAGGGCCGCAAGGTCCGCTTCGCAAACGGCGAGACCGAGGCGGACGTCGACGGCGTGGTCTTCTGCACGGGTTACTTCTACAGCTTCCCCTTCCTCCGCGACCTCTCCCCGCCGGTGGTCACGGATGGTGCGTACGCTCGCAATCTGTACGAGCATTTGCTCTACATCGACGACCCGACGCTGGCCTTCGCAGGCATCCCGCAGCGCATTGTTCCGTTCCCCGTGGCGGAAGGGCAAGCGGCTTGGGTTGCGCGCGTGTGGGCTGACCGGCTGCGACTCCCTAGCACGGCTGAGATGAGAGAGTGGGAGACGAAGATGCTCAAAGATAAGGGAGAAAGCAAGATGCTACACAATCTCGCATTCCCGAAGGACCTGGAGTATATCAACATGCTTCATGCGAGGAGTCTCGAGGCGGACAAGCGACCTGATCTTGAGAATGATGGTGTCGGTAAGATACCTCCGTTCTGGGATGATGAGAAGAGGTGGACGAGAGAGCGATTCCCTCTCATCAAGATCGCGTCGCGAAAGCTGGGCGAGAAGAGACACGAGGTTACAACGCTGGAACAGCTTGGTTTTGATTACAAAGCTTGGAAGGCCGGGCTGAGTGAGGAGGAAAAGTTGTTATGAGAGGAAATGAGGAAATGAGGACGTGAATGAGTTGTACGGCATGCTGCATGATTAGAAATGATAGAGATCAGTAGACATTTCAAGGGTGTTCATCGTGGGAATAAACGGCGGATCGCCCGGTCGCGCAACGGCTTGACTCATGGTTCTTCGGACAGCTCATGGCGTTGAGCAGCCAAGATCGTAGCGTAAGGATTCTCGATCCCACGGACGAACAGGTCTCCTTCATCTCCACAGTCTGTTCTCACAAGCTCGCTGCATCCGACGCCACCGTAAAATACCCAGACCACGAGTTCACGAGGGACATCGACAGTGGGGGCTGACAAATGATCGTCTGCTTGTCAAGCAACGACAAACCGCAGACAGCTTCCACTACCGCGCGCGAAGACAATTGTCGGAATTCCGACCCGCGCGGTATGAACAGCGCATTATTCGGATTGCCTGCGGGGAAAATGGGGAATATGCTAATTTTACGTCACCAGCCGCTGCTGTTGCTTTGACGTGCTCGCTGCAGTACCACATGCGACGCGCTTCGGACCCCTCTCTCCAGCGGAATACTGACTAATTGAACATCCCGTCGGCTTCATATCTGTACTTCATAAATGACCCCCTCAACCCCATGATCCACCCGTTATTGTGAAGTATCTCATACAGTTTATTTCGGAGTTTCGAATTACCCAAAATGAGCGAAGAGGTTCGTGGAATGGTGTTGCGAACTGAGATGTTGCGGCTAACACGGTTTCTTGACAGAAGGACCCCATCAAGTACCAGCCCGGCAAGGGCGGAGGCTTTGAGCGAACCGAGGCCCAGTTTCGCAGCTTCATCACCAAAGATCCCAACTCGAAGTTTCCTGCTGAAAAGGGGCGGTATGCTCTCTATGTTAGTCCTGGCTGTCCGTGGGTAAGTTCATATTATCTTTGACCGACGACATGACTTCAGCGTTGACTTGCATTTCAGTGTCACAGAGTGATGATCGTTCGCGCTCTCAAGCGCCTTGAAGATTACATCGATCTCTACATCGCCGACATGGGCATGGGAAAAGAGGGCTGGCACTTCACGGATAGCCCCGAAGCCGCCAAGCTCGGCGTTCTTCCCAAAGATCCCGTGTATGGCTTCAAGACCGTCAAGCAGCTCTATCAAAAAGCCAGTCCTGGCTATGATGGTCGTGTGACGGTGCCTGTTCTCTGGGACAAGAAGACACACTCTCTTGTCAGCAATGAGTCGAGCGAGATTATTCGCATGCTGTATACTGAGTTCGACCACCTGCTTCCCGAGGAAGATCGGGAAATCAGCAGGCCAGGTGGCGGGCTGTATCCCGAGAAGTTGCGAAAGGACATCGACGAGATTAACGATTGGGTGTATCACACCGTAAACAACGGCGTCTACAAATGCGGTTTTGCCTTCATGCAATCTGCTTATGAGGCCAACGTCGACCATCTATTCCAGTCGCTGGAACGTTTGGAGGACATACTCAAGAATCGGCCATTCTTGCTTGGAGATCAGATCACGGAAGCAGACGTCCGTCTGTTCCCGACCATTGCCCGATTTGATGTGGCTTATGTGCCCATCTTTCAATGCAATCTCGCCACCATTCGGAACGACTACCCGAATCTGCACCTGTGGTACAGGAGGCTCTACTGGGACCAGAGCGAGAGGACGCATGGTGCCTTCTTCAAGACTACTGATACTTGGATCTCTCGATTTAAAGAAGGATACGGAAACGCCAGATATCGGGTGTTAGGAATTGAGGGGCCTCTGATCATTCCGAAGGGCCCACGGGTCTTGATTCACGAGCTGAGCGAGGAGGAAAGGCTGTAAACGAGCCCATTGTAGCTCAGGTTTAGCGACATGCGATGTTTATGCACAATTAACGGACTTTATATCGACTCAACAGAGTGTCAGTGTCATTGAAGAATAGTAATTGACAAAAGAAGGTAAGCTATACATTCGAGAAGTAGGATGTTCCGGACTCCAATCCATTCGTGTATCCGCGCCGCAGAACCAGTAGCCCCCTCTATCATCACCGATGGAAGTCCAAGCTTCATGTCCATAACATCAAAGGGCTGATCATCCAAGAAACCCAGTCTTCTTAAGCGACCGCGCCCTTGATGAAAGTAGCAGCAGTCTTGGTGTCCGCGCCGTATCCAACGTGTCCAGAGGCGCTGGCGCTTCCGCAACCTCCAGCGCTAGCACATCCGCCAGCGCCGCAGACACTGTCACCGGAAGCGCAGAAGCTCTTGAACTTGCCAGCAGCAACGCCAGTGACGCCCTGGGCCTTGAAGGGGTCTCCGAAAGTGACGGCGGCGGCGAGAGGCTTGCCGCTGAGCTTCTTGCCGGCATTGTGGACAACCATGCCGCCCTGGCTGTAGCCCGTGAGGATGAGCTTCGTCTGCGGGCACTTGCTGAGCCAGGAGTTGGCCTGGTTGGCCATGGCGACGCTTCCGGGGCCGGAGCCTCCGCTCTCAGCCATGATACCGCCCATATCGGCAGGGTAGGAGACTCCCTCGACGGTGACGGCGTCAGCTCCGAGAGCAGCCTGGACGTCGCGCTGGAGGCCGGGTCCGACGACGCTTCCGAGAGTGCCCATCTCAGTGGTGCCACGGGCGAAGAGAAGGGTGAAGGCCTTGCAACCCGACTGGCGGACTTCGATGGGGTTGGCGGCCGCAAGAGCGGCGAAGAGAGTGGCGGTGATGGCGGCGGTCTTCATCTTGAATGTTGAGGATGGTTGGTGCGGTTTGAAGCGAAAGTCTTGTCGAAAGAGCGATCAGAGTTGACTATCGAGTTGAGTCGAAAAAGAACGAAATGCACTGAGAGGCAGAGAGCGAGTGAAAATGTTGCTTGAAGAAGCTTGGAAAGGAGGCGGGAAACGACCGGATGGTTGCTGTTGTTCCTGATGATCTCTTCGGGTAGCTACATCGTCGGCGACGGCCTCAACTCTTATACGAAGACCGTTCACTTCTCAACCGAGGCTTAGAAGCTCAGATATCAACAAAAGCAAGAGAACATCTCCACGCCCGCCACGAACGCCATCCCATGTTTGAGGCGATGAGCTTAGTTCGTCCAAAAACGATGTTTCTTGCGATCTCTCCGTTTCATGGTGATTGGTGGCTTCATCCCGTAGACACCAATGTCTCAACCTGCAGTCGGTTTAATCAAAAGTAATCGGATTGACACGGTTCTCCTGTTGAACGGGCACTCCTTTCTCTGTGACATATCATATTGGCAACGCGGGTGCATTGACACACATTCCTGGAGAGTGACACAACGCTTGGACGTTAGCAGTCACCAACGTCGAACGCCATGATTGGCTGTTCGTGTCACACCATTCACACCATCCCATGGATTTCAGGAGTGTCTTCGTATGCAAGTTGTTTCTTATGTCCAATGTCCATGATCTCACAAACGAACCATCCGTCACAAAATGCACGCCGGTTCTGGGAAGACACATGGAGACCCCTCTTAGAAAGCTTCTCGACGTTCTGTTCGCTCCGAGGTAACCGAAAAATCCACGAAAAGACCGGAAATAATGTGGGCGTCTTAATTAAAATGTTCTGGACCTTCTTCGGGCGCCAGCCACTTGGTAAGGAACAAGCCGGGAAGAGGCATCCTCGAAGGATTCGGTGGGCACCAATCGCATCTGATGTTTTTCGACATTTCTCCTGAACTAAACAATGACACAAGGATCAACACCATCGGTGAGTTATTTTCAAGATTACTCTGGTTGCTCTGAGTTCATCTCGATTGAGAAAATGAGACTTGGCCAAACTCCTATTGCCTTTACTCCCGATATCAATGGGAAGAGAACGGCCTAGAAGCCTCTCGACGCATTAATATTTCCAATCAATGTACCAGTAAAGAGCGCCATATTGCGTTTCACCTCGGTCGGCATAAAGACGTCGTCAATTTACGGCCCGGCAGATAAGCATACTACCTTTCGTGACTTAATGATCGTCTTAATCACCAGGGTTGGTCGTTCTATTTCCAGTGACACCGGTGCGCTGCCAGAACAAGAAACCATACCCAGAATTCCGGCTTTCCATACAATAGTGCCAAGTTCAATGATGATACCTTGTTATGGGCTTTCTGGGCCGAGGTTCGTCAGCTCTTGCCCGCTCGAATAGTGGTTTTGATTTGGGCATCAAGAAGTAATGGCTCTTCCGAGTAGTCATGTGTTCATGATCGTGAGGGGATCTACGTCTTTGGCAGAACGTCTCACTTACACAAATCTCGTCGGTGGCAATTACGGCGTCTCTCGGATTCGCGTTCCAATACTGGCCAGTCCACTCAAACTGTGAGAAAATCGTGCGATTTTATCCCTTCCCCGCACCACCAGTGTTGAGACAAAGATGACCTTGAAGTAGAAGCTAAGGACTAGAAGCAGCTCACAGGATGTCGCTACCGCGCCATTTGGACTTCAGGGAGACGAATTTTGAGGTATCAATCATGCTGTCTGGGCATCATTAGCAAGACTAGCTCCCGAACTCTGTTCTAGAAGCCTTTCCCATATCTAGTTCATATCACAAGGAATGCCACTGGAGAAAAGTCATCGCAAGCCTCACGAACGGAAAGCTGCTGACATTTTACCGCCAAGGCGAAATTGAGGTTACACGACATACGACAACCATCACTTTCGAAATGACATTTCCCACAGCTTGGTGAAAGTTGCGCGAGACACTCGAAGAATTCTGGAAGTCACAGGCGAACCGGTGATAAGCCAGGGGCTGCGACGGAATGTCTCGGGGGCTCCTGGGGAGCCGGCGTGTCAAGTCGTTCTTCACTTGGAGTTGTATGTCACTGCACATCTAACGCTCCCCGAGAATTTCTTATCCACGTTCCATGTGGAGATATGTACAGGCAAAACGTCGGCCGGATGGGAAGGGAAAGGGGCGGTGCAGGTCGAATACGCATGACGAGAGAGACATGCACAGTCGCTGATCAGGGTCTCCCCCGCAGCCTCAAGGCGATCATCGAGGCTGGCGAATTGGCTCTTGGCTCCCAAGACATCATCTGACGCCCAATTTCCATGGTCCAAACCTCCACCCTGCTACCTGACTCCCTCGAAGCCGAGGTGATTGAGAACAGAATCACAGAGACACGCAGCCATTGGCGCTGTTCTCGACAAAGATGCCGCCCAGTATCTGCCCTTCGTTCAACCCGGCCTCTTGAAATCCGTCGAATACGACTGTCTTCGTCTCGGTGGGCTTTTTCAACATGCCAATTTGCAAGGCGCCACCACCGGCGTTGTTGTTTGGGAGGACCTTGGTCACAGACTTCAGAGGCTCGTTGTTTTCCGAGAAGAATACTTGCATGGTACTGCGAGAAAGTCAGTCATTGCAATGGTTTGGGTCTGATGTTTCAGTGTTTATATCTCCCATGAACCTACTTTTGGGGTACATTGAGGGTGACAGCGAAGTTCTGCCACACGTCAAACTTCAGGGGAGTTGTGAAGACGACACTATTGTTCCGATCCATCATCTTCCAATTACTTGCAGGTGGCTCTGTTCCATTTTGACCCAGCGGCAGCCCTAGCTGCAGCGCAAACTGTGCGCCCCCTGAGTCGTTTGTCTCATGGAACGCAGTTAGGTACTCGTGCGTAAGATTCAGCTTGCGAGACGAGTCTTGCATTGAGCTCCAGTGGAAGGTCATTACCCCCTGGTTCGACGCGTCTGATCCATTGCCAAGCAGAAGACCAGCACGGCGGAAGCCGAGTTGGGGGTTCTTTCCTGGGGGCGGGTTGAAAATGGATCGGTCATTGATCGTCACCTCCAATGACTTGAAGTTGCCCGTGACGTTGGAAGCATCGAAGCGTGATATGGTTGGGACGCTAGGGAACAAGATGATCTTGGACCATGGATCCTCACCTTTAGTGAAGCCGGGATTGTATGGGCTTGCGTTTGTGTCGAAGGTTTCGAGGGTGAAGTTCTGCGGTATACGTCCGTCTAGAACAATCGGGCATTGAACAGATGCAGCAAGTGCTTGAAGAGAGCGTAAGGCCACATGTGGCAAAATCATTGTGAAAAGTGGCTGAAGAGAGTGACTGAAGCGAAATTGATAGAGACTGTCTAGTGTCCAAAGTTGTGGACTTGCATTTAGGAACGGCCTCCATCTTAAATTCCTCCCATTATGAATGGTTGTCCTGGAAGACAGCCAGTTGATCGCTTTACCCCCACTCATATGATACCAAAACCTTATTCTTGCTGGTAAGGGGTGAAAGCTTATTTCATGCTCGTCTGAACATTTATTTACCGATACCGAAGGACCCTTCCGCAAAGTTCATTATGCCATGTTGATCATTGTATGGAGGGACCTTCGATTCGGAACTCTCCGTATTCAAGGTCATGGATAAGAGCAGTTTTTTGATGCAAGTGTGAACGGTCTGGAGCCTGTATACAACGTTGATGTTGCCTCAAGATGAGACGTGCAGACGAATCGTAATTCCCTGTCTGGGTTGTTCTTGAGTCATGCGCTTGAGGGAGCTAGGCGAAAATCTCGAAAGTGAGATCCGGCGATCGGGCTGCTGGTAGATCTCAAATTCATGTCAACTATTGACCGACGTTTCCGTAGAACACCTACTTATTTCATTTGAGCGACACCATAGATATCCCTGCAGTATCACCCAGTGATGTATGACTGAACTTTGCGTTAGGGACCAATTTGACTATTTGAAACCCTCGTAATCATAATATTCTTTTCGACTTCAACTGAAATTGCGACGCGAAGCTCAAATAAGCTGTGTGTCATCTTCTCTTAACGTAGTTGTGCAGCGTGCACGCACTAAACAGTAATACTGCCATCGTTCAATATCAAAGTAGGACTTCTGTTGTTTCAACATAGTGAGAAATCAAGAACAACTTTTGCAGCTCGTTGAGTATCAACCTTTCCATCTTATGCGTGCACAGCTTGGTGTCTCAATCTGTTCAGAATTCTGCTCCACCGTCGAACGCTTCAAGATCACGAGCCTGCTTAAGTCTCAACACCCGAACTTCTTCTGTACCACATTCGTCTTTTTGCATATTGAGAGCCTCAGCCAACGTGGGGCGCAGCACGTTGATGATTTACAATTGGACAGCTAATGCAATATTCTATGCAATACAATGCACCCATCAATCCTTATTGTTCTAGCTCGCCATACCCAAGGAGTTACCATTGGGCAGCCGTGAGCGCGTAATCAAGAATTCCCATTCGCCGTTGTGCATTCTGGTGCTTGCCACTCTCCCCTCGTTTTTCTTCCGTCATCTTCGATAAAAATCAGGTTCTGCTGGTTGTATCCAAGTTTTGCCTTCCCCCTTTTCTGTTGTTTTCCCCGAGCTATCCAAAGGTTCTCTGTTCATGCGTACCGTACTCAGAAGACTTCATTTGAACCAGTCTTTCCTTCATCCCGGCTGCCATGTCTGACCCGTCAAAGTACTCAATCGGGTGGATTTGCGCCATCAGCACTGAGTACGTCGCTGCTCGAGCCTTTCTCGACGCAACACACGACCCTCCCGAATGCGTTGCTCCGAACGATGGCAATGAGTATACGCTTGGGCAAATAGGCAAGCATAACGTTGTTGTCGCTGTTCTGCCAGATGCCGAGTATGGATTGTCGACAGCGTCTGCCGTTGCTAAGGGCATGCTGTGTTCATTCCCCAACATCCGCGCTGGCCTTATGGTCGGCATTGCTGGAGGCGCCCCCATACTTAGCCTTGGTCGGGATATTCGGTTAGGGGATATTGTTGTCAGCTCTCCATGCGACGGACACGGCGGCGTGTTTCAGTATGACTTCGGCAAATTGGTCCAGACTGTAGATGGACAAACCTTCCAGCCAACCCGCTTTCTGAACCAACCCCCGGACGTTCTCAGAGCTGCTGTTACCGGCCTGAAGGTTGAGATCGAAGAGCAGGGCCACACTATTGATCAGGAAATTGAAGCAGTCTTTGCGAAGAAGCCAAGACTACGATCGAAGTATAGTCGACCACCTCCCGAAGCAGACAAGCTTTACTTAAGCCATGTTGTTTCCGACTCGAGCAAGCCAGAACCAGGGCCAGAAATGCTGGTACATCGACCTAGACGAACAGAAGAAAAGGACAACCCGGCCATCTTCTACGGACTAATAGCCTCTGCGAATCAACTCATAAAAGACGCTACCCAGAGAGACAAGCTAGCCAAAAGCAATCAAGTCTTATGCTTTGAAATGGAAGCAGCGGGACTTATGAATCACTTTCCTTGTTTGGTGATCAGGGGCATCTGTGATTATTCCGACTCGCACAAGAACAAGCAGTGGCAGGGCTATGCAGCTATGGCAGCAGCTGCATACGGGAGGGCCATAATTCGACGTATTCAGAGGAACCGGCTTGAACTTGAGAAGAAATTAACATCAGTTCTTTCCAATGATGGTAAGTAAAATCCCTTCAAACAAGAGGTTGAAACTCTCCACGCATTCTTCTCAAATCTAACATGCGAAGTTGAGAATGTCAGGCAAGATGTGTCTCAAGTCAAAGTCATGATAGACTACGGCAACCTTGACAAGCTCTCCGTGGCAGAAGAGGCTGAGTACAATTCGAGTCACAATCAGCATGAGCCGAAATGCCATCCGAAAACAAGGATCGACCTACTGGAAGAGATTCAAGTCTGGGCAGAAGACGAAAACGACCACCGTATCTACTGGCTTAGTGGATCTGCTGGGACCGGAAAGTCTACCATTTCTAGAACGATTGCACAGAGGTTCTACAATGAGAAGCTACTCGCTGCCACCTTTTTCTTCAAGAGAGGTATTGCTGCTTGCAACACAGCATCAATGCTATTTTCAACTATTGCTCGCCAACTAGCGAGGCACCGACCTGCACTACAGAGCTTCCTAATAGACGCTATTAAGGAGACAGACAACATTGCCTCAAAAGGTATTGAAGATCAATACCGTAAACTGATCTTCAACCCAATGGAGAATGCTTTTATAAACATCTATGAAAAAGTATTTGAACAGGTCTACCGCAAGGTCTACAAAACGACGTTCAAGCAAGTGTACTTGGACCTAATCAAGACATCAAAATCTTCGGACCACTCGATTGATGTCGAGAAATATGCCGATCGAGAAATTGTCAACGACCTTCAGTACATTCTCAAGCCTGCTATCGAGGAAGCCCTGAGGCTCGCCCATGGAACGAAAGTTGCAGAAACCCAAATAAACGTGGACGCCATGAACACAGACGTTGAGTATAGCTACGAGCAAAAGTTCGGGGGGCTTCTCAGAGGCGAAGCCTTAGCTATGTCTCGGAGACTGGCTAGTATCGCTGCAGGAGAAGACGAAGCTTCTCAAAGAATGGCCAAAAAGGCAGCAAGAGCAAAGGCGTACGAGAAAGCTTTCGAGGCATCACAAGAAGAAGTCAAATTGCAAACTTCGTTTCTCGTTCTCGATGCATTGGACGAGTGTTCATCGGCGGAAGACATTGCAGCCTTTGTCCCACTGCTATCTGAGCTCTCCAAGTCTAGGGTTTTCAGCATCAAAGTATTCCTCACTAGCAGACCAGAACACGCTGTTCGCTGTCCATTCACACCGATCACAGGTCTCTACGAGAAGGTTCTGCACAAGGTTATGCCGGAAATCGTCTCCAGGGACATCAGAATCTTTCTCAGGGACGAATTGGCGGCTATGAAAGATAAGTGGAATGCCAGAAAGCGGAACAACAAGAGACAGCAACTGCAACTCGGTTGGCCAGGAGAATCGAGACTAGAAATTCTGGTGGAGCAAGCCAGCGGCATTTTCATTTTCGCAGCGACTATATGTCGCTTTCTCGACGACCCTTTTCAGAACCCTGAAGATCAGTTGTCCCTTGTCATTGATGCCACGAAGGCAGGTGGTATTAACCACAGATTGTCACCCACATATCTCCCTGTACTCTGGCAATTGAAGATAAACCGCACCAAGCAAGAGACGGACTTCATGTTGAACATGTTCCGGAGAATCGTTGGGACCGTCATTCTGATCGAGCAGCCATTGCCTGTCGATTCAATAAGTGGTCTACTGGGCATCGACGTCACACAAGTTGAGAGAATACTGGATCCCTTGATTTCTTTGATCGACATTCCGGAAGATCGAAATGCGCCTGTCAAGCCTTTTCATCTATCTTTTCGGGATTTCCTCTTGAGTCCGGAGGCTGGAAACTTCCAAATCCTTTATCAGCAAACACATCAGCAAATCGCGCTTAGCTGCATGGATTTACTTACCAATACACGTCGGCATCAGTTGCATTACAACATGTGCAACTTAGATTTTGCGTCGCCGTCAACAGTCGACTCTGACTCGGTTTCGCGGTACCTGCAGCCACATGTCCAATATGCATGTCTTTACTGGGTGTATCACCTTTCGGAGGGTGGTATGCGCATCCAAACCGGCGACGAGGCCTACAAGCTCCTGAGGACTCATTTGCTCCATTGGCTTGAGGTTCTGAGCATTCTTGGACCGGTAGAGAATGCAATATCCATGCTCAACAGACTGATTGGCCTTGTCGATGTAAGTCCACCTTCGCCCCGCTTTTGCAGGTTGACGTTACTGAGTCGAAGCTGCTAGTCTACAAATGAACATGAGCTTCTTGCGTTCCTTAACGACGCGATATGGTTTGTAAGGAACAACATGTCCAGTCTACGCAGCTACCCACTCCAAATTTACTGGTCCGGCCTTACGTTCGCGCCACCGAGCAGCGAAGTACGAAAAGCTTTTAGAGCCAACTTCACCGCTCTGGTTGAGTTCAAGACACTTCAGATAGTCCAATGGGCACCACGACTTCTCAAAACACTCGAGTCGGAGTACATCAGAACCTTTCAATGCATGGCAATGTCCCCGGACTCAACACTGATCGCATGCGGAGACGCTCATGGGGTAATACATATCTGGAAAACATCCTCGTGTGATTATTTACGCGAGATAAGACTCCAAATACACCACACACTCAGCCACCTAATAATCCGGCTGAAAACCCCGACTTCACTCACTTTCTCTGAAGACTCTTCAAAAGTTGTGGTAGCAACCACAACGGACTTACAAGTCTATGAAGTGAACACAGGCACGTTTTTATGGGCTTCTCGAGATTTCGAGGCTGGTCCAGATCACGTTGCAGTTTCCGCGTATCAGAACATCATGGCCTCAGCTCACAAAGACTGCCGCGTCATGCTGTGGGCAGTCCCGACGGGAACGCCAATCTCAACTCTGTCGTCAAACGTTTCTCAAAAGGAAGAACGAGATCCCCTTGAGAGGGGGTTCTTGACGTTCTCAACAGTGGCCCCCATTGTCGTGGCGTCTTTTGGGAAGACCATTTACGTTTGGAACACGGACACTGCCTCCATCGTCCGCAGGTTTTGTCAAAGTTCTCGAGTGGTCTGCCCAATGACGATTTTAACGGGAACTTCCTTACTGGCTATCAAGGAAGAGACCGGATGTGTATCTCTGTATGATCTCAACAACGCTGAACTCAAACGCTCTTTCGAAGGCTGTCCAGGGGCCTTCGGGCAGCTTGCTGTATCACACGACGCTAAGCTCATAGCATTCGACTCGCCTGGAACCTCCCAAAACACTAAAAATATATCAATCCGTGCCGTTGGAACCGGGGACTACATTGAAGTACTGGAACACCCACATTACAATCTACCACCAATAAATTGCCCCTTGGCATGGTCTCGAGATGGGAGTCGTTTTGTTCAGGCCGATACATCCTATGCTCGCATTTGGGAGTTCCCTCCAATAGGCGAAATGAACGAACAGCCCATTCAGCATATACAGTCAAGGTTTCAAGCGAGACATGCGGACAGTTGCTTCACATCTGAATCCACGCAAGGGCATATCATAGTCTCAACTCATAAAGGGGGGGTCATGAGACTATGGTCATCAAGGACTGGCGAGCTTCAACAGAGTATCAAAGGTTTTGCAGGTCCACTCGTACCCCGAAATGTAGCCATATCACCAGATCTGGAGTACGTCTTTGAAGCAGACTCCCGTGGAAACCGCCGAGTCTGGCCTGTGCACGATCCAGACAATGCTGTTACAATCTCGGAGATTGGTTCATATAACTTATACGGAATTTGGACCGCAAGGTTTTCGCCTGACTCCAAACTTCTGTTAACCTGTTCACTCCATGAGGTCAGTGTCTGGACTGTACAAGGAGTGAAAAGGTTTCAAGACCTTCCAAACTGTGGACTCCCTGTAGTCGTTTCAGCAGACTTCAAGCTGGTGGAGTATACGGTCAGATCTTCAGTCACGGACTCATTCGATGCCAGTGTCGAACATAAAGTGCTTTGGACGGAGAAAGACCAAGTCATCGGGTTCCCGGAGCCTGTGAGTGAGACCATGACTCTATCCACGTCGCCAGACACATCATGGATAGCGTTCTCGAGATTTGATGAGACCAGTAGGCACTTCATCATTTCGATCTGGTCAATTGATGGCGGTATCCAGGTAACATTAGATGAGAAGCTCGGGTTTCTTTCTTCAACGTCCACCTTCTCACCACACCAACAACATTACGCCTCAATAAACGAGAAAGGCACAGTCTTTCTTTTTTATTGCAATACGCAAAGGGGCTTTTCTGTTGGCCTGGAAGAGACAACCGACATACATGAAGTAAAAGTCTTGTTTCACTCAGATGACTCGCTCTTCATCACCGACAGTCGTACGATTTCTCACACCACAAATAGGCAAGAAACCAATCCACAAAAGGTCCTTGCGACCAGTTCGAGTCAGCTATGCGTTACTCTCCCGCCAAAAAGACATGTTCGTCACGCCTATGGACTCGATGCAGCAGGAGAGTGGATAACTTGGAACGGCGATCGCGTCATTCTGCTGCCTTCGAATATGCAGGCCATGCACGGAGGCAACGCAATTGCCGACAGAAATGTAGCTATTGGAGATTCAAGCGTTGCCTGGTTGACGAAGTCGAAAGAGATTGCCATTATAGGGTGTTCCACGACATCTAACCCTGGAATGGCAGTCAGGCCTACTCAATGAACAACAGTGGGACTGGCCAATGCTGGCGACGATGAGTGTAGATCTGTGAAAAGACATAAAGTAAATCAGTGAGAGCTTTTGCGAAGCAATGAGAAATATCAAGCGACTCTGAGAGCTCACTTAAACCCAGTGTTATGTAGACAATTAGTGTCGTGATCTGTTCTTGAGAACTATTGTACGTCTCCTCATCACCAGCTGCTTAGGCCTCAATATCTGGTCGCTTTCCGCGTCTTGATGTGGAACCCCCACCAGCAGGACGATGTGGTTGAGAGCAAAGAAGACTACCTAAGTTGTCGAATATGGCTACAGGCCCATATCAGGAAAACGTGTACACATGTGGTCATCGCGTGGCACGAAAACAAAATAAAAAGAGAAAAGGCTTGTATCATGCAACAACTTGAGTATTAACTTCCCACATAGAACACGGTATAAGTGCACACCCAGCGCTCAACACTATGAGGGCTACACGCCCATAATCAAAGGCTCAAAAAGTTCATACCTGTCCTTCAACGCCGGCCGGCATCGCTGCATCCGCGAGAGATTTGCTTACCTCAACCTACCGATTTGCAGATCACTTTAGCAACAGCCCTAGAACTCATCCCACTCCCTTGATTCCCCTGCGATCCTAGTCAATGAGACCTCCGTGCGGGCTGCTACCACCAGTCTTCTTGTTCAAATTGTGTCCAGAAGCGGGGGCGGTATGATAGTGCGCAATTTGGCTCCATCAACTTCCGGTGTGACCCAAATGTACGTCGAATCCTGCGTCCGTTGCTCGAGATCAGCTGCCTCTTCAAGCCGGGCATGCAAAGTCGTCACGCAACGAACCAGCATGAAGGCATACGCACCAAAAGATATCTTGCAACTATCGTTTCCGATAACATTTCAGCATATCTCCGACCAGCTATCTCTGGCAACAACCCGTGATGCGTGGGCCGGAAACAGCAACGACCTCTCAATCTACTACACAACCGACCCAATGTTCGAGAAGGTTGGCACAGGAGACCAAGGACTCGGTCTAGCCTTCACAGATATTGATGAAAATGAATTTGGGCCCCGTTTCAATCAGCTACTCAACACCTTCTTTATGCTAGGCCAGATGAAATTGCTCGTCATGAGTACGGGCGGGGCTCAACATGAAGAAGCAACTTTCCAGCCAAACGTTACCACAAATGCGACAATTAGTATCCAGGTGGAAGTATTCGAGATCTCGAAGACCTGGATCTTGTTATGCTTGCTGTCATGCGGCGTTCTTCTCGCCGGTGGTATCTCGAGTGTGGTTATTACCCACCTGACGGTTGCGCCGGATGTTCTGGGCTATGTGTCTACGCTAGTCCGAAGCTCGCAAGTCGACCTCCCATTTCGCACGAACTGGCTTGAAGGAGCAGAACTCTCGCAAAGGATCAGGAAAAAGCGGTTTCGATATGGATGGACGCATCAAGTCGTCGATGGAGAACCTCTCTTTGCAATTAGGCTTGAGAACGAGACGGAACGAGTTGGGGACTTGATATACGAGAAACGAGAACCCTGATAGTACATCAATTCGCAATTCTCTTGCATCCTGCGCTTGCGTAGTGGGGCTTTCTGCGGTTGAATCAGCCTCTTCAGCTCCCAATATAATGATCCTACGCTTGACAAACTAGCACATACGGCCATACCCATTGGAGAACTCGGGATCCCGTCCGCTCTCCCATAGATAAGCCAATGAGGGCCGGATTAGTAGTTGGGTCGGTGACGATCAGCGAATACCTGGTGTTGTATGTTTTTTGGATGTTGTGCTGAATGTATCTTAGAGTCTTTTTTTGGGCAGGTGGTGTTAAAGCAGGGAGCCCCACCAAGACATAAAACCTCGACCAGCGATAGGCTTGAAGCTATTGCAATACAAATAGAGTATATAAATATAAGTAGTTAACTATGTTGTACCCTAGAAAGCTATCTCGCTTTTAAGCTGGGACTGCTAAAGCACTATCTACCTACCTCAGAGAGCTGGAAAGCACTAGTAAACAATGGATGCGCCACTCTAAACAACTTCACCCACTTTCTTATATTGGTACACAAGGTAGTCACTAACACCAACTTTGAGAAATCCAGCTGCTCAAGCTCGTGATGATCTATCCAACTATGTAAATCGAATGCGTCTTTGTGCCGGGCCTATTATGAGCGGAATGGTCAGGTTAGTTCTTGAGGAACTTGTTTACTTCGGTGATCTAGAGACGGCCTAAGTCGGCACGGAGGACACAACCATTCCCTAAAATTCACTGCATGTTGCTATTTGGCTCAGCTCCTGATAGGAAGCATGATTATTTAAGCTGACACTTCGCCGTTACTGCTTGCTCCAAACTTGACCCGTACATTCTTCGCCGCCATCCGCTTTCCATCATGCACGATGGTAAAGTCCAGACTGATGCCGTCACACACCATCGTCATATCCCACTCCAAACGGTAGAAAACCCTTCCCGCGGGGTTGGTATATGTCGGTAGACTCTCAAAGTCGATTCGTTTGTTCCATGCAATGGTGCAAAGTCGTTTGACAGTGGCATCTCCGCGTTTAGGGGCCGGAGACGCGGTAGAATATTGAAGCGCCACCAGAATTTCGTTGGGCGGCCTCTCGTACAGGCGGTAAAACTTGTGACTGATGGTACTGGCTTCACAGACATCGGTTCCCTATTCCACAAGTTAAATTAGTTCAGTGTGGTCATACCTCGAAGCGTACCTGTTTCAAGTACCATTCCATTTGGTTGCGTGCAACCCACTTCATTTCTATCTCGTCCCAAGCTCTGTCAATTGCCAAGTGGACACTTGGATTATATGTAGTGTAGAAGTTTGTTCCGTAATTGACTCTTGCGATTCGCGACTCCACCTTCACCGAGAAATCCGGAACTCGGTTCAGCTGCGAAAGTCCTCGAATAACCGCACCACGGCATATAGCACTCCACCTGCATAGTTTTAGTACAATCAGGTAGGTAGCGCGGTGAAACTCACGGTCTGGATCCTTGGGCCTGCAAGACTTCTGTGTGTTCATTGCCAAGGCTTTGAACAAGGCGGTTGTGAAGATACGGGCAACGACCGAAACCGCCAACGAGAATAACATACTGATTGACTTCAGCAACTATTCAAGCACAGATTAGCATTGGGTAGAGAAAAGAGCTTACCTTGGGAAGCCTCTCGTACTTCTGTTGGACTTGCTGCACCTGCTTCTGAACAAGCTCCTCAACCTGGCTGGAGATCTGCCCGAAGACTGGGTCCAAATGCGGATGATTGAGTGTCAGCATTGGCTTTCGTGAGAGGCTGCTAGTTCCAATGGTCGGACGGCAGCCATACGGTAGGGTAACGATCCAGTCTTTTTGCTGGCCGAAAAACTGCCTCTTGATGCCGTGTTCCCAGTCACTGTGGAGCAGTCTCTGGACCTCGTCCTTGGATATGGCATCCCAAACGTCAGGGCCAACCGTGCGTCTCATCAGGTCAACAAAGGCTTGGTCAAGAAACACGCCGCCGCAGAGCCACCCGTCGCCCTTCACTGCTTCCTTAACGACCATAGGCTCAACAGTCACAATTTCGTACGAAATGAGATCGACAGTACCACCCCCCGCGTCGCAGACGACGAAGTGATCTCCGTTCTGTATGTGACTATCGTTAGCAATCTCAAGTATTTGATGAAGCTGAAAGGCTCACTTTGATGTCAGGGCGGTGTCGTAGGTCATACATGGTCGCTAACGCAGCGACTTCCGGTTCAGAGGCGAATGATAAGACGGTATCCCCAGCTGGACGAGTTTCCAGGATTCCTGCATCCTCAGCGGCCTGCCTCATGCGTATCTTGGAGTACTCAGGCCAAATTGCCGGTACTGTGATCACGACATGGAAGGTGCAAAGTCTCAGGAGACCTTTTCCCGTTGCCCGAGTGATACAGTCAATGGAGTGGTTCCAAAGATGCCGCAGGTAGGTGCTAATAACCTCTACCACATCTCTGTTGGATTCCTCCAGAAGCCTCCTGGCAGTGGCTATCTGGGGAGACTGTTGCAACTCAGGTGCAAGGTCCCTTGAATCTATGAGAAGCAGTTTGAACCACTTGAGGCTTTCTTCGGCTCTGTCGGCCGGTACTCCGTATCCCCAAAAGGTCTCGTCCTGGATGGGGCCGTAAAGAATTGTAGAGGGCGCTTTCTCGGTATCCGAGTTGAGACTCAGTTCCGAGGGCCACTGGGTAATGACCTCGATATTCTTTGGCTGGCCCGCAAACGCCCAGCTAACTCCCGAGAAGCTATGGATCCGAACAGGCACTTAGTCTTCTATTTTCAGTCCGGCGGGGTGCAAATTGCTGCTCACGTGGTTCCGAAATCGATGCCGATGACGATGGTTTGCTCTTGCCCATCGTTGACCCTCAACGTATCGCTGAGGAGGGATCCGATATGCGCATCGCCCATCTTGATTGATGTCTTGGGGTTGAGTCGAATTCTGCCTTCAAGATTTCTCATACAAACCACGAAATGTGTCTGGAGGCTTGATGTCTCAGTGCGAACAGAGTGTTGGTTGTATTCCCCTAGACAAGACTGGTAAAAGGTCAGCCCAAACTTTTACTTGGCCAAGTTGCGCATTTCGTCACATGTTAATTCGCAGTCTTTGAGCAAGACTGCGCTCAAGCTCAAGGTTTTGTTTTTGATGTCGGAGGCCCTCCACTCTTTCACGATAAGCTGAGGGGACAACGTTTTGTCGGTGAAGTTTGATCTTGGGTAGACCAACATAGATTTCATGTTGCGCAGGCTATCGCTAAAACTTTTGATAGAATTCCAAGTAAGCCTTGTAGCCCAGTAGAGAGTTTTTGTTCCTAGTCGGAGGGCCTCCGGCAGCAGACGTAGATGATTCGGCCCACAAACCTAGGCGTGGGCGGTCGTGACAGACAAATACCATTTTCCCAATCCACCGGCGTTCTAAACAACAGTATCATTTGACCTATCCCGGACACCAAAACTACCAAAATGCATGAGAACAATGATCAGCAATTGAGGCAAACGCAAATTTCTCCAGACCGCACCCTCTCTTCCCGCCAGTCAAGTACCACAGGATACGAAGAGATGGAACGACTTGATACAACTCGCCCAACTTCCCGTGGCCGGCGTCTACTGAACTTGTTTGGGAAGTTTTCCAAGGAATTGAAGAGTCTTGCAGTGGACGATGAGAATTTGGAAGTCGATAATCTACGACTGCGCAACAAGCTGAATCAGCAGGATACCTCTCTTCGAAAGCAAGAAGAAGCCCTGGCTGAAGCTTCCAAAACAGCCCGTGATCACGAACGCAAGCTTACGGAAGCGCAACAATCGCATGCTGAGCACATTCGCGAACTTCAACGTGAGATATCGATCCTGAAAGAGCAGGTCTACGAGCTGGAAAAGGAAAAGGCCTCATCTCGTGCAGTGGCAAACAGCACCAAAGTCTCGGACACCGTCATCCTCGATATCTGGAAAAGAATGGCCTACAACATCCGCTCTCTCGCCAACACAGTTCTCACACGATGCCCCGAGGAGGAGGAGATGTTGTTGGACTACCGATACAACAATGAAACGGCCCTACAGACGACGCCTGCGGAGTACAAGCTGCTAGCGGACGAGAACACCAGATCGGCCATTGTGGAATGCTACATCTGGCGTTCCATCTGCTGTGGCGTTTTTGGCAGCGGCCACCAGCGGGAGCAGGCCGGGGCCTGGGGAGGGATCGCGGGAAACACACTCCAGGCTCTATGTCGTATCCTACTCCGTAAGCATAGCCATCAGAAACAGCTACTTTCTTCAAGAATCAAGCTGATGGAATCTACTTGGGGCTAGCTAAAATTGACCACGCTACCGCTGCTGGATTCATTCAGTGGAGGTCGGAAGGCGCAGCTATGATCGAAAGAGACATGGGTTCTCACAGTCGAGTTTTGCTGGACCTCGTTACACGGGAGCACCATAGGCTCTCGGCTTTGATGCCGCCGGACAAAAGGATGGACCAAGCGACAAGGAATGAGTTCCAAAGAGAGCTGATGTTTGTTTTTGGTGACGCGACGTCACTACTGTCCATTTTCATGAAGTCCAGAGCGCTTTTCCACGTGTATTGGATGGATCAGAAATCCTCTGGGCCAACAGTCCCATTCAGGCCAGAGACCATGGAAGCTGAGATGTGGGGAGAAGCCCCGGGCGTCAAAAGCGTCGTTTTCAACATTTCACCCGGATTGTCGAAAGCCGGCACTGCTGATGGAGCTGATTATGACCACATTGCAATTTTGGTAAAACCTAGGGTAATCTGTAGCTAGTCTATTCTCTATGTCAAATGAAGGTTCACTTCCTTATGCTTATGACTTTGCTGTAGCCTAGAAGAGTGCAGCTACCAAAGCTTTCCAAAGAGTAATGTAAGAATGATCTGAAGTGATTCGTATAAGAGGACCCTGACGGGAACATCTTTGCAGTTTGTGCGGAAGGTAACAGTATATTTAAATAGGCCAACACCGCCGCAACGACAAGTTGTCAATTTAAAAGATAAGATCAGTCAATAAGAAAGTGAGGCTATCGATACCTCCATATTCTAGATACCTAGGAGACCAGTCAGGAGGTCAGCTATTGTTATTATGAAAATTTTGAGGCGCGACTCGGGCGAACTTTTAATACGGCTTTATAGCATGCAAAAGGACCTTAGAGAGAGATCCGTGGTGAGGGTAGTTGTGGGGGTTGTCTCGAGGGGGCCCGTGAAGGTCCTCATGCGGGTATCTGTAGGCAATGATAAGTGTCCGAATAGCCTCTCTTTCACTCAATTAGGTAGGAAATATATTGCATGTATTTCTAAAGTGATTGGATTTGACATGCTGTAGGTAGAACACTCAAACAAGTAAGCAATGTGGGAGGCGCATTGCTTTAGCTGCCCTTACGGCGGTACTGGAACCCGCCAAGCAATATTCAAAGTAGCATACCTAGGTAAATCATAATTGTATTGAGAAAACTATGATGATGTGAGAAGCTGTGTGAAAGTCGACTTTTCAGAGGTTCTTGCTAAGAGATCGTTTGATCCTTCTTAGCAATATGGAAGGCGCCAGTACATGTGGACTTAATTATTGATAGTGACTGCTGTCGTTAACCTCTAGTTTTTATTCGTAGTAGAGCACGGACATGTCTCCATGAGAACAAATAACTACGTATATCGTTCTGGGTATACCGTTTAGACGCCACGACAACGTCTGGGACGAAGCATTGGAATCGGCCATCAAGGCGAAATCAAACCCGCCGGCGGAGCTGCGCCGTGCGCGGCCGGCCGCAACCGGAACGGGGCCGAAAACTGGTCAGCCGCTAGACGGGAGCGCAAAATCATGCACAGTGAGCCTCGCATCCAATAGAATCTGAGTCTCGGAGTGTAGCACCTCCGGCCGATGTAGTGCTTGCACAATGATGCTTGGAGACTGTCGCAGTTGCATTATTACCTCAGGGACTCGAAGTGCCACTCAATGTTCTCAAACGTTCTCGGCCGAGACGTCGATCTTGAAGATAGAAAGACCCAGCGCCGTGGACCAGGGACGTGATAGCCAACAAGGACACACGCACGTTATCTACGGAGTCGGGACCGCTTTGTTGGTCTGGGGTCGCGAACAGGTTGGAGATGTAACCTTTGATGGCAGATGGTTGTAATGTGGGGTAGGGCAGGTTACGGCGAGATTTGGCAGATGGTCGACTGAGACACGAGATATGGCAGATATCTGTCTCCGGTCTTACAACGGTGCTGACCACGACAGGATTGCAGCTGAAAACAAGGATGACAGGAGTCCGACGCAGTCAGATATTCGGTGTCCCGCGAAGGATCCGAGACGGGGACGCTACGGGCGGCGATTGACGGAACGCACCGGTGTCGTTTGTGGGACTTTGATGCTGTGATGATAGGCGTTGTGCGACTTGTTAGAGTTCCGAAAGGCGAGCGAAGCTGTGTTATCTGTGTAACGATCCCACGAGGAAGAAGATGCAACTGGCCGGCTGTCAAGGACCCAAGAGAGAAAAACATATTCGTGTCGTTGCACTTGGAATCCTTCGAGTATCAGACTCGAACAATTGATAAACCGGGTGTCGCCTCGGCGTCGGTGGCAGCTGCCTTTCTTTTTTTCTCTGAATTTCAGAGAAACGTTACATGGCAGCACAGACCATATGAAGCAGGCTGCCATTGGTTGAGCTTCTATCAGTGGAGTCGTATCTTGGCTTTTGGGGCGCCACTTTTATTTCTCCGCACGGGGCAGGCAAAAACAGGGGACCGGGAAGGAGCAGGGATGCGCCTGCCTTGCGTTGAGATGGCGCTTTCCGTTTGTCAAATCACTGGCGGGAAGGCACAAGATCACGCTGACATGTCTTAGAGGCAGGAACAAGACAGGTAAGCTGTAATTGACGTTTATGAATATCCGTTCTACTTGATACTCTTGTAGGTATGATCGTATTCTCAGTTGCGCCACGGAAAAGTCAGCCTCATGCTGTGCCGTATTCCTCAACGCTGGTCTTGAGGGTTCAGTGTTCGCGCCGCAAAATCAGTCCACTAGTACCTATCAACCAATGACATGCAATTAGGGCATATGATCTCGTGTCAGCACTTGAGTGCGATGTTTGTGGCTTCGGCACTGGAAGATGGCAATGTGAGACGATGAATCCTTTCCCGTTTCCCGTCTTGTGTTGTGTTGCTCCTTCCCCAATCGGCCGAGGCACGCCAATCATCAGCCAATCGCGATTACGTAAGAAGTAAATGACAGGCATCTCGTGATCTCGGCGCACTTTGGCCAATCAGAAAATTCAAAAAGTCGGGCCTTTCTTAGCGGTTCTTATCGATTGGGGTAAAGTGGGGAATCAGCAATGAAGTGGACCTCCCCCCGGCACCTTTTGATTTTGGCAGGGCGGTCGCAGTCGACTGATTGTTTGTCCAACTTTGGATGAAACACAAAACGGACAAAACACAAACACCAAAGAAAGCCGGCTTCGAAATCGAGATTTGTCACCCCGTCCATCTCGTGTCAACCGTGAACAAGGCTCGCCGCATCCCGTCTGCCGCATGTGGTGTCATGAAGGACCGGCACTGACAACCTGCGAAAGAAAAGCAGCTTGCCGCAAACGGAGCCGGTCCATCGCCATGGCTTGCGATCGTCCACCCCCGCGTGCCGTCTGGAGCCGTTGAAGTTTGTCTATAATTGGACTGCCTGCATCTCGACTGGTTTGTTCTTTGGCTAACGCGAATTCAAGATGAGGCAAACTGAGAATCGTTTCTTCGTTCTCTCTCGAACCACATCGCCCATCGAGTTTATCTACCGACATCAGACGATTACCGTATCTCGCAGCTCAACCTAACCGGCCAAAGGACCGGCCATGTCTTCTTATCAGACATTGCTTCCGGGATCCATTCGTATCAGTGCCCCTGGCCTCAAGCAGCTCACATCGGCCCCGTTGCCGTTGCCCAGCACCAGTCTCGCATCAATTCACCACCCACCACCATCTGATACCCCGAAAAGCCACAAGCAAGCATCTCGCCCATTGTCACCTGCGATGATTGCCATTGTCACCTTTCACCAGGACCGCCACAGCGTCAAAGTGCCCGAGTCCGCGTTCTAAAAAGGTGGGGGATGCTGCGACTAGCTCTACCCCGAACAGACTTGGTGCTGATGGTCCTTCGTTTCGTTTCCTTTGCCCATGTCATGTCATGTCCGGCTCGTTGTAACCGTCACGTAGCTTGCCACATCCCATCTCGCAACGCCTGTCACCATCCACCACAACCTTCATCGCCTGGAGAGTTCTACCTCAGCCCAGCCTCCAGGTCACGAATCTTCCCCCTCACTGGCCTGCCACTTCTCCAAATCTCGAGAAGTTCTCGTCCACACGTCAGACGCTCACGACCAGCTTGATTCCCGTTGCTACCTTACCAGCCCGGGGTAGCTCCGACTCAATTCCAATCAACCATCCATTCGTCTTCCTCATTCTCATCCTCTGCACACAACTCCCACCATCTCTTCGGGTATCCTTACCAGTGAATTGCGCACCATTTGATACATCTCACAACCAGTGTGTCCCTCATCTCACCAGCCATTCCCCAAACAAACCAACGCCTCCGAAACGCATCCCTTCCCCCAAATCTCCAATCCCATCCCATCTCACCACCACCACTCCAACCCCGGTCTCATCCTTCACGCATCCCTTGCCCATCCATCCCTCTCCTCGCTACCACACGCCACGCGCCAAAAGAACCCCGGCCTCCTCCTCAAGACTCGGACTCCACTCACGATCATCGCCCAGTGCAACTGCAACCTGCAGCCCGATAAACCGTTCCATAAAGAAGACCGCCTCCGTCCCCTGCTCCCTTTCTCTCACCTCGCGTGGTCTCATCCTCTCTCTCCCGTCATTCCGACCTCCCTCTCACCAAACCCGCGCCCAGCGCATCACTCATCGTCCGGTCGCGATTGAGTTTGCAACCTCCGACACGAACTCGGTCACATCAAGCGCGGCACACACACAAACACACGCGCATTTCTCAACTACCGAGCCGCGCCGCGCATAACCAACCTCATCTCAATTGACGCCCTCGACCTCACCTCACCTCACCTCGCCCTCACCCGACTCTCACTCATACTCACCACCGCCGCCAAAATGTCCACAGACGAGAAGCTCCAGCCCGAACCCGCCACCTCGGCCGGCGACACCCACATCACCGGCGATGGCCCCGCCCCGCGCCCCTCCGGCTGGATGTACCGCGGCTTCCGCTTCCGCGGCAAGGAGCTCTGGTACGCCTCCCCGCGCATCCAGCTCTTCATGATCTCCTTCATCTGCTTCCTCTGCCCCGGCATGTTCAACGCCCTCACCGGCCTCGGAGGCGGCGGCCAGGTCGACACAAAGGCCCAGACCGACGCCAACACCGCCCTCTACTCCACCTTCGCCGTCGTCGGCTTCTTCGCCGGGACCTTCGCCAACCGCCTCGGCCTCCGTCTCACCCTCACCATCGGCGGCATCGGCTACTGCATCTACTCCGCCTCCTTCCTCAGCTACTCCCACAACCAGAACCACGGCTTCGTCGTCTTCGCCGGCGCCTTCCTCGGTGTCTGCGCCGGCCTCCTCTGGACCGCCCAGGGCGCCATCATGATGTCCTACCCCCGCGAGGAGGAGAAGGGCCGCTACATCTCCTGGTTCTGGATCATCTTCAACTTCGGCGCCGTCATCGGCTCCCTCATCCCCCTCGCCCAGAACATCCACACCGTCTCCGGCCCCGTCTCCGACGGCACCTACGCCGCCTTCATCGTCCTCATGTTCCTCGGCGCCGTCCTCGCCATCTTCATGTGCGACGTCCCCAAGGTCATCCGCGAGGACGGCTCAAAGGTCATCATGATGAAGAACCCCTCCTGGCAGTCCGAGTTCAAGGGCCTCTGGGAGACCATCTCCCACGAGATCTGGATCGTCGCCCTCTTCCCCCTCTTCTTCACCTCCAACGTCTTCTACACCTACCAGACCAACAACATGAACGCCGGCCAGTTCAACGTCCGCACCCGCGCCCTCAACAACCTCCTCTACTGGCTCTCCCAGATCTTCGGCGCCCTCGTCTTCGGCTACGCCCTCGACGTCCAGTCCGTCCGCCGCTCCGTCCGCGCCAAGGCCTCCTACGTCGCCCTCATCGTCCTCACCATGGTCATCTGGGGCGGCGGCTGGGCCTGGCAGAAGGACCAGGTCACCCGCGAGGTCGCCGCCGGCGAGGACTTTGTCAAGGTCGACTGGACCGACGGCGGCAAGAGGTACATCGGCCCCATGTTCCTGTACATCTTCTTCGGCTTCTTCGACGCCGTCTGGCAGACCTGCATCTACTGGTACATGGGCGCCCTGTCCAACTCGTCCCGCAAGGCGGCCAACCTCGCCGGTTTCTACAAGGGTACGCTCTCCATGTTTTCGTGCTCGTAACGATTTTCCACTAACACACAAAAAAAGGCATCCAATCCGCCGGCGCCGCCGTCTTCTGGGCCCTCGACAGCAACGAGACGGCCTACGACACCATGTTCGGCGCCACCTGGGGCTGCCTCGCCGGCGCCCTCATCATCGGCGCCCCCATCATCTTCTGGAAGATCAAGGACACCATCTCCCTCGAGGAGGACCTCAAGTTCACCGACGAGACGGTCGCCGACGTCGTCGCCCCCGGCACCGTCGAGCCCAAGCCTACGAAGGACGTTGTCTGATTTTTTGGAGACAATATGGAGCGTGTTGGTTGGTTTCGTTTGGGAAGAAGCGCTTATTGGATGGCGGGGCGGACACTTGCATGATATCCCGGGGTGTTTGGATGATGAGAGACGAGGAAAATGATGACCTCGCGCGCCCGGAGCGGTCGTAATAGCGTTATGTTTTAGTAATACTGACTTTATCAAGTCTTATTCACACCTACTGTCTTTCAGACATATCCACGATGTCTATCCTCCACCTCCTCCCCTCCAAATCCACCACCGCCGGGCGTATTGACCTGCACATACTCCCCAACACCAAGATTGATAATCGCCTTGCCGCCGAGATTAATCCTCTCCATGCCCCCCTCCTCATTCTTCAAAAACGCGAAATTCTCCCCCTTCGACCCCGGCTCCCCGCCCGCCATCCCCCACGGCCGATACACCCTCCGATCGCTCAAGATACTAAACTTCAACGGGATCCTCGCCTCCACCTCCCTCGTGATCCCGTCGCCGCCCCTCCACCTCCCGCCGCCGCCGCTGCCCCTCCGCACCTCATACCTTCTCACCAGCACCGCCGTCCGCTTCTCAATCACCTCGGCGTCCGTCTGCCGCGTGTTCGTAGAGTGCACATGCGTCGAGTGCGCCCCCTCGTACCCCTCCCCCGCGCCCACCCCGCCGCCGATGCTCTCCCCGTAATTCCACCCCTTCCTCACCTCCCCCGTGACGGCGTCCCGCCCGCCCATGCCCCAGCCGAAACTGTTCGCGCACCCCTGGCTCGCGGCGTACCGCCCGAACGCGCGGAGGATCACGTCGATGACGCGCTGCGAGGCCAGCGTGCTCCCGCAGATGGCGGCGCGCGGGCCCGGGTTCAGCACGGAGCCCGGAGGGGCCACGATCGCCACGGGCGACAGGCAGCCCTCGTTGAGGGGTATGTCCATGTCGACGAGGCAGCGGATGGTGTAGATGATGGCGGAGTGGCAGATGCTGATGGGGCAGTTGTAGTTGCCCCAGGTCTGGGGCCCGCTGCCGGAGAAGTCGTAGACGGCGGAGCCGGTGTGCGGGTCGATGGAGATGCGGACGCGCATGGGGGTGCCGTCGTCGAGGTAGTCCGTGGCCTCGAGGGGGGTGTTCCCCGTTTGGCGGGCGATGTCCCGGAAGAAGGAGCGCACGGCGGACTCGGCGTTGGACTGGATCGCGTTCATGTACTTGTGCACGACGGGCAGCCCGGCCTCGGCGCAGAGCTTGCGGAGGAGGGTGATGCCGCGCTGGTTGGCCGAGGTCTGGGCCTTGAGGTCCGAGATGTTGTCGGCGAGGCGGCGGGACGTGCTGCAGCCGGGGAAGCTGCCCGCCTTCTCGAAGGCGGCGAGGACTTCGGACTCGAGGAACTCGCCGGCCGAGACGATCTTCATGGACGGCACGTTGAGCCCCTCCTCCCAGAGCTCGCGCGACTCGGGCATCATGCTGGTGATGCCCTTGCCGCCGATGTCGGTGTGGTGACCCCTGGAGGCGACGTAGAAGGCGATTTGCTCCTTTTCGTCAGACGAGGAGGAGGGGACGAAGACGGGCGTGACGACGGTCAGATCGGGCAGGTGGGTGCCGCCCCATTGCGGGTGGTTCGTGAGGAGGACGTCGCCGGGGCGGAGTTTGCCCTCCCACAGGCGGTGCTGGGCCTGGATCGCGAACTGCATGGAGCCGAGGTGGATGGGGATGTGAGGGGCGTTGGCGACGAGTTTGCCCTGCGGGGAGAAGATTGCGCAGGAGAAGTCGAGGCGTTCTTTGATGGAGGTGGAGATTGAGGTGCGTTGGAGGGTTGTGCCCATTTGTTCGGCGATGGCCATGAAGCGGTGGGCGAAGACGGAGAGCTGGATCGGGTCGACTGGCGAGGAAGATGTCGCGTCGAGTGTGGATTGCGTGGCTGGCGAGGCCGAGACCTTCTCGAGAAGGACGTGGGAGGTCAGGATGTGTGCTTTGAAGGTGGGCGAGACGAAGATCGTTTGCGTTTGGTCGATGAGCAGGGCCGGTCCGGGGATGATTGTTGACTTGGGCACGGAAGCGAGGTGGTGGACTGCTGTTGCGTGCCACGCGCCGTCGATGTAGACTTGTTGCGTCTCCCGCGGCTCGGAGGCCGGGAGAGGGTTGTTGGAGGAGAGCTCTTTGAGGGCGGAAGCTTCTTGTTCCCTGGCGCCCGCGCTGCCCGTGCCGCGGACCTTGATCGACTCGATCACGATGTCGCGTTTCATCGAGAAGGCAAACTCGCGGAGGTGCGTTGCTTCGAACTTCGCTGCGTAGTCCCCGTCCTCGGGCTTGGAGATTGTAAGGTTAGTGTCGGTGCCGAAGTACCGCAGCACAAGACTCTCGTCGAAGACGAGGGAGTCGCCGTCGGCACCCTGGGAGAGGAGTTCAGCCGATACGTTAGCCTTGAGGGCGGCGAGACGCTCTTGGACGTGGACCCCCGCGCCGGCGTCGAGTTTGCTCCCGTACGGCTCGAGGGCCTCGTGCTGGAGCTCCGCCTGGGCGATGCCGTACGCCGAGAGGAGCGAAGAGTACTTGTGGATGAGGATGCGGCGGATACCGAGGCGGTCGGCGATGTCGCAGGCGTGCTGCCCACCGGCGCCGCCGAAGCTGACAAGGTGATGGTTCTCGGGCGCGAAGCCGCGGGCCTCGGTCGCGTTGCGGATCGGCCGCGACATGGTCTCGTTCGCGACGTCGAGGAATCCCAGGGCCACCTCCTGCGGTGTCAGGGACTGGTTCGTCTGGGCGTTGAACTCGGCCGTAATATCCTTGAACTTGGCCTCCACGACGGCGGTATCGAGGGGCGCGTCGGCGTTCTCGCCGAAGATGGAGGGGAAGGAGGAGAGTACCAGTCGGCCGAGGAACAGGTTCGCGTCGGTGACGGTCAGGGGCCCGCCTTTGCGGTAGCACGCGGGTCCCGGGTGGGCACCGGCGCTCTCCGGGCCGACGGCGAGGAGGCCGTTGCGGGCGAAGAGGATAGAACCGCCTCCGGCCGCGACGGTGGCGATGTTGAGCATCGGGACGGTGATTGTGCGGCCAGCGATGGAGGTCTCGGTGAGGTAGTCGTACTTGCCGTCGTAGCGGGAGACGTCAGTGCTGGTGCCGCCCATGTCGAAGCCGATGACTGGGGTGCCGTCGTCCGGGTCATAGCAGGAGCGGGCGATGCCGACGACGCCGCCCGCGGGACCGCTCAGGAGTGCCTCGTTGCCGCGGAACTTTGTGGCTGCCTTGAGGCCGCCGTCGGAGCACATGAAGTCGACCCGCTGCGGCGGCAGGCGGAAGCCCGAGGTGAAGGACTGGACATATCTCTGGATGACGGGGTAGAGGTAGGCCTCGGAGCAGGTGGAGGTGCTGCGGTTGAGGAACTTGATGGTGGGCGAGGTAGAGGCGGAGGTCGTGACGAAGTGGAAGCCCAACTCGGGTTCGCGGGCGATGGAGGCGACGAGGTCCTCGTGGGCCGGGTGGAGGTAGGCGTGCATGAAGCAGATAGCGAGGGATGTGTAGCCCTGATCTTTGAGTTCGCGGAGCTGGGCGCGGACGGCGTCCGGGTCTGGGCGTCGCAAGACGCGGACGAACTCGCCGCTGGCGGTGCGAACGAGGCCATCCTCGCCGGGTCGGAGGGTCGACCTGTCGAGGGGTTCCGGGTTGAGGTCGTAGTCGGCGGGGACGATGCGCTCGTCGATCTCGACGACGGCGGAGTGCAGGGCGTCGGCCTTGCGGATGCTCAGGTCGAAGAGCTTGGGGCGGGACTGGTCGCCGATGACGCAGACGTCTTTGAAGCCTTTTGTGGTGAGGAAGGCGAAGCGCTCGCCCTTGTGTTCGAGGAGCGCGTTCGTGGCGACTGTTGTGCCGATGCGACAGGACGCTGGGTTTTTGTGGTTAATGAGGGGATTCAGGAAATGTTTTTGAAATGGAGAAGTAAAAAAATACCGATGCGGGAACCATCGAGCTTCTCGCCGACTGGGATCGGTTTCCCCTCGACGGCCTCGAGGACGCGACGGATCGCTTCTGTTGGTGCGTCTGGGTAGTTTGCGGGGTCTTCGGAGAGGAGTTTGAAGATGAGGGGTTCTCGGCCGTCGATGTCTGCTATGACATCGCAAAATGTGCCGCCGCGGTCGATGGCGACCTTGATGTCGGCGGTCATTTTGAGGCCTTTGTGAGACGAGACGCTTGATGAGTTTTTCACTGAGTCTTGTGGTGTTTCAGCGTATGAGTTGGAAAATCAGCAGGTGCTATTCACTGAACGATGAGTGAACAAGTGAGTGAATGAGACCAAACCTGCAATTGAGTGAGAACAACACTCCAATTATGAGCCGATCCCCTTTGGCGAAGTGAAGTTATCATGCATATAAATAAAACAATCTCACCGAAGCGCACACCGTCAAGCATTTCCCTGCGGCAATTGAAGCCGGCCGGCGATTTCTGCGCTGAAGAGGCATGGTCGGGCTTGTCGGACGGCGTAATTGCGTGCTGGCGGGAGGCCCCCGATCGTGTGGGTTCTGTCGGATCCTCTCCGACGAGACCATCCTAGGCCTTATCGCCGTCGTCGGCATCGCGTGGGTCAGATGGAGGCGTGGATTCTTGAGTGAGAAACGCTACGAAACGTCGGACTTTATGTCTGCCTATGGCGCGATTGATCCTGCGAAAGACGGAGTGCTTAAGTCGTCCCCGGATCTTTCGCCCGGTCTGGGGCCCCGGAAGCCCAGCTCCGAGAGAGAAGCAAAGCCGGAGTGGCCCGAACACCGGGGAACGTATGTATGCTCATGTTTGTGAGTTCCTGCATTATCTATGAAGCCACCTGTATGTATTCAGTCTCGAAGAATGAAATTTTATGACAATGTATTCTCTTCTATCTGCAGTGCGTTCGGTTCCAGGAATCATGTGGCCCCATTGAACAGACGAGTCGGGTCAAACATCAGATTGGGCTTTCATGCACCTTCAGAATAGATTTGAAGCAGTCCGTGAACTCCAGTCCTGGTGCTGTATTGGCAATATGAAGGGGAAAAAATAACTGATTCGATACTTTATGGACTACTATGCTGAGAGGCAGGATCGTTCAGGTCATAAAACTGTGTTCATGGTTGACGAACTTCTAAGCACCCCATCCCGTCGTATGCTCTTTGAACTGACTTGAGGCATCTGAACACGATGTGAGGACTACATACCCATGTGCCCACGTCTTTTCACTTTCTTCACTTTCTTCACGTCTCCGAATCCGATTGCCACCTACTATTACGGATACAAGCAGTCCAATACTTCGTCTCACGCAAAGAGCCACACTTACTGGATCGGCCGCGACAATGTTATGCATATGCGCCATGAGGATGTGTAGGTATTAAACATTAATGACGTTGAGATGTTTTTCTTTCCAAAAGTTTCACATCCGCTCCTCTTCCCACGAATCCCTTCTCATTATGACTGCGCCTTCTGCTCATGCCATATCGCAAGTCCTGGTCTGTTGTTAAATATCATCATGAATCATGCGGAGCTTCATCTCATACCTTCTACTTGAGATAACACTGCAGCGCACACCTGTTGCTGCCCCAGTAGTTGCTGACGTGCACAAACTTGCCCGCTTCCTTCCTGCCGGCTCGGGCGCAGGGCATGTCGCAGTCGGAGTCCTTGTAAGGGTCGCTGCCTCCGTTGAAGTCGTTGCAGTTGTGCCAGGCGGTGACGCTGAGCTTTTCGTACTTGCAGAGCGGGTTTTCGCTGATCAGCTCCATGCCCTGGACGGCAGCGATGCCTGTAGCGAAGAGGATGGTGGTGAACTTCATGTTGACGGTGGATTTTGAAGTTCTGCAGGTGAGAGGCTCGAGTTGCTAAATGGGTTCGGTACTGGTTCTCGAAGCATTCTAGAACAACGACGCGTCTTATATAGCAGTCTCGACCGCCGTGGACGCGTCGACACAAAGTGTTTTTCTGGAATTCGAGCTGCTGATCGTCATCGGAATATCAATCTTAAATTGATTGTAAGCTCGTGTATTCCCCAAACTAGCTGTGATCGCTTCACCATACAGCCAATGCGTTCAGTTGCGCGAGTCGTGGGTCATATTCCGAGCGGGACTGTGGACAAGGGAGCTGAGTTGAGCTCGAAATATCCTCGGACAGCTCCATGTTATCCTTTGTACTCTGAAGAATTCTACAATAACTCAATGTATGTCTATAATATACTTGATTCGCAACAGACCAATTTGGCGTTGACTTCAGGAATACCACACTGATGCATGATCCAAACGGTGTAAAAAATGTGGCCGTGACCTTGACTGGCGACGACATCACGCTGCTTATCGACATTCCTGCGACTCTTGAGAGTTCTCAGTTCTGTGATCAGGAGTTATCTCCCGTATCCGCAAGCCTATGAAAACTCACGCAGCCGCCCAGTTCACAGTTTTTCTCGACAACTACATGAGCGTCAGTTTCTCCTTGCATCCCATCGCCACGAAGTGAGTACATGTACTCGTGGCTATCTCCGGGTATTCTGGGCCGATAATTGAGACAAGTTGTGATAACCCTGCCTCCCAACTTCTGTTGATTTAATGCATTCCGTGCTGAAAGCCCAGTTTTCGGACAACGGATCATGTCAATGAGTACGCATGTCGTCGGTTTCGGCTTCAGTAGGTCCGCGGCTAATACTTTCCCCGCATGCTGCGATGTTTTGCGGGAAGTTTACTGTTGGCCGATGATTGACCATGTAGCTTCAGTCCAGCGGTCCTGTGCGACTTCAGATTCTATCAAAAAGTTCCAGATGGCATACGAGGAAACACGGAATTGCTGGTCGATTGGTGAGACGGCTCCCCGAGCACATGGCCCGATCCCACTTTCAGATGAGGGTTGCGTCACCAGGTCCCGCGTCAAACATCTGCCGAATGTAGGCGTTGAAGGGCGCAACACCACCTATTAAATCCCCGCCATTGACGCCGTTGGAAGTCGAGGACTTCAATTGTGCATGCCCAACGTTTTCAAGCAAAAAATTCTGCCTCACAAACGTTCATCGAATCAATCAGACAAACCATCGTCATGTTCGAAGGCTTCCAACCATTCTCAATCACCACCCAGACCTCACCACCGGTGATAATCCATGGCATCAGGAGCGGGGACTCCACATCCTCTCTCCCACCCCTCCTCCTCATCCATGGCTTCCCTCAAAGCCATCACATCTGGCACCGCGTGGCACCGCAGGTAGTTGATCGCTACACAGTCGTCATCATCGACATCCGCGGCTACGGCGCATCTTCAAAGCCTGGCGACGTCACCTCGTACGCCAAAAGCGCGATGGCGCGCGACTGCATCAGCGTCATGGATCAGCTTGGCTACGAGAAGAAGCCCTTCTTCGTCTGCGCCCACGACCGCGGCGCCCGAGTCGCGCACAAGCTGGCCGTTGACTTCCCCGATCGCGTGAGGAGGTCGATCTTCCTCGACATCGCTCCGACGCTGGTCATGTACAAGACGACAGACTTCGAGTTCGCAAAGGCATACTTCCACTGGTTCTTCCTGATTCAGCAGGAGCCTCTACCGGAGACGTTGATATCTGCCGCGCCGAGAAAGTTTGCGGAGCTGTTCATGGGCGGACGGCAGCCCAAGGCGTTGGAGATATTCGAGAAGGAGAACTTCGAGTATTATGCGAGCGTGATGGAGGACCCGGATGCGGTGCACGCCATGTGCAACGACTACCGCGCCAGCGCGACGCTGGATCTGGAGGAATCGGAGGCGGATATCGAGGCGGGACGGCAGATCCAGTCTCCGTTGATGGTGCTTTGGGGGAAGTACGGCGTAATTGAGAAGTGTTTTGATGCGGTGAAAGAGTGGCAGAATGTTTCGTCCGACAGCGTATCTGTGAAGGGTCGCAGTGTTGAGTCTGGACATTACATCCCGGAGCATGCGCCCGATGATGTTGTCAAGGCGATCACGGAGTTTTTTGTTTGATGCGAAACTTGGGCAAGCACCTGATGGGGGATAATTGAGCTCATCTACTGGGATTTCTTAGGCTCAATTGAGCGGGAGAAAATGCTGTAATGAGCTTGGCTTAGCATTGTTGGTATGTCTCATCTCACCAAGCAATCACTTTTATGAGCAGACAGCGCGCCTGATTGAGACTCAACGGGAACAATAAGTCATCCATATCAGATGGACAGCAACATGGTCATGGCGCCTTGTCATCTCGGAAAAGGAAGTGCTCATAAAGATGGGAGACTTCTATCGGCTGGAAACATTGAATGACAGGAACCGTCCCAGGATCCTGGAATTTGAGCTCGTGTTCGTTAAAAGATGAACAAGCCGCCCCAATTCCAGTGGACACGAAAATCTTACCTGACAGCACCATGTCATACAACTTGGATGCGCATCCCGAGATCCCCGACAAAGTGACCAAATTCATCCCGAGTCTCTTACATTTCACCTCACATCATCGAGTATTCCTTCCAAAGAGAGCGAAAGCGAACACTCGCTTACAACTAGAGACGAGGAGGCTCTCGGTAACAACCTAAAACCCGCGAGACAACCAGGTCCCCTACCAAGAAACCCCCTTTCCTCGGTCCTCGGATCGCTGGTTCGATGGGCAAATCAACGCAAATCTGGGCCATCTCCCGCTCCTGCCAACCAATCTTTTGATACTCGTGAATCCGTCAGATCCGACATTTACCAACTTAAGATGACAGCAGCTCATGCGGCTCCCTGACGCCCGATGATGAAACCGTGACTTTGGAGGGGTGTTCCCCAGATTCGGAGGCGCAACCCTGTAACCGACCGACCTTGAGACGTTTCAGCGAATCGTGTTGGTGGGGATGCTGGCCCAATTTGAGCTAAAAGAGCTAAATATCTGCGCCTGAGCACCCCGGTTCGTCGTTTGGCGACTGAGGAAAAAGCTGACACAGGTCGCAGGACTTCGGCCAGCTCCTGGACTCCTGTTTGGACCAGGGCCGCTTCTACCTCACATGCCTCTTCGCCCATGATCTATAGCTCAAGGCGTTTAAGGTCGCAGGTTAGTGTGTGGGGAGTTTTGGAAGATTCGCGGTGCGGAATGCCCCATCAAGCTTAATTCTCTCCTAATTGACACTTTGACGGGATGGATTTAAAGAGTGCCTTGACGCCCGCTCCTCGAGTTCATGTCGTTTGTTTTGAGACTCATCCCATTCGCTCACTCTGCTTCCAATTTCACAACCTTCTCTTCGTTTTTCGGCTGGTCCTACCTTCTTTTAGTGTTTCAACTTTAAAGTAACTTATTCGATTCTTCGATTCTTCCTCTTCAGCAGCAACCATGAAGTTCACCGCCGTCATCTCTCTCGCCCTCGCCACCGCCGTCGCGGCCATGCCCACCGAGGATCTGTCTAAGCGCCAGACCGTCCAGCGCGGCAGCAACACCCTCGTCTTCAAGGAGCAGGGCGGCGTGCCCGGAAACGAGTGCCTCACTTTCCGCAACAACGGTTGGTTTCCTCAAGCTCTTATCTCATGAGTGAAAAAAAGGTCTAACGACATTAATAGGTGAAATCGTCAACGCCGCCTGCGTCAACACCGCCGCGGACAGACAGATCACCCCCTCCACGAGAAACGGCAACGACGTCCTTCTCGTCCAGCGTTCTTTCAGCAACGGTTTCCGCCCCGACCTCGTGAATAAGGAGGTCTGCGTCGGCTTCAACGGCACTGCCTTCCGCGCCGAGGACTGCGCCGCCAGGAACATCCAGTTCGTCGCCCAGTCCGGTAACAACCTCGTCGCCTCCAACGGCGCCTGCTTGAACGGCCACGATGCCCAGGCCCAGGTCACCGTCTCTGCCAACGGCCAGAACTGCGCCAGATTCACCACCACTTCGGTCAAGGCCACTGCCCCGTAAAGGGACTTGGAGGCTTTTGGTGGAGAGTGCATGAGTGTTTGAGAGCGACGTCGTAGTCGCTAGGAGTTGGGGCATAGAGCTTAATGCTGAAGATGGGAACTTCGACTTAATTAAAAACAATGGAAAGGGATGAAGCGATTTGCACTATCTTTCCTCGGTGATGCCGTGAATATCAAACCTATGGTACCTAACTTCATTTGAAAATCCCTCTCTTGACGCTCCTCATCTTTCTTCCTGTTCAACGACAAACCCAGGCCTTCTCGCATCGGTGCTGAAGTGTGCCATCGTCCTGTCAGCCAAAGACTCCAGCTCTGCAAGATGCAACAGCGGCGTTTCCTCTCCGTTGGGTCCCGTACGATCCTCCTTGCCCTGTGTTCGAATATCATAGAACAAAATCGACAAAATGGAAGACTTCCAGATCGGTTGTTTGCCCCTGTTTTGACAACACTGTAGGTAAGTTGTGACAAGGAGACCAGCCGTGAGGATCAAAAGAACCCCAGGATAAACCAGCCATACCCAGTCGACATCAACGCAGACTTCCGTCGCCCATACCGATCCTTCCACAAAAGAAACCTCACCATCCAACGCGCTCATGTCCCTCCGCACGCGATTGTTGATTGCCGTGGCCATGCTCTCGTGTGCAGCAGAGAACGACTCCAAGGTCATCAGGCTATCTTTGTAGAGATAATCAAGCAACCATCTGTCTTCGCACGACACGATGATCTGTTCGTTGGTCGCGCCAGAACCCAAGTGTCCGCCCTTCCCCTTGTCGGGGATATAATTGCTCCTAGCCGTGCAGTTGCCGGCGAGGGTTTCCGAAGCAAGATTTCCTAAAGCTTCCACCATCGGCATCCCCATGGTCCTGATGCACTCTGAGGGCGCCTCCTCGACAGTTCCGTTTGTTCCGTCTGATTTGAGCACAGCCCACGAGACCCAGGTGTCGTCTTTTGGTACCATACTGATGTTCGACCGGTCATACCAAATCCCCTCGATTACACAGGGCTCTAGCAAAATAGTTGCACCACTAACGTCTAAGTTGCTTCCCTTCCAATGCCAAGCTTCTGTGATGTTGGTGGTCGTAGAGATTATGCTCTCCTGTAAGACGCCGTTGGATACCTTCGCGTTGTAATGTCGAACACACGGAGATAGAGTGCAGTTGATGGCGGTAAGGATGACATCTTGTCCAACGCGGCCTGTTCGTTTACCTCCAAAGGCCTTCTGCTGGCACGTAAGGTCGTCTGGGTCCACCTGAGTGGAATTGTCTGGGGACATGGAGCATCCGGCAGGCCTGAATGCAAGAACCGAAGTCTTTACGAATAGGTCCATATTGTCCACATTCGACGTGATCTGAAGGATCGTATTGTTTCTGGGCGGCCAAGTCAAGTTGAAACCTTCTTTTTCGTTGAAATAGTAGACAGTCTCGTTGCCTTCTCGGCTCGATTGCTCCAGGCTGGCCGTTGCGTCTGTGCATTGACTACAGATTCCGATGGAAGAGTGGGTGATTCCGGCGTATGAGTTGAAAGTACAATTTCCAGATGTGCATTGAAAGAGGCTGCTGGAGGAGCTTTGGTCCGTTCCAAATGCCAGTGCATTGAGTGCAATGCCTTTCAGTTCTGGTGTGAGATCAGTAGGCCCTCCAGTGGTTATCCACGAAACCCAATTCGCGTACGATACTCTGGCAACTCCAGCTGTTTCGATCGGGCAAGGATATATCTTTGCTGCCTGCTGGGAGAAGGGGCCAATCGCGGTCGACGAGATGATGATTAGTATACCGAGAGACGTTAGGCTTCTATGGCTAATATTAGCCTCACAGAGACAAAGTCTCGAACATCGAAAAGAGGAGAATGAAATATTATCTTACGGTTTCCAAGCTACGAAGAGAAGTCGGAATGATCCCCAAGCGCCTCTACTAGAGTTATCGAAGTACTCGATATGTCGTAAGGGCCGTGGAGTTTTCATCCATAACCATTTGAACTGTCCTATAACTATTCAATGTCAATTAGCCCAATGTTCATATTGTGTTTGAAATCCTGTTCGCTCCATACCTTCGGCCACTATATAAACAAGAGTAGCTCTTAGGACCGTCGAGAACACTGCGATAAAAGTGTTGATGCTGAGTTCGCCCGCAAACTTGGGCTGGACCTTTTCGTGATATGCCTGAAGCAGTGCAACTATTGACGCTAATGCGGCAAAGGAGACCACAAGTGCAACAAACTCAAAGCGCCATGCCCGTAACGCGTCCAGCTTGGTTGGGTGCTTGTCCGACGAGTCGCTGTTCTTCTCGAGGTTGATTGGGTCCGCGCCAGCGTGGCGACTCACTGAAGGAGGAATTCTGAAGTAGTCCCGACGGGAATGATCTCTCAAATCACTGATGTGCTCTGTATCTCTGCCATGGCTGGCTGCAGGGAGTCGTGAGTAGGACGGGCCATCTTGAGCGGCCGAAGCCATCTCGTTCTTGCCACTACTACGCAGTCTTTCTACATTCAGCCCAGCCATGGTTGTACCTTCCACACTTCAGCAAGAGGTTCCAAGAGACTCAACTCATTGAAAGATCTTCAGACTTGGGCGTGCAGTCACATATAAGGCAAAGGCTCAGCCACGCTAGTCAGGTACAAGAGAACATAATATAGCCATTCTGGGCTTCGGCCCAGTTTCGATGTCTTAGACAATTTCGTCGACTGCTAGCTTAGAGACAATCAACAGTCAAACTTGGCCGATGAAAACGTTACTTAAACATGGCGTCATAAGAGAAGGACGGCAAGTCTACTTCAGATGTTTTCACTCTTACCCGTACATGTATATGCGGTTTGGGATATCAATCTTTTAATCACCAGTGTAGTTCAATGTACAACTGGTTCTCTTGGAATCACAACCGTACTACATCAAATGAAAGTTCCGTACCATCAAATCCCCCACTGTCCGAGACGAGTGATACTCCAGTCCGCAGCCGGTTGCGCCACTCTCAGGCACACCTGCTTCCGCAACGAACCAGGCCGCAAGCAGTCCATCATCATCGTAGATTTCACGACTTTTTGCTCAAAAGCGGCGACTGCTCCGCCAACTGCCTCTTGTGTTCACCCTTCTCGACCATGTCATTGATGGTTCTCTCTGCGACCTTTGTGGCCTCAATGCCAGATGGGACGCCAATGTAGACGCTTGCCTGGAGAATGGCTTCCCGGATCTCCGTCTCAGTCAGGCCGTTATTGATCGTCCCGCGGACGTGAACACCAAGCTCAGGCCAGCTTTTCAAGGCGATCAGCATGCCGATATCTATATCGGTTAGTATCTCATACAATCTGGGTCGATGTTGGAATCTCGTTGTGTGAAGGAAGACAAATGCACTTACTGAGCAAACTTCGCTGCTTTCGCTCCAGACCCGGCCGGTTCCAGATACTGCCCCAGCACCACCTGACAGCGTGTCGTTTTAGCTTGAAGAGGTTTCCCATATGCCGACATCAGCAATACTCACTCAGTCACGAGCTGCTGTCCTGGGTAAGCGAACTCGCTCGAGCCATTCTTGAGGGAGGCGTCCACATAAGCGTTGCCGACAACCTCTCGTCGGGTCTTGAGGCCTTTGTCGAACAATTCCTGTTGGTTGTATGCCATCTTCCTAGCTGACGTCGCGATGGTATAGGCATTGGGGCGGGAGGTTGGGTGTGAGAACGCAGAAGCAAGCAGCAAGTGCTCAATATATAAGGGAATTTCAGCTGGCGACTGGAGTCACAGATAGGCCACCACGCCTTGGTACGTCACTCTGGCCACAACCATCAAAGATGATGGCACCTGATCGCAAGTACTACAGGTCCGTCGTCCGATGTCGCTTGCTGAAGGGTTTCTACCCCAACGTCATGCAAGCATAGTACTCCGCAGTGTGGTGGGGGTTTGGAGTAAAAACCGAACCCTCACACATTCAATGTTGGGGGAACGGAGACTCTTCAACAACAGCTATGCAATCTCCAAGCTCCAAGGCCTGAGAACAACATGCGCCCCAAGGTTACCGTCCCTCCTTGTAGATTCTGCAGCAAGAAGTTTCAGCGGACCGAACACCTCAATCGGCACGAAAGAACACGTGTGTTGCTCAATTGCGTTTACTAGGCACTGAATGTCTAGTAGCTAACTTGGGTAAGCAGACACCAAAGAGAAGCCATTCGCATGCGCTTGCGGCAAATCTTTCTCGCGTCAGTATGTTTCTTCATCTAAGACATCCCATCATGACGTCATCATCTGATATGTTACGTAGAGACTTGCTTGCGCGTCACGAGAGGCGGGACCACAACTCGAATTTGGAGCACCCCGAAGACCTGAGCTATCAGGATGGCGCCTCTCGATTGCAGTCGCGTAGGCCGACTGCTCAAGGCGAGGATTCTCTAAGCGAGGACGACGATGAGTCGACTGCTAGAGCTCAGTCTGATGCCAGCTTTAGGCAGGGGGGACTTCTCAATCAAGAGACGTTCACCACGATCCCGAAGTCCCGCAGTCGCGCTGCGGAATTCGTGCCGAATGAACAGCAATCTCCTCTCCAATCGTTCGGGCTCAACAGCACCTGGGCAACCGACCCAAATGCTTTTGGTGACGATCTGGACTTTCTGTGGGACCATTTTGATATGAACTCAACTGCCATCGACCCGTCCGTCCTTAACTACCCAATGAACTTTCCAATGTTTCCTGAACAGGGTCTCCAGAGAAACACGGGTGCTCCGTTCGGAGCCACCCAGAACCTATGCGTAAGTGAAAATGCACGAGAACTTGATGGGGATGGGGCCATATCTCGATACGGATCCCGACTACCATCACCCATAGGATCAGAGAGCGAGCGGCCCAGCAGCGGAAATCCAGGTCCAGCGCCGTCAATCTCGTCCAGGCAACCGCCTGCTCTTGTCCTTTCCGGAGACCATCGACCTTGGCGAATATCCCGTTCGGAATATGACATGATGCGGTGCGCTGTCGAGGCCACGGATCCTGTGCGGGTTGGAGGATTCAAGATGCCGTCGCGCCACGCCCTGAATCGTTACGTCGAGGGATACTTCTCTGGGTTTCATGAGCATCTACCTTTTCTCCATCTGCCGACCACACATATGCCGACCGCCGCGCCGGAGCTGATCATTGCCATTGTCGCTGTCGGGGCACAGTACCGCTTCCAGAGAGAGCAAGGCCTGCAGCTCTGCGAATGCGCCCGGGCCTTGATATCCTGGCGACTGGCTGAGCTCGACCAGCCCCCAAAGGACGATATTCACGCAAGAAACTACGATTTCACTCCCCAGTCTGGCGGAGGGACTGTAGCATCGTCAAGCAATAATCCTAGCCCTGCGTTGGGCTTCTTGCAAAACTCACCCACTGGTCGACCATCTGTGGACGCGACGACGCAACTACTACAAGCTATGATTATGATAATGGCGCTAGGGACCTGGAACCAGCCTCGCGACCTCAAGAAGTCTGTTCACCTAGGAATGCAACTCGCAGTGCTCCTTCGTGAGTCCGGGTTGACAGAGCCAGCCGTCCCCAGCATGAACTTGACATGGGAGGAGTGGGTTATACTCGAGTCGCAACGCCGGACTAAATTGGTGGCCTACTGCTTCCTCAACCTACACTCGATTGCCTATAACTGGTCTCCCCAAATTTTAAACGATAGCATCGAGCTCAACCTTCCCTGCGGGGAAAACATCTGGAGGGCAGAAGATGCAGTTACGTGGGCGACCTTACGCAGTCAAGATCTTGCGTCCGATATCAGCTTCAAGCAGGCTTATGAGAGCTTGTTCGAGAAACAACAACGAGATCAAGCCGGCCGCCGTTTCAGCTCTTTTGGAACTTACATAATGGCGCATGCGATCCTCCAGCAAGTCTTCTACGCACGCCAAGCGACACCCAGTTTCGAGGGGGGGAAGACAGCGTCACTTCCCGAAAACGCGCTGAATGTCCTGGAGGAGGCATTGAGTCGATGGCAGAAGAACTGGGAGTCATCAGAGGACTCATCCATTGATCCCTCATCCCCGAGCGGACCGCTCAGCTTCAACTCAACGGCCCTGTTTCGCCTGGCATATGTACGCATGCATGCCGACCTCGGTGCTTATCGACGGCTGGAAACCTTCGACCCGGTACGAATCGCCCACAGCCTCAGCCAAGTGCCTCATCTCGCGCGATCTGTTCACGTCTTCCGGGCCGTGCTTCAGTGCATCCACTCGTTGAGTATACCAGTGCGGATCGGAATCGAGTTCGTCTCACGAACACACTCCTGGAGCATCATCCACAGTCTCTGCAACTTCGAATGCGCTGCTTTCCTGAGCCAGTGGCTGAATTGCGTGGCGACCAAGACTGGCGATGGGCAGGTGGCTCTGGATGGTGAGCTTAGGCTTGCGCACCTGGTGCAGGGAGTCCTTCGGGAGACGAGCTTTGGACAGGAAATCGATGACGAGGAAAACCTTTCGAGGAGGTGCAAGCGAATGGCTGCAGCTGTGGCCCAGGTCTGTTCCCAGACATTGAGAGGGGCTCACGTCTGGCAGATTATGGACGTCATGGCAACGGCACTTGAGAGGAGAGCTGACATGTTCTGATGTCCGTCATTAAAGATTCGGGCCTTGAAGTGCACCCGTATTTGTATCTAGAATCTTTGTATCGTACCAAGGCAATCCACAAAGTCGTCCTTGACCACCAGTGTTGAAATGCAAGGCACTTAACGTACAGTACAAACATGTCTCCTGGGGTTGAGTCTGCTTGTGTCCTATGCTCCGTTACTTCGATTCCCATGAGCTCGATCCTCAATACCTCCGAGGTAGCGATAGACAACTCGCGAATCTCGGTCGCGACAATTGAGGTCGTTACTGGCCCCCTCATATACTCGCAGCCCTTCTGGCCCAAGGGCAAGCGTAGCGCCAACATCTTTGGCCATGTCTACCGCCAGCGCAAAGTCCTTCTTCATCAACTGCACCTTGAACCCTCCCCTGTATCCATGGCTGGAAGGCGCTTCCGGTAAGACACCCGGGACGGGGTTGAACTTATCGCAGATGGCGTTCTGTGCTGTGCCAGCCGACAAGGCACGAGATAGGACGACTGGATCCATACCCGCCCTGATGCCCATGTTCAGAGCTTCCGAGGACGCAATGGCGATGAGACCAGACAGGTAATTGTTCGTGAGCTTTGTTACAAGGCCGAGGGAGGGACCACCACAGCTGATGACCTGACGGCCCATCGTTTTCAGCAGCTTCTGGACGGCAGGGAATGAGGGATCTGACTCGGCGCAGCCTAAGAAAAAGGCCAGCGTGCCTTTTTCTGCGCCTTGCACACCGCCGGTGACTGGAGCGTCGTACATCCGGACCCCTGGCGAGCTTTCCTGTATTTGCTTCTTGACTGCGAGGTTCGTGGCGACGTCGATCGTTGAGCAGTCTATGAGGAGGTGTTTCGACAGATCAACCGTGTTGATACCCGTGTTGGCGTCGAGATACACATCGCGAACATGTCGGCCTTCTGGAACCATGGAGATGATGGTCGTCTGGATCCTCTGAGCTTGCCGCCCTGTACATTTTGAAGAAACTTGGAGATTGACATACCGCTTGTTTCGCAACTGCTGCTGGTGACGCTGCTTTCTGGATCTTGGCTGGGTTCGAGGCCAGTAGCTCATCCAAAACAGCTTCCACAACGTCGTAGACAAAAACTTGCGAGTCGTCTGTAAGGGCATCGGCAATTCGCTTAGCCATTGGGCTGCCCATGGCGCCCAGCCCAATAAAACCAATGTTGCCCTCCATGGATCAAGAATTACGACAGAATTCTATCGTTTGAGTAGTTAGATACCATGCGAAATACGTTCAGGTAGTAATTAATACAATGGCAGATAAAGCGTCGCGAGATACCTAGGTTCACTTGAAGTAGAAAACGGGCTAGGATCTCTTAAGTCCAGGTCCATGGACTTGGCAGAGTCAAACTACCCCAATATACTCCCCAAGAATTGGTGCCCTCTGTTACAAACATGACGAAAGGATAGGCCGCGGGCATTCGGATGGCTGCTCCGGGAGGTCAGCTTCTGCAAGCTTGATGGGGAAGTTGGGGCGAGCTCTCCCCAATGCTACCCGCACTCGGGGGGAATTTGGTAAATTCAGACCTGCACATCGAAGTCAAGCTGTAGGCTTGCTAATGGACCCTTGGAGGGGAAAGCTCAGGAGAAAAGATCGAAGGTTTTACTCTTTTGAATAATGTGTCCAACACAATTTCATCTTCTGGAGAAAAATGCTGTGACGGTAAGATAGGATCGCCCCTTACTCGAGGGTTTGGGGGGATAGTAAGCATGGAAGAGTGCTGTCTTGTTTTTACCCCAACAGGTCATGATGCGCTTCTTCAGAAGCTTTTCGACGCCCAAAAGCTGGCCAGACTTTTCTGACGTTTACCTCATGACTAGATTATAATTTCTTGTATTCTTTCAGTCCAACTAAATTCATCGTCATGAGCTCCAAGATTCTGTGCCCTCAATCAACATTTTCCGGGTTTCGAAAGCATCTCCTTCGATACCGACCAATTCCATTCCGGCAGATTCGCCCCCAGATCTCCTACTCAATTGACGCCCAGCTATCCCGTACCTTCGCAATGGCTCATCAGGCTGTACCGAGCACGATGAAGGCGATCCAAATCAAGGAGTTCAATACTCCTTACGAGGTCAGCGAGGTCAGTGTGCCGACGCCAAAGCCGTACCAGGTGCTCGTTCAAATCAAGGCGGGCGGCTTCTGTCATACCGACTGCATGGCTCACGAGAACGCTTTCAACACCAAACTACCCTTCATAGGATCCCATGAGCCAGCTGGTATAGTTGTGGCTGTTGGATCTGATGTGAAGGAGTTTGAAGTAGGCGATCGGGTTGGCTGCATCAACTTCGAGAGCTGTTGCGGTCAGTTTACTACGCGCCCATGGCATTCTATTTATTTATTGTTTCGAAGCTTACACCTATACCAGGAGTATGCCCCGACTGCCTCGCTGGGCGGCCAATCTATTGCGACAATCCTTTGATGAAGGGCCTCACTACAGATGGAGCATGGGCGGAATACATGGTGGCGTAAGTGACAGATGATATGCCTTAGACCCCCTCCCCTTGCTGATGAGAACTTCCAACGATTCAGTGATCAGCGGTTTACCGTTAAACTTCCGAAGAAACTCGAGTTTTCTGTAGCGGCCTGTTTGATGTGCGCTGGCATCAGCATCTACGGGGCGATCAAGAGAGCCAGGGTTCCTGTGGGAGGCTCCATCGGCATCATCGGAATCGGTGGTTTAGGTCACATCGGAACCCAAGTTGCAAAGGCCATGGTACGTTCGCCTTTTTACAGTTACATGCTTTTATGAAGGCGCTGACCACGTGTGATTGAAACATAGGGCTACAAGGTTGCGGCTGTCGACGTGAAGCAGGATGCGCTGGATCTAGTGCAATCCTACGACCTGAAGCCGGACGTCTGCGTTCTTGCAACAACTCCAGCTGATGAAGCAATGCGCAAGGTTTCTGAAGTAATTAGGGGAGACTATCCGGGCCTTGATGCTACCATCCTCGCAACTGACGCCCCTCCCGCTTTCGACTTTGCTGCTGCTATCACCCGCAAGCATGGCACTATGGTATTACTGGGTCAGCCAGAGAAAGGCATCACACTTTCCTACTATACTGTTATCTACCGGGATATCAAACTGGTTGGATCACTTGTTGCGGATAAGCATGAGACGCAAGAGCTTGTGGACTTGGTCGCGCGTCACGATATCAAGGTTCACATAAAGAAATGGAAACCAGAACAGGCGGAGGAGATGAGGAGGGAGTATTTAGAAGGGAAAGGCGGCGGTAAGAATATTATTGTATTCGAGTAGAGATAACAGATTGCATTGCTTGTATGTAGGTAGGCCCAGAGAATGCCTGGGCCCTGAACTCCAAACAGCATATTTCTAAAGTTTCCATTGTCTGTGAACAGCATAACGAACGAGATTGGATCAAAGCCACTTGCAAGTGACATCATGGGAGCTTATCTATCTTTCAGTACTGCTGCTCCAGCGTCATGGTCCCAGTTTTCGAAATCAGATACTCTTCAATGGCCACCTCCTTCCCTGATTCCTTCCCATATCCTGAGAGTTTTATGCCTCCAAATGGCGACTCAGCAGCTGAAGAATTACCCGTATTCATACCAATCATGCCGGCCTCCAGATTTTCGAGCAACCTCCAGGTGCGATCGACATCCTTCGTGAAGAAATAGCTGGCTAAGCCCATACTTGTGTTATTTGCCCACTCAACAGCCTGTTTCTCAGTTGTAAAGCAGTATACGCCGAGTACGGGAGCAAAAGTTTCCTCGCGGCTCATCAGCATCGACTGCTTCATGTCGCCCAGCACCGTGGGCTCATAGAAGTACCCAGTTCCGAGTTCAGATGGTACGCGACCACCGAGCAATAGGCGGGCGCCATTCTCGATGGCATCATCGACATGTAGCTGCGCTTTAGAGGCACCTCGAGATGTTGTCAACGGCCCCATGGTAGTTCCGGGCGTAGTACCATGCCCCAGTCTGATCTGTCTCGTGGCAGCCACCAGTTTCTGAAGGAATTCTTCGTAGATTTCATCCTGAACGTACACCCGGTTTGCCGTTACACACGCTTGGCCTGCGTGTCTCCACTTCAAGGCAAGAAGCGCTTCAAGGGCTTGGTCCTGGTTGCAATCGTCGAAAACGAGAAACGGGCAGTTCCCGCCAAGTTCGAGGGTGACCTTCTTCAGCCCTTCAGCGCAATGTCTAGCAATGAGACTGCCAATGGCAGTAGACCCTGTAAAGGAAACCTTGCTGACAAGTGGGTGCTTACAAAGGGTCTCGGCTACCTCTGGTGTATTGCCCAGTGATGTTGTAACAACATTAAAGAGCCCAGGAGAAAAGCCAGCCTTGAGAGCTAAGTCGGCGAGGATCAAGCACGTCAATGGCGTTTCTGGTGATGGCTTGGCAATGATCGTGCAGCCTGCGGCAAGAGCTGCTCCAGCCTTCCTGAGTATCATGCTACAACACGCCAGCTGTCAGCATCCAGTCATCTTCAGATCATCTATTTCGAACAGGAGAACTTACGCTATGGGAAAGTTCCAAGGCACCAAGGCGACAGATACGCCAATTGGCTGCTTGACGACGAAAACCCGTCTATTAGGAGCAGACGGTCGCGAAATATTCCCTCTAATACGCTCAGCTTCCCCAGCGAACCACCAGGTAAAGCCAAGAGCGTAGTCGATCTCCCCTCGTGCTTCTGCCAACGGTTTGCCAGACTCATACGTCAAGACCAAGGCAATGTCCTCCTTGTTCTCGCGAATAAGCTGGTCCCAGCGAAGGAGTTTCTGAGCCCTGGACCTAGGGTTCTCGAGACGATACTGCTGGAACGCAGCATGGCTCGATTGCACAGCGGCATCAACGTCGGTCTTGTCGAGATCTGGGCATGAGGCGAACACACTACCCGTCCCAGGGTCCTCGATGTCGAATCTCTTGCCTGAAGCGGCCGATACCCATTTTCCATCTACTAGAGCCTCGCTTCGGAGGAGACTGGGATTGGCCAGCTATTGCCCGTTAGTGATGCCCGCCATTACACGTCTTTGGGGAGTTTTACCTTGGACGACAACTGATCTGCCATAACTGCCGGTGATTACGAGCTCGAAGAGGTATGTCGTTACTGAAGCTTGTCTCTGACTGTCGCGTTTGAAGCGTTTAACTATGTAGGTTATGGGCAAAGAGCCTTGATGTTATCTGCTTCAGCACTACACAAAGGAGATGTGGCACTAACATATGATGGATAAACTTTAGACAAAAGGTACATAGTACGGCGCAGGCGTCAGTGGGGTAACATGGGGTCGATTGCACATCATTAAGATATCTGTTGGAACATGCAAATCATGGCGTTGAGTTGCAAACATAGATGCCATGCTATCGTAGAACGGGTTTGGATGGTCTTCATTTGATCCCGAAGTTTACCAAAACCCCGCGGGGCAGCGGGAGGTATTTACTCCAACTGCTCAAAGCACTCCAACACTCATTATCTGGTTCAATGCAGGACAGCGTAGATCGTGCAGGCCCCCCCGGAGTCGAACCCCGGTGCCATCGGGCATTATTCAATGACCGGAAAGTAATGTGGTCCCGCACTTAGCCGCGCATCCCCCACGGTGGCTTGCTGCAAGACCGTGTGGGGTGGCAATGAGTGAGGGCATACGCATCTACAACACCACTCCCGATAGCTTGGTGCGCCGGCGGCCTTTATTATTCCTCACTCGATGCCTTTCTTTTTTACACACCATACAACAGTGTAACCCTACCGCGGAGTTCATCTCAAACTCTTGTTATCGTGAAGATGCGCGCGACGAAAGCTTTCTTGAGGGCCATCCCGCTAGGGATGCGCTCCGTCGCATGGGTAACAAACCGTCCGAAGAGAGGTTTCAACCTTCAGACCATATATCTCGACGAGGTGCGAGACGACGAGGTGCTCGTTGAGATGAAATACAGCGGAATCTGCCACACGGTGAGCTGCGCCCCTTGGTTCGTGTCAAGTGAAGACTTGGAGATGGCACGTATCTGATGTTGTTATGACAGGATATCATGGTCTCCCAAGGCGTCCTAGATATGGTGGAATTCCCCGCAATATTCGGACACGAGGGAGCTGGCGTCATACGGGCCATTGGCGAGAAAGTGAAAGACAAGAACCTGTCGGTAGGGGACTCAGTCGTGCTATCGTACAGCACGTGTAATACATGCCCAGCTTGCAACCGGGGCCAACGGTACTTCTGCCACTCGCATGCGTCTGTCAACCACAATGCCGTCCGCTTGTCCGACCGGACGACGCCGGCGCGTTTGGAAGACGGGACACCTGTCAGAGCGCAGTACTTCGGACACTCCTCCTTCGCGAAGCACTCTGTTGTCCACGAAGATACTATTGTCAAATGCAACTACCCGGAATCTCTCAAGAAGTTCGCGCCTCTGGGCTGTGGCTTCCAGACAGGAGCTGGCTCTGTGCTGAATGTCCTGAATCCTCCCCAGCACAGCAGCGTCGCAGTATTTGGCCTGGGAACCGTGGGGCTTGCTGCGGTTATGGCTCTGAAACATCTCGGTGTACGGCAGGTCATTGCCGTTGATATGAACCCGAGAAGGCTCGCCCTCGCGCTCGAGCTGGGGGCGTCTCGGGTTATCAATGGGAGCGAGACCAAAGATGTAGCCCAAGCCGTGCAACAGTCGGTGCAAGATCAGTTGGACTACGCGATCGAGTGCACTGGCAGTACAGCAGTCATGGAGAGCTGCATCGATGCCGTTGGAAATCAAGGCAGGGTGATCAGTCTCGGTGTTCCGAAGCCTGGCTCGACCGTATCCCTCGACGCTCTCAGTGTTTTGCTGCAAAACAAGTCTTACCAGGGAATAATTCAAGGGGCGGCGAATCCTCACGAGGTATGTCCACGGAGTCAACACCAATCCTCAACCGCGGTCTGGTCTGAGAACTAACACTCTCAAGTTTCTCCCATTGATCATGGACCTACACTGTCGAGGGCGATTCCCCATAGAAAGGATTTGTTCCTACTACAGTGCTAGAGATCTTGTACGGGCGATCTCAGACATGAAGAATGGCCTAGTAAGAACCTGCAATTTTTCAACCCGAGTAACATCCAGCTGACAGTATGCTTTTACCAGGTTGTGAAGCCCGTCATCTCCTGGGAGGATGTGCCTATAGAGCCATAGGCGTGGGAACCCAATGGGTTATTAAGCATATGGTCCGACTACTTTGGAACTATGGGCGAGCTAGAAAGATAAATCAGTATTGTTGATGAAGGTGCTTATTCAACCACGTCGTTGAGAAATTCGCCGGAGATGGCAAGATCACGGTGCAATGGGTGTACAAACTCAGAGAATGTAAATCACGCAACAGAGTAGTCCGTTTGGACCCATACGAAACTGAATTTCTTCCTCCCGAGGGCCGGTTCAGTAAAGTTTGCTACACGCAGTGTTTCTGTGCTCACAAGCTTGTTTGATTTTGCCCCATCAAGCCGCACTGTCTATTCAGAAGATGCCAGGTCCTCACCGACTAGGATGATCGGCTCTTCGTTGGTGAAGTTGGCAACATCCTCAAGCACCGGTTTTCCAATACTAGTGGTCGTGGCGTTCTTCATATCATCCAAACTCGTCCATCGCGACACCACCTTGTACCGATATGGAGCCTGGGTACCATCCGGTGCATTCTGGAACGCCGTCATTTTCCAGTCCTTCATCCCTAAAGGACCCCAAATCTTCTCGGCGTACGGCATATGCTTATGGAGGTAATAGTTGATGTCGAAGGTCTTGCCGGGAGTGTTGGGGTACAGAACCGTCGTCGAAACGCCAGCCATCGTCGTCGTGGCTGTGAAACTTCGAGTGGGCTTCAGGGGCGTGATTCTTACGACTCCATGTCGAGACTCAGAGCCTTTTGCCGAAAGTTGTCGCAAGAACAGGGACATGTTAGGCAAGTCAAGCTGTTGGAAAGTGTCAACTCAGGCTCTCATGAGTGGTGGCAAAGACCATACTTAGCAGATGAAGGTACCTTCTGGGGCAAAATGAATGTTGAGTGTCAAAGTCCAGCTTGGTTTGAAAAGAAATGATGAAACTGTCACGTCCACATTGCAATGGACATCTTAGTCATACACTTGAGCTATGCATCGGCTATTGTTCCCTTACCCAAATGTGCCGTATTTGCATCTGACTCATGTGATACTGTAACTTTCCAACTTACCCCTCGACATATCCAATTCATGCAGTTATGCCCTCCCTCGCCAGAAGCCATGCTATCATCTTGACGGGAACCTCAAAGAGGCCCCCACCTCTTGTTAGCCTTCCAAATGTGACCTACAATTGGCAGCGTTGGGGTAGAAACCCCTCGTTGAACGCGGACACTAGCTAGTCATGGGGTAATGGAACCCAGGGGGCCAAGTTGAGGTCGATTCAACGAGGTTCAAGCGGAGATCACTGCATCATAACCTTAGAGAAATCTCATGAACGTGTTTTTTGGCTCATGATACCCTTACCAGCTCATTTAGGTTTCAACATGAGGATATCTCGAAAGGAAAGACTTTGGTTGTCATCTCGTCGGTGACCTGCATTACCGGCATCAGGTGAGAATCGAACAGGTGTTCAAGTACTCCAGAAGAACAGAGCTAATAAGCTGGCTTACAGCTCGCTGCTTGCAGGCGTGGTGACGGTATGCATCCCTGCGATGGCAAAGGATGTTAACCTCGAGGGTAACTTGCTGCTATGGTACGAAACTCGGAAAGACATTATTGCCAAGTGAAGCCACTCTGACACCTTGTGAAGGCCTGCCTCGGTATATGCTCTGACCTGTGGTTGTACTCTTCTGCTTTCAGGAGCTATGGCCGATCTTTTCGGGGCTCGTCAACTCTATCTCTTGGGATGCTTCTTCCAATCGGCTTTCACCCTCGCCTGTGGCCTGGCCAACACCGGAATCCAGTTGATCATGTTCCGCGCCTTCGCCGGTGTCGCTATCTCCATGTGCCTGCCTTCCGCCGTTAGCATTATCACGCACGCGTTCCCTTCGGGCAAGCGAAGGAACATCGCTTTCGCCTCCATGGGTGGAGGCCAGCCCATTGGCTTCTCCGTTGGCCTCAGTGTTGGTGAGTCGGTGTCTCCCTTCGTGAAAGCTTCAACTAATCATCCACTCAGGCGGCGTCTTCACGGACACAATTGGTTGGAGATGGGGCTTTCATATCGCAGCCATCATCAACACCGTCATCTTCTTGATCGCGCTGAAGTGGCTTCCTAGCATTGGTAAGCGCGAGCCTGTAACGTGGAATCGCTTCGTGACGGAGGTGGACTGGATCGGAGCGTTCCTGGCGAGCGGTTTCTTAGCAATGGTCTCATATGTTCTTGCGTGAGTACAGGCCTTTGTTGATCGATGAACTCAAAGATGAGATGAGGAAACTAACGCGGGTACCAGTATCTTGACCGACAGCTTGAGTGACATCAAAAAGCCGGAGAACATCGCCCTTCTTGCCATATCAGGAGTGCTCATTGGCGGCTTCATTGGTTGGGTAGAGCGGCAAGAACGCCTCGGCCGACCGGCCATCATTCCGAACTCCCTATGGAAGAACCGAAGCTTCACCAGCATCTGCATCAGCGTCTTCATGGTATGGGGTGCATTCAACGCGACGGAGCAATTGAGTTCCTTCTACCTCCAGTACGTACAGAGACTCTCTGCAATCGACACTTCGGTCCGCTTCCTTCCGGCGCCGGTCGGCGGAGTCCTCGCCAACGTTGTCGCCGGTCTCGTCGTGCACCGCGTCCGGGCCGATGTGGCAATCCTCATCGCCGTCGCGCTTGCAGCTCTGTCTCCACTGCTAATGGCCATCGCGGACCCCGCATGGAACTACTGGTACTGTATCTTCTGGGCCATGTTCATGAACGCCATCGGGGCCGACACCCTCTTCACCATCTCGAACCTGCTGATCACCTCGCTGTTCCCCTCACGGACGCAGGGCGTCGCGGGTGGTGTGTACAACACCATCGCTCAGATTGGCAAGAGCGTGGGATTGGCATCATCGGGAGCTATAGCGAGCGCGGTCACGGCCAAGTCGGGCGTGGCAGACAAGGAGAGCCCGACGGCGTTGCTGGACGGGTATCGGGCGTCGTTCTGGTATTGCTTCGCGCTGTACGGCGCAACCCTGGTGGTGACTGTTTGGGGGTTGAGAAAGATCGGCAAAGTGGGTGTCAAGAAGGAGTGAGAAGGTTCTCCTGGGAACCGGAGCATTGGGTCGAGGGACACCATCTTTCTCCGTCTCCTGCTGGACCTGGGGCAGACCACGAGTCCCATGTCGGGACGAAAAAGCAAAACTCCGGTGACGCAGTGGAAACCTTACTCCGCGCGGAGTGTTTGCCAAGAGGCCATCTAAATGCTTACCAAAGCTAGAAGAGAAAAACACGTCAATGTAATCGCAGTAGGCGGTTCTGGAAGTTCGCCAAGATGAAGTAGAGTGAAGCTTGTTCGGTCCGGGAATCTCCCAGTAGATCTCCTCTGTCTCGTTTCCGGGATGTCGGGCGGGGAGGCCCCGCGAGCGAGAGCCGCCCAAAAGGAGCATCTTACTCAGCGGTCTGAATTTTCAGCCGATCGCAAGCATCCGAGAGCCCGAATGTGGTGGGAGAAAGTTGGGTCAGATAAAGGGGGATTGATCTAGAATTATGAATGTCTCACACAGCACACGTGGAAACACTCCGTGATACTGAAGAATAGTTTCCGCTAAGTTTTAGTCCCGGTTAATGGATTTCACAATTATGGATCTGACGTTAAACATTATGCGTCGTGCTATGGCTGCGGACTGTCGTCATTTGAGAGGCGGACTCTCGATAGCTTCTTTGAGTCCGAGCTATCAACTTGGCCGCAGACAGAACGAGTCAAGAGGGGAAGAGAGGAGCAATTTTGTGGGAAATAATTGTCAAGACATAGCTACGACGTGTTTACATATCTTGACCCGTATCTCCCAAAGTCCGCAGCCGCAGTCCGCGGATGGGAATTTCAGATCCATTCGTAAGCTTCCTCATCTCGGGGTGCGTATTTGACAGCCGCTGCCCTGCCGAGACCGTGAATCTCCCGAGGGCCCCAGCGAGAGTGCAACTCCAGATTTACGAAGATTGCAGAGATATACGGAATTACGGACGAGATAGGGGCTGGCCATTCAAACACTGCGAACTGGACAAAACGGGGACAACCATGATGCAATCGGGAAAATCACAGCAAGCTTCGGCCGAATTTAGCGTCTTAACACCGCAAATGGCTTACCTCCTCCGGGATTTTACTTAGTATCGCAAACTGGTTTCCGCTGTTAGTTGGACCCCGTTACTTTGCTGTCGGTATGAGCAAATACCCCTTGTCAGCCTAACATGAAAAACCCGAGTCAGATAAGCTGAATATCCCCGACTCGACACTAAGGGCGCGGCGTGGCTCCTGCGTGGCTTAGGGTAAGCATTCTCGGGGCCTTCGAGTCCCCCGAGACGGGTTGCGGACTTGATGTGGCCATCAACAACCCGCCCGGCCCGTCATCCATGGCGTTGGGAACACGGGAGCGGCCTGTCTGCACGCCAACCGTTCCACGCAGACGGAACCACACACCCATGTTTTCCATCTGACGGGCTGACATATCGTCCTTTGCCGCAAATGGCACACTCTCGGGGACAAAGATTTCGGTCGGGACTCCAGACTACAGGGAGTGACCTCATCGCCACTGGCCGGCCGGCGGACGCTCTGCGAACTCCGCAGATGTTGACTCTCCCGCCGTTAGACTCACTCTAATGTTGTAAGATAGGTAGTTTGGCGGGCTTGCGGCGTTGGTTCGGTGGCCCCGGTATTGGGTTTTTGTCCGCAAGCTCATGTTTCTTGTCTCTCCTGAATTTGATATAATACTCATCCCAAACCCGTAATCATCTCAATTGTTACCCCAGATCTCACAATCAACTATCAAGTGCTACCGTCTGCGAACATCAACCCTGCACCGCACTTCAATAACACAGACATCCAACCTACCTTTGGCATATAATATCATTAATACCAAGCTCACTCGAGCTTAGCCCTTGGGCAACACATCACCAACCATGGAGCAACAACGAACAGGAACGAGAGGAAGCTACGGCTCGTCAGGCTCCTCAGTCACGATGAACGGCAGACCCTCAACAGAACAATGGGATGGCGGCTTCGCCCCCATCAACACCGGCAAGAACAACGGCGACTCGTCCGACGATAATGTCACCCTATCCAGCCCTACAAGAGATACCCACCGAGACACGATGATGATGGATGAGGAGGACAGGAGAGAACTTCAGAGAATCGCCACGACGCTTTCACAACGGCAAAGTGGTATGAGCTTTGGTCAAGCACAATCGATCGAGCTTGCCAACATCCCCACCTCTGGCGATCCCGCATTGGACCCCACGAGCAAGTCCTTCGATCTGTCAAAATGGCTCCAGAACGTCATGCAACAGATGCAGAACGAGGGCATCAGCATCAAGAATGCGGGTGTAGCTTACAAGGATCTCAACGTCTCCGGAACTGGTGCCGCCCTGCAGCTCCAGCAGACCGTGGGTTCTTTCCTCCAGGCGCCCCTGAGAATCGGCGAGCACCTCAGCTTCGGCAAGAAGGAGCCCAAGAGAATCCTCAACAGCTTCGACGGTATTCTCAACAGCGGAGAGCTTCTCATCGTTCTTGGCCGACCCGGATCCGGATGCAGCACCCTGCTCAAGACCATGACTGGCGAACTTCACGGTCTGGGCCTGTCAGATGAGTCTGTCATCCACTACAACGGCATCCCTCAGAAGCGAATGATCAAAGAGTTCAAGGGAGAGACTGTGTACAACCAAGAGGTTTGTTCATTGTTTCCACTTGTCATTCACATTAGCTTACATATTCTCTACACAGGTCGACAAGCATTTCCCTCACCTCACGGTCGGCCAGACCCTCGAGTTCGCCGCGGCTGTCCGCACCCCTTCGAGACGACTCCAAGGCATGTCCCGCGATGAGTACTGCAAGAATGCTGCCCAGATCGTCATGGCTGTCTGCGGTCTCAGCCACACCTACAACACCAAGGTTGGCAACGACTTCGTTCGCGGTGTCTCTGGTGGTGAGCGGAAGCGTGTGAGCATTGCCGAGATGATGCTTGCCGGATCTCCAATGTGCGCTTGGGATAACAGCACCCGCGGCTTGGACTCTGCTACTGCTCTGAAGTTCGTCCAGGCACTCCGTCTCGCCTCCGACTTCACCGGCTCCGCCAACGCCGTCGCAATCTACCAGGCAAGCCAGGCCATCTACGACCTCTTCGACAAGGCCGTCGTCCTCTACGAGGGTCGCCAGATCTACTTTGGCCCTGCTTTTGCCGCCAAGTCTTACTTCGAGCGCATGGGCTGGGAGTGCCCGCAGCGCCAGACTACTGGTGACTTCCTCACCTCCGTCACCAACCCTCAAGAGCGCAAGGCTCGCCCGGGCATGGAGACGCGGGTTCCTCGCACGCCTGAAGAATTCGAAGCGTACTGGCGCCAATCGCCGGAGTATGCTGCTCTCCGTCAGGAGATTGAGGAGCACCAACATGCCTACCCCATCGACTCCAACAGCCAGGCTCTCAGTGAGCTCCGCCAGATGAAGAACGAGAGACAGGCTAAGCACGTCCGCCCCAAGTCGCCGTACATCATCAGCATGGGGATGCAAGTTCGCCTGACGACGAAGCGCGCCTACCAGAGGATATGGAACGACATGTCAGCCACGGCGACATCGGCTGTGATCAACCTCATGATGGCTCTTATCATCGGTTCGGTTTTCTACGGTACTCCTGACTCAACTTCCGGTTTCTACGCAAAAGGATCTGTCCTCTTCCAGGCCATTCTCATGAACGCTCTCACCGCCATCTCCGAGATCAACAGTCTATACGATCAACGGCCAATTGTCGAAAAGCATGCCTCCTACGCGTTCTACCACCCGGCTGCGGAGGCAATCGCTGGAGTCGTCGCTGATATCCCCATCAAGTTCATCACCGCAACCACCTTCAACCTTGTGCTCTACTTCCTCGCTGGGCTTCGACGCGAGCCAGGCCAGTTCTTCTTGTACTTCCTGATCACCTACATGTCCACCTTCGTTATGAGCGCTGTCTTCAGAACTATGGCGGCCATTACCAAGACTGTGTCCCAGGCCATGATGTTGGCTGGTGTTCTCGTCCTCGCTCTTGTCATCTACACTGGCTTCGTCGTCCGCGTACCCCAGATGGTTGTGTGGTTTTCGTGGTTGAGGTGGATCAACCCTATCTTCTACGCCTTCGAGATCCTCATCGCCAACGAGTTCCACGGTCGAGAGTTCGTCTGCTCGGAGATCATTCCCTCTTACACTCCCCTGATCGGCGACTCCTGGATTTGCTCTGCCGTCGGCGCCGTCGCCGGCCAACGTGCTGTCAGTGGTGACGCCTTCATCGGAACCAATTACCAGTACTACTACTCGCATGTTTGGAGAAACTTCGGAATCCTCATCGCATTCCTTGTCTTCTTCATGGTCCTCTACTTTACCGCCACTGAGCTGAACTCCGCCACCACCAGCACCGCAGAGGTTCTCGTCTTCCAGCGCGGTCACGTTCCCGCTCACCTCCAGGACGGCGTCAGCCGCAGTGCCTCCAACGAGGAAATGGCCGTCTCCGTCAAAAGCAAGAACGGCGATGGTGAAGCCAACGTCAGCTCGATTCCTCCTCAGAAGGACATCTTCACATGGCGCGATGTGGTCTACGACATTGAGATTAAGGGCGAGCCTCGCCGACTCTTGGACAACGTATCTGGCTGGGTCAAGCCGGGCACTCTCACGGCGCTCATGGGAGTCTCTGGTGCGGGCAAGACCACCCTTCTCGACGTGCTGGCTCAACGCACCACGATGGGTGTGATCACAGGTGACATGTTCGTCAACGGCAAGCCCCTCGACGCCAGCTTCCAGCGCAAGACCGGCTATGTTCAGCAACAAGGTGAGTGACGACAGCCTGGGTTGAGTCAATTGAAAATGTACTAACAGTTCACAGATCTTCACCTGGAGACTTCCACCGTCCGCGAGAGTCTGCGCTTCAGCGCCATGCTTCGCCAACCCAAGTCTGTCAGCAAGGAGGAAAAGTACGCCTTTGTCGAGGAGGTCATCGACATGCTCAACATGCGCGACTTCGCCGATGCCGTTGTCGGTGTTCCTGGCGAGGGTCTCAACGTTGAGCAGAGGAAGCTCCTCACCATTGGTGTCGAACTTGCAGCCAAGCCTAAGCTTCTTCTCTTCCTCGACGAACCGACTAGTGGCCTCGACTCCCAGAGTTCGTGGGCTATCTGCGCCTTTCTGCGCAAACTCGCCGACTCCGGTCAAGCCGTCCTCTGCACTGTCCACCAGCCCAGCGCCATCCTGTTCCAGCAATTCGACCGCCTACTCTTCCTCGCTCGTGGTGGCAAGACGGTGTATTTCGGAGACATCGGCGATAACTCGCGCACTCTTCTGAACTACTTCGAGTCTCACGGTGCCAGGAAGTGCGACGATGAGGAGAACCCCGCTGAGTACATGCTTGAGATCGTCAACAACGGAACCAACTCAAGGGGCGAAGACTGGCATACAGTCTGGAGATCCAGTAACGAACGCCACGGCGTCGATGCCGAGATCGAGCGCATTCACCTCGAGAAGGCTCAAGATGAGGTTGCTGGAACCGAGGAGGCCGGCTCCCACTCCGAGTTTGCCATGCCCTTCTCTACCCAGCTTGTCGAGGTCACCACTCGTGTCTTCCAGCAGTACTGGCGCATGCCCAACTATGTATTTGCTAAGTTCGTCCTTGGTATCGCTGCCGGTCTCTTCATCGGGTTTTCCTTCTACCAGGCGGACGGTACCATGGCCGGCATGCAGAATGTCGTCTTCGCAGTCTTCATGGTCATCACTATCTTCTCCACCATCGTCCAGCAGATCCAGCCTCACTTCGTCACCCAGCGATCCCTGTACGAAGTCCGTGAGCGCCCCTCCAAGGCCTACTCGTGGAAGGCCTTCATGTTCGCCAACATCATCGTCGAGATCCCCTACCAAATCGTCACCGGTATCCTCATCTTCGCTTGCTTCTACTACCCGGTCATCGGCGTGCAAGCGTCCTCGAGACAAGGCTTGGTCCTCCTCTTCGCCATTCAGCTCTTCATCTACGCCAGCTCCTTCGCTCACATGACCATTGCCGCCTTCCCGGATGCGCTGACAGCCAGCGGTGTCGTCACAATGCTGGTCCTCATGAGCTTGACCTTCTGCGGTGTCTTGCAGTCTCCCACCGCTCTCCCCGGCTTTTGGATCTTCATGTACCGCGTCTCCCCTTTCACCTACTGGGTCTCCGGTATCGTCTCTACCCAACTGCACTCCCGACCCGTCACCTGCTCCGCCAGTGAGACCTCCATCTTCAACCCTCCCGCCAACCAGACTTGCGGCGAATACCTCGCAGACTACCTCAAGACCGCTCCCGGCCAGCTCCAAAACCCCGATGCTCTCGAGCAGTGCAGGTACTGCTCTCTCAGCAACGCTGACCAGTACCTTGCTGGCAGCAACATCTTCTGGGATGAGCGCTGGAGGAACTTCGGCATCGTTTGGGCTTTCATCTTTTTCAACATTTTCGTTGCTGTTATGTCTTACTACCTCTTCCGCGTCAAGAAGTGGAACTCGGGGTCGTCGAAATCCAAGAAGGATGCCAAGGGAAAGGCGCCCGCTACTCAATGAGTCGCGCCCAAGAATGATTACAGAACCACACGGACATAAACTGTTCGATCCCATATATTAATAGTGCATTTTAGCATCATGTAGCCAGCGTTGTCGTTTAGATATAGAAAGAATTTCATCAATGATCAAGCTCTCATCTTCCAACTTGGTGACTCAATGCTTGCTTATCAAGGTGCTGAAGTAAGGTACCTAATGAATGTTAGGCAGAAGCCTTCATAAACAGTAGGTCTCGGAGAAGAACAAGACCAAAAAGGTCGCTTTCTATTGCAACTGAGTTCATCCTGACCCTGATTTGCACGTGTTTTAGTTCACCCTGAGCCGGGAGAAAATTCCAAAGGTTTTCCTCGGAGGCCCGCTGTGATCCAAACTTCTTCAGGAATCATTCATTTTCAAAGCAGCAGATCAGGAGAAATCGGCACCATGTACGCTATTCGGGCACAGAAGCACCAACATCCAGTTGCGAGGCAACTGCTTGAGATCGCAGAGAGGAAGCAGTCTAACTTGATCATTTCGGCTGATTTCACGACTACCAATGAACTGCTCAAATGCGCCGACGGTACGTTCAATATGATGAAAACTCTAGAAAAAAGGCCTTTCATCCGCCAGAGCACCTGGGTATGACGCTGACAGGTGATAGACCTCGGCCCTTACATCGCAGTCTTCAAAACCCACATCGATATGGTCAGCGACTTCTCCAACAAGACAGTCGAAGGCCTCATCGAGCTTAAAAGAAAACACGATTTCCTCATCTTCGAAGACCGCAAGTTGATCGATATCGGAAACACCGCCAAGCAGCAGTACCACGGCGGAGCTTTGCGCATCTCAGAATGGGCCGACGTTGTCAACGTCAGCATTCTTGGTGGCAAGGGCATACTCGACGCGCTCAACCAGGTCCTCACCAACCCGGGTTTTGCGTACCGGGAGAAGCGAGCATTGCTGATCCTTGCGGAGATGACATCTGAAGGAAGCCTCGCCACCGGGGAATACACTCAGAGATGCCTGGAGCTGGCTGGGCAGTACCCAGAGTCTATTATTGGGTTTGTGGCCACCAAGGCTCTGAGTTCTGATGCCAGCCACATTGTTTTTACCACCGGGGTCAACATGTCTGATTCTGGTGACTCATTGGGACAGCAGTACCAGACACCTACTGCTGCGATTCTCGGAGGCTCAGACTTCATCATCGTGGGTCGAGGTATTCTGAACGCTCAGGACTCGGTCGGACAAGCTCAACGGTATCGCAAGGAGGGCTGGGAGGCGTATCTGAAGCGAACTGGGAGCTGATGAAAGTTTTGAGAAGTTATCAGCAAAGCAATTGGTTTTTACCGGGACTCGGGATCCCATTCATCATTGTTTCTTCCTCAGATACTGCCCAACATGCACCTTTTGATTTACACAAGTCTTTCAATGAGTCGATGCACCACTACATTAAAGTTCTCGAGACGTTTGGTCTACCTCTCTGGTTCCGTGGCCGTAGCAAAATGGCAAAAGCGCCGCCTAGAGCCATCTCCGAAATTCTCACCGGGACATATAAGATGAGCCTCTTTTCCCATGATTCGGAAGTGCTTCTGCTCGGCTTTTGATACCCTGCGGCTCTACTACCTACTCTCAATTCGCAACATCAAATCCTTTCTCCGCGTTTGCCAACTACTTTACACGTATCTGCTTCCTATTCAGATCAGGTTACCTTCTATAAACAATTTTACGAAAAGCGGACGTATCATTCATCACGATGAACAATATCCAGCTCGAGGCTTTGACTTCTCAGTCTCGCCAGCATAGCCGCACAACCTACTCCCCCTACCGACCTGCTCCTGCCACGTCAGCCACCACCGCAGCAGAGGACATTGATTTGATGAAGGACATCGACCGTATGATGGGTCGTCCTACCGAGTCTAGCAGTGTCAGCAATACTTCCGTCACCAATGGCTCCTTCAACAAACGCAAGAAGAGTTTCACCATTTACGAAGACGACGACAATCCGCCCCCGACCGTTCAATCCAGGCCCGAAGACATTCGAGCCCTCAAAAGAAGAAAGGATAACGGGAACGCTTGGCACAATATCAGCGAGCGGGATACCATATTCAACGAGTTCCTTGACTTGTTTGACCGCGATGACTATTCGGAGGCTCTTCGGAACAATACCTTCCCCCGGGAGTGCATGATCGAGCTCATACGTATGGGTACAAGAGGCCTCAGCCACCCCCTCAAAAACATCGACTGCGAGGTTCTCGAGATCTTTAACGAAATTCTCAACACCCACAAATTACGCCTCCTCAGGGACGGCGCGGCATACTCCACAACTACAGGCCAGCGGCCGTTATCAACACCTCAGGACAAATTCGAGGTGAGCCGTCTTATGTGCAGATCCCTGCTTGCACGTGAGCCAGCTTTTATCGACAGGGCAATAAAGGCACTTCATGGTACTTTTGAGCTCTGCAGCGAAGAATATCTCCAGCGGGAAGAGAACAAGGAGAACGCCTAACCTCATGGGTTAAGGCGAAGGAAGACGGTAGGGAATCATACTGCAGCGATGTCTGCCGAGCCCGTGTCTCCGAGATTCCCTACGATAAAACAGCGCCTCCAAGACATTAGAAAAAGAATACAACAAGAAACATAGGACATCTATGCAGTAGACGAGCCTGTGTCTCCTAGATAACGCATACCATAAGAAATCAAAAGAAGACGAAAACCTCCCAAAAAGGGGCAGTAGAAGGGGGAGGATTCCTGGAAAGAACCAAGTTCACGTATCATGGTAGGCTAAAAGCCGAGGCGTGGATCAAGGAACCGTTGTGGAATATCGAACGAAGAATTTATCGTCACGTATCGTGATACTTCAAAACACATTACACATCAAACAATCGACATGTTGTACTGTAATAATTATGTTGAAGTGCTTTTGGATACTGCGACAATACCTTTGAGCAAGTCGGGTCGGTGTTAGACATTCCTTGCCTTCCTACCGAGGTTGTGCTCATAGCCTTCATTCTACGCCTTCTATTGACCCATCACCAGTGCTTGATGCTGAGCATCTCTTCAAAGCTTCCAAACTTGCAGGTTACGATACCGCGCAACGAGCGGCTGCATCTGCCTGAACCCGATCCTCCCATCCCGAACCACGGGCCCAGTCGACTTGTCATCGTAGAACTCAAAGATTGGCAGGTCGTTGATGCGGAACTTGACCTCCCGCTTATCCTTGATCACCTCAATCTTGTAGAATGCGCCTGCGGCGTCGGCAACCGGAGGCAACGGATCCGCGCCCTGGGAGACAAGGTGAAAACCGGGTGACTTGCGCAGGTTCGCCAACAGAAAAGCCCTCTCCTCGGGCCACCTCCTCCTAAAGTACGACGCGTGCAGTGTCCTGATATCGCTGGAGTGGTATTGCGGATAGCTCCCGTTTCGCGGGGCAAGGCTTGGGTCGAAGATGCCACCGGTGCCGTTCGCCGCGGCGGCGCCGAAGAAGAACATGGCCAGGCCGGGCTCGTTGCGCGGGGAGAATTCCCAGGTGATCCGAATGCCGTCGGGGAATACTTCGGGCACCCAGTAGACGAAGTAGTCGTCCGGGTTGCCGGCGCCGGAGAGCTCGAGCGTGCCGTTCACGGCCGCGGCGGTCAGGGGACCCTCTGCGACCCAGGTTGATATGTCGGCGGTTGAGTTTAGGGCGTTGCTGTAGAGGAGTTGTTCGGCCATCGTTGCCGCTGCGAAAGTGACGAGGGGAGTGAAGAAGCGCATTTTGGTTCTTGAAGTTGGCCTTGAACGACCGGGACGTTGATCGGTCTCGACGGATGTTGTTGGCGCGGGGCTACGCGGTCGGATCGGGCGCGTTGCTTGGGACTTAACTTGGAGGGCAACTTGAAGGGATTGAGAATTAAATGAGAAATCGCTGATATTTGATGGTTATGAAGAATTCGCCCTCCAGCCTCCCGTTCAAATCCCCTCATTTGGTCCAGAAGCGCATCAGTAAACTTTCACCTGCTCCAACGGTGCGATGCTGCACCGAGATGGACCGAGTCCGGGGTCTGGCGGGAGTGGAGGTTAACGAACGCGCGAGCTAAACTCAGAGAGGAAGCTGCTGTAACGTTGTCAGTGTTGACATTGAAATTACAAAAGGCGTGATCGATTAAACCTTGGAGAGAAGCATTGTGCGATTGCTAGTTACATCGAAGAATGCTTATTTCAATCGCTGTCTGCCTATTTCTGTTGTCACGCTGGGATCTTTTCGATAGCCTTGGGAACATTAACTGACGAGAATTCAACCGGCTAGGGGACTTTGGCTCATCACCGCCCCATGCCCTGGCGCCGCGTCTTCTGCCGAACTTCCACCAATTATCGAATGAAGATCAACGTTGCATCCGGTAATGAGCCAAGATACGGTGGCATGCATGCAGGGGAGACGGGATGAACGTGAAAGTTTTCGGCTCGAGTCAGGATGACGCGATTCCTCATCTCAATGAGCTACCGAGACATCCGGACTATTACGCCGGTGGCAGATGCTCTCCGCTCGGCCGGAGCGGGTGACCCACATCGGAGCAGCCGGATCGGGAGGAATCCGCCGCAGTTTCTCGCACACCGGTGGTCGTCTCAATTGGGCAGTACTGCGCATCGCATCTCAACATCGTGATCGTAAGATTCTACCGCCTGGACGAACCAAAGTTTGTGATCAAGACCGGTGGACTACCAACAAGGCAAGGCGAAGACAAAGCAATGCGCACTTCTTGATGTCGTATTATCTACCATTGATACTGACGAAAGAAACTATGTACCGAACAATATCTACAAGATGCATTCCTTTTCTGAACCAAGCCATCATCTTTTCGACTCGGTATTATTGACGACATCATTGGACCCATTATCCTGCGACTTGTTCATCACCGCCCCGATTCGGGACCCCGTAAACCTCTCAGCGGGCCAGCCCTGCATCGTCCACTTAGCCTCGACAATGTCGCCGCCCATGATCAGAGTATGTTCCAAGAGACTACTGTCATTCTTCATCACAGCACCGCTCAGCAGTCTGCTCCCCGTTCTCAAAACACATCTGTCGCCAATCTCAAGCCTGTTCAAGTCGAACTTGCCGCGAGTGTTGACATGCCCCACGACACTAGCATCGTCCACCGCAACACGATCTCCCAAAGTGATGAGATCTGGCTCAGTGAACATCAAACTTGGCTCCCCGTTTGCGAACAAGGCACAGTCCTTCCCGATCTTAGCCCCAAGCGCTCGGAAGTACAGCACGATCCAGTGCGTGCCGGTTAACATGCCGAGGATTCCATGGCCGCGGTAGCAATGGCGTCGGATCCTCTCAATGGCGAGGAAAAGCTGCCAGCGTTGACAGTAAGGCGACTTGTCCCAGTCGTAATTGCCCGGCTGTCGTCGTCCAAGAAGAATCCATTTGGAAGCGATGACCAGAGCTAGAGCGAAAACGGCATGCGCGGTCATGAGAACAGATATGCCGACGCAGGAAAGGATGTATAGCAGAATGATGGAGAACCATTCGTGCTTGTTCTGGCCGTGGAAGATGTCGTACACTTGGTTGATGATCTGGATGGAAGAGATGGTGGGGACATTCCAAAAGAAGGAGGTGAAGACGGCGATGAAGGTCGAGTAGAAGAATATTGCTGTTGGACCCCAAACACGATAGCTTGCTTGGTTCAAGTAGAAGGCCCTACCAAACGGGGACGCGTCATTTTCGTTCATCGGGAGCTTTGTTGTTGTCGCATGCTCGGCTTGCCATGTCGGGGCTACCAAACCTTTCTCACCTAGAAGTTCCCGGCTCGATCGCCTCTCCTGCTTGAGATTCTCTCTTCCGCTCGTCAAACACACTGCATCACCTCCTTTTGAACCAACAAAAGTCCCGCCATCTGCATATGTCCTTCCCCTCCGAGTCAGAGCACCAGACCCCATCGTGGTGCGTTCGCCAATATTGACCCCCGGGAGGAGACAAACCCGATCCGCAATCATGGCCCTATCCTTGACAGTCACCCTTTCCGAGCCGATGCTATCAGACGTGACCAAGTGCGAACGTGAGCCAAACACGACGTCGTTGCCGATGTCGAGCAGGTGATAATCGCTGATAGCGGGGCCGGTTCCGGGCCAATACACGCGCTTGCCAACCTTGCCGCCAAGCATGCGAATAGCGATTGACGTGGCTTCGTAGTGCGAGCCGAATAGTCCCGTGAGATCATGAAGACGAGAAACAGGAAGGAGCCTCCTCATCAGATCGACCCTCCAAGTATATATACTGCCGCAGCCTTTATGCGGACCAGCTTGCAGAATCAGGGGCCCGAAAATGGCGTGGAGAATGAGCTTGATGAGAACGGCGAAGCCAAATACAATGAACGGACTGAACATAGAGCGAAGAACCAACGCAAGATAGTGGTAGCCTACTCGGTGGCTCTGAGTAAACCAGTCCAAGATGTCTCGCATTGGTGTATGGCTGTTCAAGGGCTGATGGAGAACCATGCCGACGAGGCCGCCGATCCATGGTGTCAGGGAAAGAAACCACCCTATTACCAACAGGGGGACGGTTCCAAATATTGCCAAAAGCCAGTGCGGCTTTGGCGCTCTCGTTGGAAGAAGATCTCGGTTCGACTCGTCGGCATCGTGGAGTTCCAAACTTGAAGAGTTTGGGCCGATGCAGGTGTTTGGTGGAACAGAGGTCCCTGGCGCAATGATGGACGCAAAGCCTACCGAAGCGTTGTCTCCGATGACAATACGTCCGAGATACATCGAGGTGTTTGCCTCGACAGCGAACGGGCGGCAGATACACTTGGCGAGTTCTGCGCCATCACCAATGTCCAGCAGATCCCACTCACCGAAGGACACTCCCGAAATGTTGACGTTCTTGCCGATCTTAGCCCCCATCATGCGAAGATAGAGACACATCGTGTAGTCGGATATTCCGAAAACGCCTTCCCCGCAGATACTCACGATCTTCTGCACAAGCCACCACCGGGTGTGATACAGTCCCCACATAGAATAGATGCCTTCGCGGTATCGCCCGATGATTGCCCATTTGGCGATGATGCCAGCGAACGGCATGACCAGTCTCATCACCAGCTGAGCGAAGATGATCGAGGCCGTGAGGTTGAGCAGGCGTCCCGCAACTGAGTTGTTTGTAGGAAGGAACTGAGTTTGGGAGAAAGCGACGAGAAACATGGTCCATTGAAGTGCTCGGCGCATGGGATAGAAAACCACCATCGGTAGGAGCTGTGCTGCCATAAGCCACGGGTTCGTCGAACTCTTGGGCTCAGTGCAAACCAAACAGTCATCATTCCGCTTGTCATCATCGCTGTAAAGCGTGAAGGTAGAGATCTTGTTGATGTGTGCTGAGATCGCTGAAACTGTTCCGCCATCGAAGATGAGACTGATAGGGATGCTAACGTTGAGCTCCGATCGGAGCGCGGACATGAGCTTGCCGGCGCCGAGGGAATCCCCGCCGAGGCTGAAGAAGTCAACATCCAGGGGGATATCTGATGCGTCGCATGAAAGGACGTCTGCAAAAACCCTGGCTACCTTCCCCTGAGTTGGGTTAGACAGTTCACTGATTTTCTCTGTGTGAAGCTGATGTAGGTCATTCTGAAGTCTTTCCTCATCGACGACTCCCTTCTCAGACTGTGGGAGTGAGAGCTTCATGGCGTGGAACTTGGCTGGAATCATGTAGTTGTGAATATTGGTAGACAACTTCTGTCTGGCGTACTCCACGAATTCGATGCTCAACGGCTGTATACCAGGCATCTTTGGCGCAAAATACGTCTCAGCAGTGCCTGACTCTGTATCAAATCGGAGATAACCTTCAAAGCCCTTCGGAGTAATTGGAAACAGGCAGCTGACAACTTCATCCGGATCGATAACACACAGTTTCGCAGGGACTGACACTTCAAGGCTAGTGTCCGGCGGCGGGCAGTTGGCTTCCCAATGTCGGTCCAGGTATGAGGTCGTATCTGTGATCTGGGGCATGTTCATCCGTTCAGCCAACCTAATTCGTAAGATTTTGTTGTTTCTCTTCGGCAAGTCGTCCATGTATATGACACACACAGGCCATTTAGCCTGCTGCAACGACTGCTTTAGGGCATTTTGAATGGCCTTCAAGTCGACTCTGGGCTTATTGGGTGCCGGAACAATGATAACGGCGACAGCTTCCTGGAGAATATCATGGGTTACCGAAAAGGCGAGAACCTGGTTAACTCGACCAGAAATGGGGGTTCCAGATGTCATAGATGCGGCCATAATGGCGTTCTCAACCTCGAAGGGAGAAATAAGCTCTCCACCACGGTTGATAACTTCCTTGCTCCGACCTGTGATGTAGATATAGCCGTCTTTGTCCATGAATCCAAGGTCGCCAGTGTCGAAAAAGCCGTCTTTGTTGAAATTGGACTTATCAAAACTTCCATCCGGCATAAGGTAGCCGGAAAAGACGGGCTCTCCTCTGACGCATATCCTGCCCACCTCGCCAGGGGCTACACGTGCGTCGGAATAGTCAAGGATCGTTAGATCCGGGCCTGTACTTATTCCTGATGTGCCTGGTCGGTCTAGTTCATAGTTCAGCGGAGGTGTTGAGATCGGCATGCACCTGATGAAATGTCAGTCTCGTTGCAAGCAGAAAGGCGAGGACGACTGACTCCGTCATCCCATAACTTGGCAAGACGACGCAGCCAAAAGTGTCCTTCAGTTGACAGGCAAGCGAGGGAAGTAAACCACCGGCTGCGTTGCATGCCAGTCGAATCTTGCTCTTCTGCAGCGCCGACGACCTCGACTTGGCCTCTCCCAGGATGACTGAGTGCATAGACGGAGAGGCATAGTACCACGTCGGCTGGATCTCTTCATTCAGGTCCCAAAAGAGCGTTGGATCGAAGGCCGGACAGCAAATTGTCGAGCCGCCTGAAAAGATTGGCGCGAATATGTTTCGTATCAAGCCGCCACTGCTACCACTCAGCTGAGAACTTGAAGTCAGACCCGCAATTTACTTACACGTGGAACAGGGGCATCATGTTGATACAAATATCCGATGTTGTTAGACCCCAGTAGTCAACCACAAATGAGATGCCGGCGACCATCGAGTGCGTCGTCAAAGGAACCACCTTTTTCGTCCCAGAGGTACCGCTTGTAAACAGAATCAGCGCGACGTCATCGGCAGAATTGGGCTTCAGTTCGTCCGTCGCTGGTAAAGGCGAGCCAGTCGAACTCCGAAGTATGATGTCGTCGCCGTAGTTCCAGTCCGCAAAGAAGATTTGGATACCGGCTTTCATAACCCATGAACCACTCAGACGTAGCTTTTCGTAGTCTTCCGCTGTTGTAATAATGCATTGCGCGCCAGCCTGAAGGATATCAGCCTGGAACTGTTCAGGCCCTACAGCGGAGTTGATGGGAGCAGCTGTGTAGTATGTCGTCACCGCCATTACAGTCGCGGCCATGAGCACTCCGTTAGGTATAGCAATGGCGACTACTGGCTTTCTCTTCCCATCAACGAGGGGTAATCGAAATGTCTCGATGAATTTACGGAGCCCGCGATGGGTGATATAGCTGTCCGGGGTCGTGGTTCGCAAAGCTGGTCCGTCATCCTGGCTGATGAACTGCGCAAATGAGTGATATGATTGCTTCACCAATCTAGCAGTCCTCTCAATGAGCCATGTTGACTCTTTGTCTGGACTCGTTTTTGTCGTCTCGGGGAGGAATCTTGAAAGTCTCGTGTGGCAATTGATGAGGGCCAATGGCGGCCATGGCCCAGGTATCTCGGTCAAGATAGTGTATAGAAGATGCAAGGGCCTCAGTGACGGCTCGGGAGTTGTTGGCAGGGACCGAAGAATCTCCTCACGATCCAACTTGGAACTTTGGAGCAAAATGAAGTGGTCGTTCGTCTTGATGAGTCCGGGGCTTAAGTCGTACAGGGATTCGAGGAGCTCTTGGAGGTCGTCTCTGCTCGTGAGGTCCATCTTGGATTTTTGGCCACCAAACATCAGGTTTTTCAAAAAAGAGTAAGCAAATAAAATGAGTAGTGATCGTGATTTGAACGAGTGAGGGCCTTTAAAATCTTATTCTGAGGGTGTGTTTAGGAATTCACATTTCAACTTGAAGCTCAGCCGTGAAATCGAATATTCATGCTCACAGAAAGAAGCAAAAGAACGTGCAGATGGCCAGAAGAGCACACCTTTGGAGGGACCGCAACGATAATTCAAGTGATGAAGAAACATGATGCCTCACAAGACACGGGAAAGAGGCGATTTCACAAGAAAGGAGCCCAGCGAGCGTAGTGGGCCCGTTGTCCAGACCCTGACGGTCAATGTAAGCAAGGAGAAATTTTAATAGCTGCGTCTTTTCTTTCTCATCACGAAGTTTTCTGGGGATGTTAGCTCCGAAAAGCAAGTTGAGTATGAATCAAGGTACGCTATGGCATCGCGGTTCCAGTTCTACCCTTGCTGCGAACTATCGTCAACGGCCTGCGCTAGAAGGTTTTAGCTTAGAGGTCCTGCATATCAAGGGATTTCCGAGCCAACCTGAGATGAGATGTCTCTTGACTGTTCCAATTGTCATCTTGGCCCCCATGTTGTTCCAATGAGTCTGTAGAAGCGAATTAAAGGCTCAGGTAGGTGGCCAGAGGAAATCGGCTGATGAAGTCTTCATCGACAGCTGTCTTACCCTTCCTCACGCCGAGAATTCATCATGTAAGGTATAATTTTGGAAGTTTGACGACAAAAGACATCAACTTGACTTTGTGAAAGTTTGCTCTGGATTTGAAACAAGTTGTTGGAAGCTTTGCTTGCATTTACGAAATCGGTTCCAGAACTGAAGTATCCACCATGATTGGGGGAAATTCATCATCAAGAAAAGCAAGCCAGACGGCCCACAGTGGCATGATTTGTTCTCTTTTCAAAGGTTGGTCTCATCAAGCCCCTTGCATAAGGCAGGTCTCCGAGACTTGTATGCATGTTTAATTGACATGTTCTGAGTCTTTTTGATGATTCATGGTCCCATCAACCTGAACGCACGACGGCAAGGTCAAATCTGCCGAGCCGAGGTCGTCCTGCATGTCACGTTTAACGGCCAGGTGAAAGGCGTTGTGTGGGCGCGCACACGTTCAAATAGGTATTATCAACAAGCCCAGCCGATCTGACCATATTGTCGCAACTGCTACTCGGCAACTACCTGATCAGACTTTCTCGCTCATTTGATCCCTCTTTTACCACGCATCAATAACCATGGCTTGAACATCTCCAGAGAATGATATGTTCATGTGTATTATTATGCATACAACTGCAACAAATGCAACCCTCTGCGCAATACAATGCAGCATGCATACAGATGAGCCACTCAGAGATGCTTCCCAAAACGATGTTGGACAAATTTTGTCGAGCACGAAGGCAAAAACGACGCCGACGACTTAGGTCCTCTGTACCCGACCCCATTTATGTCTGTAGTATCCCATCGGGTCATCGGTAAGACCGGCGAAGTGTGCGCCTATGTTTTCATTTTCATTTTCCTATCTACATCCCCAACCCTATCATATATACATAATGCAATTACCTAGATAATACCTATATATCAAGATAAGCGTTTAGAGAGGTAGGAACTCTATCAAAATAAACCTTTAATAATAGCCTCATTCTTATTCTTAAGGTTTTAATAACTTAATAACCCTAATAGGCATAATAAATAACACTTAAGTGGGCGATATATGCCTTAAAGATTTAACCTAAATCCTTATAATATACTTCTTTACTCTTTATACTATACTCGTTTTACTATAATGGCCGACCCCTATACGATCTTTATTTGCGGAAACCTCATTAACGCCATTGTGGCCGCTGAAATGAACAACCAGCCCACCCCCATCGCTATGGTCAAAAATGTGCGCCTATGTATTCGAAGTGAAGTCCCATTTATGCCCCAAAGAACAGACGAACCGGGCCCCTGACATGATTCATGGCTCAACGATTTGCAAACTGTACCGCAGCGGGACCTTGCTTAAACTCTATTCCAGTCTCAGACAAATTAGAAACCTATCCCGCCGGTTGACGCGGACTCGAGGTCGTTGCCGACTGCAATATGATTGGGCCATAGCCGCTTGACTACGAGGTTACCGAGACCGAACGAACCACTACATCGTGAATCCGTCCGGAACGCACTATTCGTAAATGAATCGTAATTACAGTATCCTAGAAGCCTCGTCGCAGATGTCAGCAAGTTGCAGAGCTTTAGCCAATAACAGCTGCGAGCAGCAACTACACAATCTAAGTCTAGCCGATGGGATACCGGAGGCTCTTGCCTTATAAGATCAGATTGATCTACGACCCGTTGGATCAGACGATTCTAGACTCTTTTCCCATCGTTGTTTGCGCATTATTCAACTCTCATTCGTTCCATTCGTCCGATCAATACGCTCTTTTTCATTCAGTTCGCTGTTGCATATTACATATCACCGCAGATCTTGACAATGTCGTTCTCTCTTGTTTCCACCTTTTCTCTCCTGCTTTCCGCGGCTGGTGCCGCAAACGCTGCCAAGCAGTGTGCCATTCAGTTCGAAGGCAGAATACCCACCAACTTCACTCCAGCAGACTTCGATACATCCGCTAGCCCTTTCAACAATGGCTTTGTCTTTGGCAAGGGCCTGAAGGCCAGCGATGTAGTCACGATTCCCACTGGGCTGTCCTCGTTGGTCAGTAATAACATTCTTTGGAAAAAACCTCAAATGGCTGACAGTTCTAGTTTGATGCCAACTCCAGCAAACCCTTTGAGGTCAACATTGACGACAGGTCTATTTTCGCGCCCACCGAAACCAACGTCCAGACCGGTTTTCGTCGCGCCGAGATGCTCCCTATGAGCAACAATGGTACTGATCCATCAACTTCTGGGATCAAGACGGTGCACTGGAGCATGATGAAGGATCCCAAGAAGCCTCTCAACCTGACACATGAATACCAAATGGTGTTTCTTGAGAGCTCAATTTTCAGCTCAAACCAGTTTGCCTTGAAATACGGAGATCTCATCGGTATTCACCCTGCGGACCCGGATGTGCTCCATCTTTTCGGCAACTCCAACACCAAGCCCTTCCAGCCTGAGTTGTTCACCACCAAGTTCACGGATGGCGTCTTCCACAACTTTGCCTTGACTCTGGACTTCAACAAGAAGTAAGTATTCAGAAAGTCCGGAGGTAGAATATGACTAACGCGGGGCCAACAGCCTTACTCAAATCTACTACTCCCAAGGAAACGCGCCTCTTGTTGCCCAAGGAAAGCCGGTCGAGAATGATATCTCAGGTCAAGGACAGTTCCATTTCGGGGTTTTGAAGAAGTCGATCAACGGTACCGGTGATCTGACCAAGTCAGGGTTCCATGAGTCGGGTATCAACGAGGGCATCATCTTTGGTGGCATCTTCCAGGAGGACAGCGCTGATGGATGTGTCAGTTTGTCTCCTTGAGTTCCCACTCATTTAGACCATGGCACAAGGTTATCAGTGTATCAACTCGGCAGCGTCCCTCATCATACCTCCATTCACATGCGTCATCCGAAGTAGCCTTTGACGGCATTGTTGACAAACATGGGAGAATTCTAGATATAGATGTACAATATCTTCAGTGTGTATTATTATTGACATATAGAAGACCCTGAAATGAACCTGTCAGCCGTATAAATGATTAGGAGACGACAAGAAACCAAAGGAAATCCATCAATGCCTCGACTCAATCACCAGTAGGTATCATATCTTCCACTTCAATTCCTCCAAAACCTCCTTCGCAGCCCTCTGTCCAGCAAACACCGCTCCCTCCATGTATCCGTAGTGCTTTGTCGAGGTCTCCGTTCCGGCCCAGTGAATAGCACCGATCGGCTTCCTAACCCATTCACCCAGGGTTGTCCACATCCCCGGAGCAGGCGTGGCCGCGGGGCAACCAGTAGCCCAATCTTCCTCCATCATCGTGTGAAAGAAGAACTCTTCCGGGTCCAATGCCTCCTGCCCGAACGCGGCCGCGAATCCTGCCAGCGCCACCTGCCGTCTCTGTTCTTTACTGAAGCTGATGAACTCCCTGGCTTTGGTTGCCGCGATGAAGCCGGTCAACTTCGCCGGGTATCCCGACTCGGGGGTCGCATCGTACGTGACGCTCAAGAAGCCGATTGGGTTTGTGCTTTCTCCGCTCAGCCCCTTGTCACGCCAAAACGGCGTCTTGTAAGTCGCATAAACCTTCATGTACGCCCCCATCGGAGTGTGCTGGAGCAACGTAACCTTCTCCACTGGCAGCTTGGGCTCGAAGTCGATCTTGAGGATGTGCGGAGGTGGAATCGCGGAGATAATCCTCCTCGCCTGGTACGTTGCTTTCGTCGTCTTGATCGTTGCCACGCTTTCCGTGTACGAGATTGCGCGAACCGGTTCCTCCAGACGAATCGACTTATCACCGATGTACCCCCTCAACTTATCTGCGATGAGCTGTGTACCCCCCTTCACGAAATGTTGCTGGGCCCCTCCTTCCACGCTGAGTGCTGAAGTAAAGCTGACGGCTCCTTTGAAGTAGAACAAGGCATGGAGCATAGATATGCAAGAGGTGTTCGCCCCGATGGTTCCCTCGAAAGCTAAGCTTCCCATATCGATCGTGGCCTGCGTCCAAGCATTCTTCCTCAGCCATTCATGTACCGTGATCCGGTCGAGCTCTTCTGCGTTTGGTGTCGCCCACGGCTCCTCCAGGTTGACTGAGTCGCAGAGCTTCTCGAACCTCTTGACGAAAAGCCCCATGTCGAGAACATCCCATGGCCGCAGTGGGGGGATGAGGCCGCTGTAGCTTCGAGCTTTGCCCCGGTATGCCAGAACAATCTTTCCGTCCGTGGGGGGTTTGAAGAGGGGAACTTCGAATTCCTCGATGAGGCCATACATGAGATCCTGCTGGTGTCCTACGAAAGTCGCGCCGACATCGTAGTAGTCTCCATTCTCGAGGGGTATCGTCTTCGACCGCCCGCCGACGCGGTCGCGAGCTTCCAACACCAGGACCTTCTTGCCCGAATCTTTGAGGAGTCGCGCTGCAGCAAGGCCAGAGTAGCCTGCGCCGATGATAACGCAATCGTATGTGGTGGTGGTGTTTTCTGCTGCAGAGTCGTCCATTGTGTCGAGACGTCAACCAGCAGACACTAGACAGTCCAGACTTGGGCCTCGTGGTTCGGATGACAGGTTGAAGAATTGAGTTCGACTCGCTCCACGTCAAGACATAATAAAGGAGAATGATGGGGTGACATTCTTGCATCCGCTCGGACCAGCGAGCGGGAATGTGTCTAGCGCTGACGGGAGATTTGTAGGGAAGTGAGCCATGTCTTGCTAACACCCAATCACGAACGCCTCGCAATCTCTTTTGGAGCTTGGTCATCACTGAGGCGTTTGCTATGGCATGGAAAGAAGTTAGCGTAATCTTCGTGGCTTAAGAGGCCTGCTCAAGCTGACGTTAGCTTTGTGTGCGGTTTCATTTGACATCAACTGCTTTCTCCAACTCCATTGGGTACTGAAGTCTTGTAGTGTCACGGGAATAATACGTCTGAATACCGAAAATTACTTCTTCACAATATGGTGCCTCTTCACTGTGGCGTGAGTTTTGTATGGCAGATATATCAGGATCTTTCGCCGTCTAAGGACCAGTTCACCTGGGGCATGATGCATCGCTAAGTACACTGAAAAACAGAAACAGGAAGCGTGGACGAAAGAACACGCTTCTCGAAACGTCCCAACCAAGGTAACGTGACAGAAGCTCGACTTTTCCGGTATTCGAATTTGGTTTTCTGACATCTGCGAGCGTCTACGCACAATGACAGCTCTCAACAATAATACGGTCGACATCTTGTCAGATCCATTGTCACCACATTCCCCTTGTTCCAGCGAGGAATTGTGTCCGTCTTCTTTGTATGAGAGTATGGCAGCTTCCACAAATCAAATCTCCTTACAGGCCAAGCAATGGCAAGAAAATAATATGAAATCAATAACTTCTGGTTGTATTAAACGGGAGGTTTCTCAGCCTCGGCGGCGATGGTCTCTCAGGCATTGAGATAAGAAGCAAGAAGGGAAGTGGCGATAACGACGAACCCAGTAGGCATCATGCTTGCCTTGACAGTGATGTTGATATTGGCAGCGGTGCCGACAGCATCAGAGTCATCTCTCAGGTCAGATATGTTGCCGCTCTTCCTAATCATTGTACCTCCGTTGATTTTGTTCGTTGTTTCGTCCATGGTCGCAAAGAAAACCGGAATGTCAAGGTATACTTGCGATAGATCAGCCTGACGCAGTTCCCCAATCCACTCCCCTACCAAGGGGAATTCAAGATTTGTGTAGCATCATTCGCGAGGCGACACATTTATAAGGATAAGGGTAAATAAATCCAAGAAACCATATTCAAAGCAGCAAGACAGAAGCAGCAAAGTCAAATCATAACTCCTCACCATCTTCACAATATCCTTGATTCCCGACTTCGCCATTTCACCACATATATCACACTCCCTCCTCGGCACTCCAGAAAATGAAACTTGAAGCGAAGCATCCATGCCTTCAATGACCATCCATCATCTTGTGTGGTCTTGCCCTCTGGTTGCCCGTCAGGACCAAGGTCGTAATCCCCTATCTCCCGTTCAACAGGCAGAGGCTCCTTGTGATAAAGTTCACGGCTCAAATATAGCCAACACTAGTTCGATGAAATAGTGGAATATCTGCTGTGTTGGATACTAACACCTACGCCAAGCATTGACGAGGTGCGGGCCGCGGGGTGACGATGGTGACGGAGTTTCTCCTGGCGGCAAGCGGGCGAACTTTACACGCTAACTTCTCGAGTTATTTGTCAGAATCATCGAGAATAACCGGAGAAGTCGTGTCCATAAGGTAAAATTCATCAACAGTGATGAAAGAGAACTCTGCTCCGTCGTCATTCCAGCCCGGGGGGAAGAGCACTTGTGTAAGTTGAGGCGCTATGATACCCATAAAGCCGCTGATATATTCGCCCGCAAATTGGCGAGTGCCTTTTGCAATTTCTTGGGATGTGGAAAACTCCCGTGGACCGTTAATGTTAGGAGAGTTGATATGAGAGTCTTCCAGCGTCCGCTTCGTATTCCTGTGCTTTTTGTGGTGGCGTTTCAAAGCGGCAACAACTTCCACAATGATGACTTCCATTACTAGATCTGCTAATGGACCGAAAAGAGCTTTAATAAAAACTCCTCTGGCGACCAAAGTCTCATACGTAGAGTCATCGACCTCATCGACATCAGAATCTGGCACCGAGCTATGCCACTCTTCTTCGACGGCCCCCCAAAGAGGAGCGAAGAGGGAACAGGCCTTCATCGATTCGGTAGTTGGGCTGTAAAGACAGTGCTGAGCGTAGGGAACGAGGCTGGGGTTGGCGATGATGTTGTGAACAATAGTCTTATCCAGTCGCATCTTGCCAACTGCCGGGAGAACGGCCGTCTGTGGGAGCTTGTCGCAGTTCGCTCCGGTGCAGGTGGCCTCGAAGGTGACCGAGACAAGCTCGTCTGCGGTGGGGGCGGCCGAGTCGACGTGGAACATGGAGTCGAAACCTCCGGGACGGTTGAAGTTCAAGTGAATTTCAGCGCCATCCGGAAATCCAGTGGTGATGTTGGAGATTTCAGTCCATCCTGGGGTGGTTGAGTGGAGCCGCATTTCCGACATCAACGCCGAATTGTTGCGTTGGAGGAGAGGCCCCGGAGTGGTGAAGGAACAGGCATTAGCCACGCAGGAGATGCCGAAGGTTTCCATCTTGGAACGAGATATTTGGTAGCCGATGCTTTGTTTGGGAGTGCTACGAGACAGGATGTGGACGGAGGTGGAGTATACAGGTAGTGAAAGTGAAGTATGAAGGTGAGGTGACGAGGAGCTGGATATGATTCCCAGGAAGATTATGACGCCACTTATAGAATCTACAAGGAGATATGAAATGAACTGCTTGTATGATTAAATCACTCCACAAGCCTCATTTTATTCAAAATACTGGTGATTACAGATGTCAGGAGGACGCGACACCAAGAGTGAAGCAATCCGAATCGGCACGCAATGTTGAAAGCATACTACTCGACGCCACAGAGGTGCCTCGACCTGAGAGATCGCGCGATTCATCATTCCTTTGGAAAATTAAACGGCGTTGGAGATAATCCTGAATGATGCGTCACCTCGGAGACTGGAAAAGGCGGTTATCGAGGGGAACTATGGGCTGTGAATGACAAGAAAGATGAGTGATGATGCAAGAGCCGACGCGGGTAAGTTGGCATTGCCGGATTCTGCTGCATAACGTATCAACAAGCTGCGGCGATGAATCTTCTCACGTCTGATCTTGTCCTAGACACAACATTTGTGGCGGGTTATCGACCGTGGCTGATTCTCGACTTCCTCTTTGGCTGGACTGATGTTCAAAATCCCTCTCTTTCGTCGATGGGAACCTCATCGGAAGGCTTCCTGACGGGTTAGACTTAATGAACAGCAAAATGCATAGAGGCATTAAGAAGTTGGGGATTCATTACTCCCATGTGTTGCTCGGGTGGAAGGTGATTTGTGCTTGGCGGCGATCTTATATCAGAATGCTTGACGGGGGCCAACTAACACATATTAACCCCTAGTCAACACAAATATTCCAATGAAGAAGGGTAACTGCATCGTATCACGCAACTCATTTCGCCTTGGAAGGCACGATGGACCCTCGCCAACAACCCCAACCCCTGGTTCAAACGTGATCCTCGCATCTTCGCAGCGAAACCCCTCCTCGGATCTCCCATTCAGTCTTCCTTCCCTCATCGTTCAAATAACAACAGTTGAGAACCCGGACGATCTTTGCGTTGGGCCCCTACAACCTGGAGTCTCAGAAGGCGTCCGATATTGAAAGCCTCGGACTGTGGCGGTGTAAACTCAATCGGCTGCTCTAGCCCTGTATTCATCCCGGCAATAACTATCCCCCATCGCTCTCACTGCATATCAACAGAAAGAGCTCTTTTCTCCGTCACTGTTCGACGGCCCGATATCGTACACATGTAGGTATGAACAACCCGAATCCAACACCCAATGCCTTGCCACTCAGCTCAGTCCAATGCAAATGGAAATAAACGCTCGTCTACTCGTCATCTTCGTCATCGTCCATGTCCTCGTCTCCATCTCCCTCGGCGTCCTCAGAGTCATCGGAGTCGTCGCTGTCGGAACCTGATCCCTCGCTCTCTCCCTCACTGCCAGGGTCGTAATCTTCCTCGTCTTCATCCTCATCATCTTGAAGATTCTGCTCCGCCTCAAGGTGCGCCTTCGCCAACTCAGAGAGCCCGGTACCCGCAGCGTCCCCATTCGCAGACGCCTCCTCTCCCTTCTTCACCTTTAAGTTCTCCGTCAACTCCATCTTGGCCTTCCTTTGCTCCGCCATGCTGCGATCCTGCAGACCATGACGTTTGACATAGGACTCGTCGATGCCGGCGAAGTCCTCCTGGTCAAGCATCCCGAACTCAATTTCCTCCGTCTCGTCGCCCTCGGCGAATACCTCAACGACCATGTTGAACGTGCGCTGCAGGACATTGGTGTAGCTCACAGCCACAATGCGGTCGGCGGGGAGGAATACGAGGGGCTTCTTGAAGCCATAGAGGATGCCGTTCGGCAGGAAGAAGAGGTACCCATCCTTGGACCCGCGGAAGGCCTTGACGTGCACGGCCTTCTCGTTGGGCCGGTGCGGTTGGCGGACGAGACTGTGGAACTTGGATGGGTCGGCGGCGACGATCTCGACCGCGTTGCCTGCGGAGCTCAGGTGCGTCGTGAGCGCCCAGTCGAAGAGGGTGCGGTAGGTATCTGAGACGGCGGCCGCGGCGTTGGCTTTCGGCCCGCCGATTGTGCCCTGCTTTGGTGGCGTCGATGGCACTGTGAACACCAGAGCCTCCTTCTCGGGGGCGGTTTTCGTCGGGAGGCAGGTTCCTCTCGGGAAAAGCACGTAGTTGTGCTGGACCTGGGTCTTCTCCGGAACGGGGAGGTAGAAGGCGTACTCTGCGTCAACCTTGTTAGCTTCCAATCCATCACCTGCAGACCAATAGGGTTACCCAGGACGTACCGATGTCTTCCCAAGGATAGATGATGCCTTCGACGGGCGCAGTGGTGCCCGGTAGGCGCGCGTAGAGGTGGTTTTCCGTGAAGCAGAGTTCGTACTTCTTGCGCTGAGGTACCGAGACGGAGATCTCCTTGATCTCTAGGAGAACCTCTTCGTCCGCCGCATTGACAGTTCCGGCGCTTTTGGGAGCGCTCGATTTGGATGTGCCATTTGTGTTCGTCGCCTTGAAGCCGTTCGAGGGGCCTTCGTCTACTCGTCTCCGCTTCGATGCGGGCTCTGGTCCGTTGATCTGCTCGTACACGAAGCTGGCGATGTCGTTAAAGAGCGCTACTCGATCGGGGGTGTCTTTGATGACAGCATGTCAGTTTATTTTGTCATGGAGGAGCAGATTTACGTGACAAACATACCTGCAGCCTTCTGGATCCCTTTCAGGATGTCTGGCCGCGACTGGAAGACGGCTCCTAACCGCTGGCTATCGAGACCGGCGGCCATGATGGGAAAGCACTAGAATATCGATATTTTGGGGAAATTGACTGGAAGGTGCGACTGATTGGGGATGTGGACGACTGCTCGGTCTGTTCTGTCGAAAATGATGGTCGGGTTGGGGTTTCGTGTGTGGAATTGACTGTGGTATTTTTGACGCGACGTCGATCTAAATTTTTGGTATGTGACGTGTTGGAGCTGGACGCACCGCATTTGCGCATTTGCTGCAGTGGCAGCGGATTTAATTCGGTTAAAGTACCCCTTCAGCCGGGCTCATTAAACGCCCCCTATCATTCTCCCAGCTTCCAGGTCGCCACTGAATCAAAGCATCGAGACGTCGGACTTTTTCAATAATTGACACATGGAAAACGCATGATCTTTTCTCATCGACATACCCAGCGTCCTAACACCAAGTCTACAGAATTCTTGTTTGCCCATTCTTCTTCAGCCAGTTCCCACACATCTAACCCAAGATGCACTCAGTGCTCGCTTCTAGAAGCCATATCCTCTCGGTACCCAGGGCGCCCTAAGTCATTTCTGCCGCAAAACACCAGGGTTTACCTAGAATGGTCGTCTCGACAGCGATCTGCTCGATGACGCTGGACCTGATGGTGCCACTCTTGGTAGCCCTCAGTTCAACTAATGGTCTCAGCAACGTTTACCTCGAATCGCACGCCTACACTCTCCATCTGCTCGTACGAGAGCTCGTTCATCGGGATGTCTATCTTCTCGAACAGGGCGAGACAGCGACCGGAGATGTGGTGCGGCTCGCGGAAGGGAACGCCCTTGCGGACGAGGTTGTCGACCAAGTCGGTGGCCAGCATGAAGGGGTCGAGAGCCACTTTCATCTTCTCGGGTTGGGTGTCGATGGTGGCAAGGACGCCCTCGGCAATCTGGATGCTGTCGCTAACGGTCTTGACGTGGTCGAGCATAGGCTCTCAGGACTTCTGGGGGTCCTTGTTGTAGGTGCTGGGGAGACCCTTCTGGGCCATCATGAATCCAGCTCTCTGGCCGAAAACATGGCCGCTCTTGCCGCGTAACTCGTAGCTGTCGGGGTTCTTCTTCTGCGGGAGGGGGAACTTCATTGTGATGTATGTGTCAGCGAGGCGGATGAGGTCGAACTCGCTGGAGTAGATGATGAGATCCTCGAACCAGCGAGAGATGTGCTGCACGAGGACCGAGCCCCATTGCGTTGTCTCGGTGATAAAGTCGCGGTCAGCAACGCCAGCCGTCGAGTTTCACAGAAGACACTCGAAGCCAAGGTCCTTGCCCATGGCCTCAAGGTCGATGTTGAAGGTGTTACCGGCAGGGGCACTGCAACCCAGGGTTCATATTGACGCGCTTGATGACCTCGCGAAGGTGCTCTAGGTCGTTGGCACAAGCCATGTCGTAGGAGAGCATCCAGTAGCTCCAGCGGACGAGCTGAGCGACACCATTAGTCTCCTTTGTCGGCTGCCATGTCCGGAGTGTGGCCATACGCTGCCGTTCTTCCACTGCTCATCAACCTCCAGGAGACCTTTCTCGACCTCTTCGAACTGGTGTTAAGTCAAGATACCATTGGCGTGGTTTGCACGAGCGAGACTGATGCTACCGTAGATGTCCCGCTTGTGAAGGAGCTTATTCAAGTGAATACTCTAGTTGTACTGCTCCATGAGGGGATCAAGGCCGCCTGTGTTTCCTCAGTCAGTTTCATATTCGAAGCCCAAGATTGCCAATGCGAAGAGACGGCGACGACCTTACGTAGGCAGTGTTTGGAGGGCCAATGGCGATTACATACCAGCTAAACGACCTCCCCAGAGCTAGTTCTCAGCCGGTTTTGAGCCTGAAGCCATCGTGACGGTGTTGTGGTAGGGTGGATTCTTGGACGCGGCAAGTTCTAAGTGACTGACTTTCCAGGCAAAGTAAAGGATTGTAGAGACTTGAGAAAGACAAGTCAGCAAAGAGTGTCTCAAATGGCTTTCAAAGCCAGATTTTCCTGTCTAAAAGTCTAGAGAGGGAACATGAAATGTTGCAAGGTCCTTGGAGCTCAAGTCATAAACGAAAAGCCTCGGCCTTGTCTTATCATTTGGTCTTATCGCGAGCTAAGGGAGCTTTGACCACTCAATGGCGCTGTTTTCCCCTGAAAGGCCGACGTCACAGTGGAGGATTAGGTACCTACCTTACGCCAATGCAGCGCGGCTGACATGATGCCCAGCTCTCACCCCGCGATTTCCTCCCTTCTCCAATTCTAGGTAGGTATCGCCGGGCCTTCTTTACCCCACCAACCTGAACGTTCCTCCATTTCCATCACGTCCATCAAGACGCGTCACGACTTCTCTCTTCAATCTCGGCCGGATCCGACGCGAAGCTGACTGCCAAAGCTCTTTATCCCCCTCTCACGCGTCACTGTGCCTCAGAGCCATCTTCTCTGTCTACTTCCGACATTCTCCACCACCTCCGACGATTCCGTTCACCGCCCAGCATGTCGTTTCCGAACGTCTACACACACCGCAAGGTGGCCGAGTCTGCGGCCAAAGGATGCGATGTATGCTACCGAGCTACAAGCAGCGTTTTGGTTGCCGAAGAGAAGAAGGTAAAGATACTCCTCTGCCTCTTCGACCTTGGGCCGCAACTGACTTTCTGCAGGACTTTTTCTACGTCTGCCCGAACCACCTGAAGGACAAGAAGTTCTGTACGCCCATTATCGACAAAGAAGCTGCCGAAGCGAAGAAAAAGAAGGAGATGGAAGAAGAGGTCGAGCGCGTCAAGAAAGAGTACGAGGAGAAGCAGAAGAAGAAGAAGGAAAAGGAGGAGAAGGATAAGAAGTCGGACAAAGACAAGGACAAGGACGAGAAGAAGGACGAGAAGAAGGCTGAAGACGATTCGAAAGATGACGACACAAAACCCAAGGACAAGGCACGTTTCTTCAGCCTCGCGCTGAATTTCGGAATTAACTCCGGAGCCTCCTCTCGTCATGAGGAACCTTCGCTAACGATCTTTAGGATACTACCGAAGCTTCGGCCCCCTCCGCGGAGGAAGAGCCCCGCGTTTTTGCCCTCCACAAGTAAGTTGCTCTGCAATGCTGACCACATGATGTGATGTTGACCGGCCGCTCTGCTGCAGGAACTTCTACGGCATGCGGCTCGAGAAAAAGCGCCAACTTGAGATTGCAAAGAGGAACAGGGAACGACTGCAGCAGCCAAACTTCTTCCCCTCAGTTCCCAAGGGCGCCCCGGGCAGCTAAAAGGCTTCCTCACCTCGAAGTACTCCGTACAAACGCTGGCATGGGACTGCTGCCAAGGCCACCCCAATCACACCAGCACCCAGCAACGCGTTCCGGCTACTGTACGGCCCTCTATCAATAATCTCCGCGCCACCATGAGAATCACGGCAGCGCCAAGACGTCGAGAGCAATTGTGGTTTTCCCAATCTGGCATCTTGCATTATGTGCCTCCAACTTCAGTCGGCACCGGCTGTCATCCGTCTTCTCGCGGGAAGACGCTTTGACGTCGCAATCGATCACAGCACCTTCCGTTGTCCAAAGACGCTCTTCTGATTGGCTTGGTTACGACAATTCAACGGTGTGCCGCTGGCATCGTTTCCATGCAGCGTCAGACATCCTGCAGTAGCCCTAATGGGCTGCTGGTTCGGTGCGGGAGCACCAGCTGCCGTTCAAGGTGCAGTTCCGTCAGCATCCCTGCGATGATCATGGACCGGGTGTGCTGTTATACAGGCCGGGCAACCCGCCTAACGTCTTGCCAGGGATTATTGGAGAGATCCAGGGCTTCGATCTCATGCAGATGGTCGTGATGTCCACGAAACTCCAAGCGATGCCCAGGACACTTGTTGCACTCAACAACGCATTAGTGAGAATTACTGAACCAACTTCGCAGAGATATGCTCCTGTATTCGCTCAGTTCCATCTCAAGAACACTGCTGCTTGTCATTTTCACAATGTAGGCTCGCGGCTCGTTTGATATTCACTCCTCCGTATACGGGTCGTCAGTGAAGCCAAATTCACAAGAGACGCGGCCCGAGTCAACCCAACATGTATGTCTTCAGCCCTCTGCTGTACAACATCACGCTCAATCAAGTGGGCCATCAACCCCGTTGGCTCGGCTATCTACGCCTCTCTATCCCTTCGGTGCGCCCAGGTTGCCGACTCAACTCCCCAGGTGCAACCTTGAACCAGAGATGATCCACAAGTGTTACACTCGCATGGAGTTGGAAGAATCTTCCCCTCTTCGGCTGTGCCTCACAGCAACCTCTAGCCGTCGCGCTCCCTGCCACCCAGCTCCCGCGTCGGGTCTAGTGCTGACATTGCTTACACTGTCGGGCAACCTCTGCATGTGTGCCCTGTCCAACAAATCAGAAACACTCTCAACTCGCGGGACACACTACATTGAGATGGCCAAGAGAAAGCCGCGGCGGAACATGATCAATCGCAGTGTTCACAGTTTGGAGGTCTCCAGCAGCATACATGAGGCCGTCACCTTTTGCGCGAGATATGCAGCGGATGCCACCCTGTGCCGCCACCTCACGCGGACATGAGATGAGGCGGCATCGTCGGCTTTGGAACCACGCCGAAGTGTCCTATCGCCAGCCAGCATTGTGCCTCAAGTCCCAGCCGGAGGGGTCGGCCATCACGCTTACCCGAGTGCCTTTTTTGCCAGCCGAAGTCAGCGCCACACAAGGTGGCCATCGCCAGCAGCCATCTCGGTTTCATAGACTCTTGGATCTTCGGCAAGCGCATTTGTTGTGCTGCAGGGTCGAAACCATGCGGCCGTCTCCAAGAGCAGGTTAGGGCTGACAGCAACTACTGGATTCGCATGTTCCCCGATGTCAATCGGATGGCGATCAATCGACTTCCCTCGGCATCATGTCTGCGAAACAACCCATTATTAGCAGCAAGTCTCGAACTTGTGGCGTATGAAGCGCCTGTCGTAGAACTCGGGTCAGCCTTGAAGATCCAACTTGGGGTTGTTCTTTCAAGCGAGCCCCCGCGCTTTGTGCAGCGCATCGGGCAAACGGCCTCACGAGCTTGTAAAAGAACTTGCCAGTCCTATAACTGATTGTGATACATGGGAGAGCGAGGCGGCTGGCTGGCTGTGGACTTCATGTCGCAAGCCTTTATCGATGCCTGGGGACCAATGGACGAACTGGTCCGTTGATAACAGAACGAATACGACTTTCCGGTTACAACTTCAACCGGCTGAGCGGTTGAAGGTCAGCAACACTAATGAGAGTCAGTCACTTGTCAGAAATGGATCATGGGCATCATCAGGTGACTCATTCATACAGTGAAGTGAGTTAAGGTAGCCAAAATCGTCCGCAACCCCACAGGCTATGCGTGGGCTGTTCACTCCGCATATGGAGCAAGGATTCGACGATCACAGAGCCTCTTGCCCGGCAAATACCGCACCAACGAAAGACTCTCGGGGAGCTTTCTCAGATGGGCGATGCGACGATACCAACAAAGCTGCCGAACTATGGAGTTTCGCCCCGTGGCTGGGCAGGTTCCACTCGCAGGCGGCCGCCGCAGATTCGCAGGCAGTGCTGACACAATTATGAAGAAAAAGAAAGTTTCATGGACAACCCCAGTGAAGAAACTGGTATTTCTGCCTATTGAAGCCGTAAGCCGAGTTACTGTCTCTTTTCAGAAATCCCCCGAGCCGGAGGCTAGCTGAGCCACGAGGCAACTGGGTGTGGTCATGTCAAAGTGGTGCCTGGCTTTGGGGAACAGTCGACAACAAACGCTCTCCATCGTTTATTAGCCTCACGCTAGTCGCCCCGGACTGGATCTTTGGTATCACTGCCGCCATCACGTCAGATTACGCCGTGGTCCACTCTTCTCGAGGCTGTCATCAGCGCTCACGACTCAGGCATATACTGGCCGGGCGAGATATGGCGTCCGTTCTGCCCGTTGAAACTGTCAGCAACTTGAAGCAGTTTCGGGTAACTTTGACAATCCTGGAGATCTCATGAGAAGAGACGTGACCTCGCATGGGCGACATCGCTGACGCGTGAGCTCCAGGAGCCCAATAGAAGACCGGCAGCCTTACGGTTTGGTGGTGGTCTAGATATGGTTTCCATTCGAGGTCGTCTTTGCGCTTAAGCTGGTGTCACCATCGTCTTAGGACTGTTTCTTTTCTGGGAATCTCGGATGTGTAAGCCTGGGGAGAATCAACAACATGGCTTTCTACAAAGTCCAATGGCATACTCGCCCTCTCATTCAGCCGCCAAGTTTCCAACAAGAATCTGCCACGGCGCAGGAATGATCGCGACGCCACACCACTTACATCTCACCGTGGCCCCTCTTCCTCTTCCTGCTGCCTCCCCCCCCGACGACGATCACCGATCAGAGAGCAGAACTCGATGGCGCTCCTAGGGGTCCTGTTTCGTGATGGAGTGGAACCGTGCTCCCCATCTCTTTCCCCTCCCCGTACCCATGGGCCGGATGTCACTCGATGAACCTCTGGGATCGTGGTACTTCTCCAGCTCTTCACGAATGTACCCCCAAGGGAAACTGGGGTCGAAGGGAGGGGGAGGGGTTGTCAGCATCTTAGCGTCGTCTGTTTCTTACGCCACTGGGGTCTCGTCAAGCTTGCCCACCTCGCGCCTCGGGTGTGAGGGTATCGTCATGGAGGCACGGTATGGGGAAGAACTCTGAAAAGGCGAGGGGGTGGGCGTGGTATGCGCGTGGCTTGACGTAGGGAAATCTCACCGATCTTCTGAGTTGCCGCTGCAGGTTGAAAATTCTTCTATGCTACCCTTCTCGCAACTTTTCGCCTCCCGGGCCCACAGAGAAGTTCTAGTTGAAGATCCTTTTAGTTCTCTTCAAACTTTAGAGCACTTCCGGGGAGTCATGGGTTATCGAGGCCCTGGACGCTGGCATATCTCTGTGGACAAGGAATGCCCTCGCTCAGACTTTCTTCATCCGAACTCTGACGACGTCACCAACTAGGGCTGAGCAGCGTCAGCCTATTCCAGCTTGACAAGGGAATTGGGAAGCTTGAGCACGGACACCAAATGTCGCCGGCGTGAGTGATGACAGCTCCTTCGGCCGGGAGTCGATGCCTCGGGGGACGGGGGACACATGTGCCTCGCCTGCTTCCTCCGAACACCCAGAAAGCGGAGGAAGCACAGACGGACGGTCGGACTTCAGGAGATGAGACATCAAAGAAGCTCGAAAACACGCGAAAATCTGACAGAGACATCGCCACATATCCAGAGTCAGACGTCCCTGCGAGGGCGAGTCGCGATAGTATCATTGACCCTCTTCACCCTCCGAACTGACAGGAGCAATTACTGTTCGTCCGGCGCTCAGTGTCGCGGGTTTTGGTCACCCACACCCGTCTGTGGGTTCCGCTTACGGAGCGGAGCGCGTCGCCGGAGGATGGACATTGGCTGCGTCGGACTCAGCCTGCGTTCCCACTCCGGGTCGCGAAAGCGGTGTCGATTGTGACTGGGCTGTGGCGTCATCGGCTGATTGCACTGCGTTTGGGACTTTGGGTTCACAAGGCCCCTTTCACGAGGCTGGGAATCTTCGACAAATGTCGGTGTGCGAAGGTTGGGGTTTGTGTTGTTGGTCCGGGTCACATTGGCGTTTGACTGCCGCGTGGGAATCTTGTGTTCTCTTCTGGCGGGCTGTCAGCAATGGCACTTGGGTACAACATGATTGGGTATTTTATTGTGAGGCTTGGTGTTTCGTCAGATCTCATTGTCTATCAAGAACTGCGAAGGTAGGCTTTCTCGAGGTCTAGTCTTGTGTCATTACGTATGATTGCCATGCTCTGATCAGTTTCAGGGCACGACGGCAGCGTTACGCGTAAGCTGGCAATGTTTTAAACGCTTAGGATCTTTTGGTGCACTGCGTCTTACTTGCTCTTGGGATAACCAAGATCGGAGCCCTGGGCGGTTGTATGCTTGGGCTTACGTGAGAACTTTGGTTGGTGTCTCCTTTCCTTTTCGCGCGCGCCTCAGATGCCGGTATTGTGGATGGAACAGATTTGATGTAGTATTGTCATGCGGGGCGTCTTGGTTGTGTAGACTTGTCCATGTTATTTTTGGAGTGGTGGTTATGTAATGTGTAGATCTCGGTGTTGAGGGTATCACAGCCTTTCGGACGTCGAAAGGGTCTTCAAGAATGATATCGTTCAATTTTAAAGTAATCTAACTCCTGAACAGTGATAATTCAAGAGCTCAAGCATTGATTTATCTCAAACAGTGACCGTATTTACGGACGACCATCGTCCTCATCCCAGTTGGGGTTGTTCACGCCGCCGTCCTCAGTCAGGTAAACGACGGGATCCATCACCTTGGTGAAGGTGGAATTCACTCCAAACGCAATCCAAGCGAAGATACCATCCTCAACACTGTCGCCCAGCATAACATATTCCGCAACAGGATCCACGCCGTCCGTCTCAGTCTCGGTGGTCATGATATCGTCATCAGCGTTCGTCGTGAGAGCTTGCTCGTTCGTAGTATACGGATACGTAGCTTCAACCAAGCTGATAAGATCCTGCTCGAAGAAGACCTGCCCAATGTGCGACGTAATCGTCGTAGCTCCCAGAGTACTATTTTCATACAGAGTGGCGTTCTTTTGCACGACAGTATGGATGTGGATCGCTCTGCCGGTGTAGTGGCCGGGGAAGATGGACTCGAACTGCGCCACGCCATCTGCGTCGGTCTTCTGGATGCCGCGGCCCCATGTCTTGTTGAGGTTGGTCAGGTCGTCCTCGCCGTTGCCATTACCTTGGACGGCGACGCCGGAGTAGACGCCGGTGGAGTTGGCGTGCCAGATCTCGAGGTAGGTGTCGGTCATGGGCTCGCAGGTGTTGATGTCAACGACTTGCATGTCGAGGACGATGGGGACGCCTTCTTGGTCCCCGCTTATGTTGCGCCGGACGTATTCATCGGCGACGTCTGAAGAGTCCATCGTAAGTATGCAGTCCCTTTTGAGATTTACAGGTGAAAAGGAAGAGGAGGGTTGAACTTACAGTACGGGCCTTGGGTTACTTGGGGCGTCAATAGACAAGACTTGTAGTCTGCGAATAGCGTCCCAGCGTCGGTGTTCTCTGAATAACCGTAGGAGGTCTTGTTGTGGCTGATGCTCAGCACATCTGCCTTGGCACGCCTTGTCAAACTCCCTACGAGACAAGTTTGTCAGTTCAGTCCGCTCAAGAAAGACTCGGAAACTAAGTAACTCACTTTTCGATCGAGCCTCAGACACGGTAGCAGCTCGACGCTGGATGTTTCGCTGATCCAGCCCTCGTGCTTTGAGTAGCTCGGTGCAGTGACTCAGACTGGTACGCTTCTGGCTTCCGAGGAAGTCACGACGTTCGCGAATCTCTTCGACAACATCATGGCTACCATGAGCGGTAACAGTTGCTAAAATCAAGGCTGCTGCTGTGATGGGAGTTCCGAAGCGCATTTTGAAAGTTTTGATACGAGGCTATTCAAAAGTGAATGTATGACAAGAATGCGAGGCTCTGGGGACTCATTCGTTCCTTAGATGTGAAAGATAAGCTGACGACCTGATTGATAGAGGGTCTGTTGTGGTATTGTTTTAGCCTTATATCTTCATCACGATGTTGAGCTATTCATTTGAGTAGGTCGCCGGGTTGCTCATTTACAGCGAATACAAGGGTTGCGTAATCTGAACACCCTAACTGAGGCTTGGGTTATAATCAAGAAGGCCGTGATTGGCCAGAGTCACACAGAACAACAAGCCTCTCCATCGCGGAATTGAGAAAGAAGGACAGCCAGACCGGGGAATCATTGATTCAACCGTAGACACTGCTAACTGAAAGCTTTGTTAGTCCCATTCGTACGCAACTGCGGCTCAGCCTTTCACTGGGTGGAGATTGATTCAGGAATATCATTTAAAAACTCATGCTGCGTACGTACTGGCTTTACTGATCGTCAAAATCATCTACCGACTTAGCCCGGGCGGTAATGCCGCCTCTTCATCCGCATCCGGATTGTGGGCTCGGTGCCCGGGGTGTGGCGCCGCCGCCGAAAAATTCCACCGGTGCATCCGACGGGGTAACGGGATAGATGCGGAACAACGGACTACATATGCTCCAAGTCATGCTTCTCATTGACCCTATTCTGGACTGGTAGCCGTATCTGAAGGTCACAAGAACCTTCGCAGCGGAATCTGGCCGCGCAACCCCATCTTTAGTTGAAGCTACCTACATTTCGACCGCCCTGTGTTCTCCTAATCCATGCCCAGATGACTGGGAGACGAATCTTGGCGACGCTTGCAGCAGTTGTTGCTGTGGTTCTCACATTTGGTACCCTGTCACCTTTCAGCTTCTGCGATGAGAACACGGCATCAACCTGGTTCAGGGGCTGGTGCTCAATGCTCTCACCCAACCAGCCACCGGCAGATCGACACATTTTCACCTGCAAGTCGCACACCTACTCTACGGAAATACTCTCCGTTGATCCCCTGGTCATCTACATTCACGACTTCATCTCCTCTCATGAGGTCTCGTCCCTCCTAGAAACAGGAGAACCGTTGTTCGGGCCTTCCCTCTTGACTGGTAAAGATGGTCAGGTACGACAATCCCAACGCCGTACTTCACAAACGGCCCAGATGCAGATCGACGATCCCGTCGTCCGCTGTGTTCTAGAGCGCGCTTCGGGGTTCATGGGATCCATGCTCAGCCTGCCTTACGACGACTTCCAGCCTCCTCAACTTGTGCGCTACTCGGAGAAGCAGCAGTTCAAGGTTCACGCAGACTGGTTCGACGAACCGCAAAGTCGTCGAGCTGACTCGTCAGGGATCGGATCCTCGTGGAACAGACCTGCGACCTTTCTCGCTATCCTAGAAGACAATTGCACGGCTGGAGAAACGTGGTTTCCTCACATCCACATCCCGAAGAAGGCTGTTGCCAAGAGGACTGAGTCGCCGCCCTGGCGTCTGCACGAGCAAGATGGTCTAGCTGTTAAGCCCATCAGAGGCAACGCTCTGTTCTGGGTCAACCTTTTTGCCAATGGTACTGGAGATGACCGGACACGGCATGCTGGGCTGCCTCCCACGTCGGGAGTCAAGACAGCGCTGAATATTTGGCCTCGAGTATATTACTCTTGATCACAACATGGACTTCATGCCTGTATTTAGCTGTATAAGATAACAAGTAGAAATCTCTCTCGACTTCTAATGTCTAGCTTGATAGCCATGGATAGACCTAAGAGGCTATGTAAAAGTGAGATGGTTGAAAGCTCAGTTCCCCACTGAAGACCGAATGTATCAGCCCTGGAAAAAATCAGATCGAGAATCTATTAAGCCGCCCCGGGATAAACAAATTGCAATCGACATCATGTGAATGATCTGAACTCGTTTCACTGAGTTCTTATCACGATGTCTTCTGAAAGCAATAAAAAGAAAGCATCAACATCACTCACAGTGAGAAAGTCATAGGGTAGTAATTGTGACGCGGCTGGATTACGCGTAAATCAACCTGGTAGCTTACAAGGGTTATGTCTGCGGTGATCTGCTCTGTCAGCCTTGGAGGTGGGGATAACACTGGCAACTCTTTTCCCCGTCTTTACAATATGTTCGTTCAATGTTGACTGGCTGGAACCCTTGAACCATGATGGGCGGTTGAGGCGGCGGCCCAGCCGCTTGGGTGGGTTTCGGAGACTATTTTCCTGCATTAGGGGAATAGGGGTTAACTACCGTAAAGCTGTTTATAACTAGTAATCGACGATGTTACCCATGAGCCCAGGGATGTAATATCTTGAATCAGTGTGTAGCAGTCTCGTTCTTCTAGTGCCCCTAGACTCGATTACATTGACCACATGACTATTGGCCCATTGGAAAGTAATAGCGTGGCATGTATCTCTTACGCGTACCCTTTTGCTATGTAATGGGAGCTTATGAGGTCATCGTGTTTCTTTACTGATATTATTCATCGTTTGCGGTTGGATAGCGGCTGACGCGTACGTATCTCCCCGAGTTCTCGTCGGTAAACTCTGGGTTCAAGTCCAGTCGGAGAATGTATTTGCTCTGTACTGGTTGGGCATTGCATCCATCAATGAAAGTCCTGGCGAAGCCATATCAATGCCTATATCGTTCTTGGTCATGGTATCGACTGTCATGTCGATGAATCCTCTTCTACTATATGGCCCAGATGAGTCGATAATGATATGAGGCCATGATACTCTCTCAGGTCGCTAGTCCATTATACCTGTAGGCCGGATCAAGTTCTAAACTGGTTCATCCCATCTTGTATCACGTCTCCTGCGGCATTCCTGAGCCCCCTTAAGCCTAACCGGTTGTGCAAGGTATATCAGACACCAATGCTCCATAGCGAGCTCCATCGGGAAGGGACACGGGAAACCTAACATCCCGAAGATGGTGGGGTCGAGCTGTGAATCTACCTTGACCACCGATGAATCAGGTTCAAGGCAATGTGCATGAGTAATTGCTAAACAAAAGCGTTGGTATGAACATCTGGGCCCGCTGCGGAGAGCCCCTCATCTGTAATGACCAGGCACAATTCCAATGGATATGAACCCTGTACGAACTTCTATCAGCCAGACAAGCATGCAAGAGCAAAGAGAATCGCCGCGCAATCACTTCTTGGCAAGACTTGCCGGACTGAATAGACCCAACTCCACAACTCAACGAGATATTGCCACGTTTTAGAAGTACAAGTACGGTCTGTAACGCCTCGAAGAACAATGCCTCTTCACATCATATCCAAGCAGCTCTTCGCCGACGTTCACTCATTATCTTGACCGGAATCGCCCTCGAGCAAATCACCTCTTCTTTCATTTACGTGCAAATATCATACGACAACTAAGACGCAATGGTTGTACTGAAGACTCTCGTTCCCTGGCTCCTTGCCGCCACCAATATGGTCAGCGCCCACCCTGGCGAGGATCATGCTGCGGAAGCCCTTCGACGTAGAGCTGCACTGTCAAAGGTTCGCTCACTGAGCGCCTGCAGCTCCGCTCTTGAAGAGCGTGGAATCACCGCCGCGTCTGCCAGACGTAGACATGCGCTAGCTTCGCGTATGCAGAAGAGGACCGTTCTGGCTCGTGACTATGACACAGCCTTGAACACTTCTCACCACTCGAATCTCACTGGCATCACCACCGATGTTGATCCATCCATCATCTTCTCCGGCAATCAGTCTTGCGCACTCGTGCCGGAAACCACTCAAGGCCCGTACTACGTCACTGGCGAGATGATTCGCTCCAACGTGACCGAAGATCAGGCCGGAGTGCCACTTTACTTGGACATTCAGTTCATTGACGTCAACAGCTGCTCTCCTGTTGAGGGCGTCGCTGTTGACTACTGGTCCGCGAATGCCACTGGCGGATATTCTGGGATTTCCAGCCAGGCTGGACTCAATACAACCTGGCTGCGCGGCATTCAGATCACCGACGAAGATGGTGTCGCTGGCTTTCAAGGAATCATTCCTGGCCACTATGCCGGAAGGACTCACCATATTCACCTCCTCACCCACAGCCCTGGCAACTGGACTCGACTTCCTAACGGAACCATCACTGGCGGAAATAGCACGCCACACATCGGTCAGGTCTTCTTCGACCAGGATCTTGTCAACGAGGTTGAGACGTTGGAACCGTACACGAGCAACACGCAGAGCTGGACGAAGAACGATGAGGATACTATCGTATTGCAGGAGGCGATTGCCACTGGTGTTGACCCCATGGTGAACTACGTTCTGCTTGGCAACTCGGTTGCAGATGGGATCTTTGCTTGGGTGTCTGTGGGTATCGATCCCACCGCCGTGTACGAGGTCGATTCGGCGGTTCGCCACACGGCAGACGGTGGTATTGAGGACGAGTGCTATGAGATGATCAACTTGTCGCCCTTGGATCCCGCGCTTCCTCCTCTGCCCAGCTATTGCAGCAGCGTTCTCTCTTCAGCATCTGCCTCAGCCACCGCGTCTGCTTTCAGCGCGTAAATCGGCTTGCTACAATGAAGAGGCGCATCACCTACGTTGATACTTAGGTTAGCGAATAAATCATGAACATATTTACCCGGCCGCCACCTAATCTTGCGGAGAAATTGGGGTTTTCAGTGAAATACTGTGACGTCGGTTGCTTGACTGGTCTAGCCAGCCACTTCTGTGAATGAGGATGGCCAGGGGAGAGACGACGATAAGTAACAGTTGAGCTTTTGCCCGCGTGAAAAGGATTCCGTGTTCCTGGTGCGACACGTGCAGCATGTGAGGTTAAGCTTTTTGGTTTGGGATGGAAGGGAGATTGCTGCTAGGTTGTCTCAGACGATGCCCCCTCCCCTGACGCTAACAGGAGAACCAGAGGGGATGAGGATATCAGGATTTCCTATTCAGGCAAGTCTGATTACACCACGAACAAGTGTGAAACCACAGCAGGCCCGCCCCTCGGAGCATGTGCCGAGCATCCCCTGCTGTCAATCAGTTGTGTTGTGTGGATGAGAATATCAAGATCTCCGATACAGGCACTTTCCACATCTTTGGTGATGTGAAACCAGCTCAGCCCGCGTCTCACCTCTAGTTGCTGATAGATTGACAGCCACTCATCGAACATGACAGCAACTGATTGAGATGACAGCTCTGTCTAGGGGCCACCTGATTGATGGGCGAAACCGCCACGGTGAGGCACCGGCTTTCCCAGGGATCCTGTGTGAAATCGTCCGAACACCCCGACACTTTCCCACCGCTGTTGTACATAAATCATCAAAGAGTCGTCTTGGCGATGGGTAGTTGGCATCTCATTCCTCTCATTCTCTTCATTCATTCATTTAGCTGAATAAAGCTTATTTTTGCATCTTCATTTTCATTGTTTTCAATTTCCGATAGCAGGTCTATCATTGCGACCCAGATCGTTCAATCTGACCTGATTCATTCATTCATCATGGTCCGTTTCGGTTCTCTTCTGTGCGTGGCTGCTGCCAGTCTGAGCGCAGCAGCCATTCTTCCGGGCTCTGCAAGCAGCGAACCAGCGGCAAGAGTCTTCGCCAGACAGTCGGCAAACTGCTTGAAGAGTGATCTCATCCAGAGCGCCAGTGCGAAGACTGGCCAGGAGGCGGGAACGGATGGCATCAAGGCAGGACAAGCCAAGTCGAGCACGTACGTTTAAAATACTCAAACTTTTGACGGGATAGACGCTAATTTCCCATCAGAGACAAGGACAACTTCATCAACTTTTGCGAAGGCAAAACGATCACAAACGGGAAGCAAATCACAGCTGGTTCATGCAATGGCATTCCCATGGGAAGACTTCCTGCCCAGAGCAACATGATCTCGGCCATAATCACCAACCCTCAACCTGGTGTTAAGATCAAGGCTGGAACGACCTTCAACATCTCCGTTCAGACTAGCCATCTCAAGGCCGGCAACTTCGTCAACCCCACGACCAACTACTACACTGCTCCCCAGGACCTTGACGGTAACGGAGACATCATCGGTCACTGCCACGTCACGGTTCAGGATATCGGCTCTCTTACGGCCACGACCGTTCCGGACCCGTCCAAGTTCGCATTCTTCAAGGGCATCGATGACGCAGGAAACGGAAAGGGACTCTTGCAGGCCGTGGTGGACGGTGGGCTGCCGGCTGGTACTTACCGTGTCTGCACCATGATCGCGGCTCAGAACCACCAGCCCGTTGCGATGCCAGTGGCCCAGAGAGGTGCACAGGATGACTGCACCAAGTTTGTGGTCGAGGGCGGTGGCAATGCAGGTGGTGCGAAGGCTTCACCCAGTAGCGCCAAGCCCAAGGCAACTGGCAAGCCGAAGAAGAAGGGCAACTAGAGACTCTAATAGGTTGGAGACGGTGAACGTAATGGATTATGGCTACTTTGAGCCTATGTTCAGCTTTGGAAGCTAGGCGTTGGACATAAGCTAGGCGTATGTTGAGAAATACGATAATGCACACTTGTCGTCGCGTAGGCTCGAGTTTCGGACTGTGAGTGAACAGCAAGATCAATATCGCAGTGAATCTCGTGTACTGCAAGGGTAGAAGGATTCATTCATGAGACGAGATCTGTTTCGTCTCCACTTGACACTCAGAGTTGAAAACTCCCTCTACATGAGACTGCATCGCAGCTGCGCCTTTCCCTCAGTACAATGGTGTGACGGCTCCTCTCCGATGAAGCACCGCTAGCTGTTCGAGCAGGCTCCACGGTTGATAAAGAGCCCCGAATCGAACCTTTCTTCGCGCAATCGTGTTTTCCGGCCTATCCTGACCCTTCTATATAACTCCAGTTCATGACTCTATGCTCTATAAAGATTCAAATGCTCCCATTCCAAGTACTTTTCCCCAGACCCCTGGCCTCTTGAAAGGCCCCGTTGAGTTGCATTAGATGGTCTTCGCTTAACCTTGATCTGTAGCGAAAGATATCTTGCTCTCGTATGATCGCTCCCTGCTTAACCAGCAAAACCGCAACGTGCAATTTATCGGCTGTCAATGTACCTGTATCCAGACAAAGATCCAGCGCCGACAGGGCTTGGATGTTTCTGCTGTTGATGTTTGCCCCGCATTGAATAAGTACGGCCAAAATTCGGTCGTCTTTCGGGCCTGTCGTTCTGAATCTTGTCAAGAGATGATGGTGTAGCGCCGTATTTCCAATCACATCCGCAACATCCAAATCGACCTTCATCTCCCGAATGAGATACTCCATAACCTCCAAATTCTCACTTGCAGCAACTTGATGGATCGCATGAAGCCCGGCACCTTCATGTGTGACCAACGAACACCCCGCCTTGAGTAGTTCCCTTGCCATTTCCATTGTTTTCCCGTTTGGTCTCGGTCCATTCGTTCCCAGCAAGAAGTACAAAGGATTGGCCCCGGCAACGCTCAACTCCGGCCGGAATCCTAAGGCAGATTGGAGTGCCTGGCACGGGAAATTGGCGTTGTACTCGTCGCAGAAGTCCTCTACGTATTTCAAAGACCCGTAGTTTCCAGCATCGAGCACGGGATGCACAGTCGCTCTCTTGTTCACATCCGCCCTAAGAGTCAGCAAGCGTGTCAAAATCTTCTCTTTTCCGCACATGGCAGCCCAGTGCAGAGCGCCGAGATCAAGCTGCCGCGGTTCTCTCCACCAAACTTGGTATTCGCACTTCTCGCAATACCGGAAACACTCATTAGTCCACTGCAAGGGCATGGTGTGATCATCTTCGTCCGCATTGGCTCCGTTCTCCAGCGCCAGGTGTACAGCCCGCTCGTTGCCTCGCTTTGCAGCGATGAGAAGTGCAGAAGAGTGGTTCTGCTCCGCATCTCTCCGATAGAGCACTGGAGTCACGAGCTCGTAGAGTGCTCGGCAGGTCGCGGCGAGGTTCGCCACATCCCGCCAGACCTCAAAGCGCGGGAGCATGCAGAAAGGACAGAACTTCTCAGTCTCATACGGTAGGCACGAAGACTCCCAGTACTTTTCGTAGCCCAGAGACACCTCTTTTGCATGGATGTCAAAGAGGGCGTCTACGATGCAAAGAACGATCTCGGACGACAGTCGGCGGGTGAGCCCGGGAGCGCCGGGTTTGGTTGATGCATGGTGATGAAGCGGAAGATTCTTGGCGGCGCCGTAGAGGGGAACGTGACTCCAAACACAAGGGCATCCGAATAAAGCCGGTACTTTCTCTGATGATGAAGCCATGTCTTGATGTGACGTTAGTCTCCGAAAGGTGGTAAGAATCGAACATCAGGACCTACTTGGTTGAGCCGAATGATGGCGGGCAGCAGTTCGATAATACGCACGTGAGAGACGGAGTAAAGCAGCTATAAAACCGCATTCATTATGAAATGGAGACGCGTAAGGCTGAAGTTGCAGTCTTGAAGGGGTAAAAGAGTGTGGGGAGAGACTGGGTGACAGATCGGAAAGAGAAGAAAATTTGGCGAGAGAGAAGAGGGCACATCGGTCTTTTCCCGAGAGTCATTCACGGAAATCTTTTCGTCTCACCTTCTCCGACCCCTATTCGTGACGAGCCCAGGGGTAGGCCTGCGTGTCATTCAAAGTGTCGCGCGATCAGAAACCGTGTCATCTAGCCGTTGGACTGAAGGGTCATTCCTTGCTGAAAGCATGTCGCAATGCTGCTTACTCATAACGTCGACGCCGGCATCGCCAACTCGGGACGAAATTAAAGTCCGAAGTTATCCTGACTGCAAGAAAGCTCGTTCGGATTTTTCAGTCTACGAGAAAATGATGACGAGATTCTCATCCGCCCGTTGACTTGAAAAGCCGATCCTCCGTTGCTGAATCTGAGCTCCAGGATGGCGGGTATGACGTGGGTATGTCCGAGGGCATCCAGAACCTATATCTGCACTACTAACGTCTGATATATGTGAGCAAACGATTCCCGGCTATCCCAAAATCATCTGAACCTTTAATCTTATCGAAGGAGGCTGCTGATGATCTCGTATTCCTGAAGATGTTACAACCGCTTGCCTCATTTCTTTCTTCCGAGGTATCACAAACAAGCAAGGTCCGACTAAAATGACCTTTTCGGTTGTACGAAACCATGTACGACATCATAAAACGTATTATTTTCGCATCAGGATCAGGTTTCAAGACTCCCTTGCTGCTATCTGCAACACCCATCGATGGAAAAGAATTCCGGTTGGTTGAGTTGGTGTTTACTGTGCCTCCCAGTAATTGCCTTTGTAGACAAGATATTTGAATGTCTGAGTGCTTATAAAGCTGGCAAATAACTCAGATGAATCAATCACAACCTCACATTCAACAGGCAGTTCTTTCAAGCACCGTAAAATGTCACCAACGCATCACAAGAAGTCGGTGAAGATGAAACAACAGGCTGTTGTCGGTACCTTAGGTGAAGGTGAATATATATAATGAACGATGTTGCCAAAGTCAGACAGCGGAATCGCAGCCGTGACTAACGGCGCTTCTCCTTATGCTACTGCGCTTGCCTTTGGTATGCTGCCAGCCATGTTGTTGTCCGTGTTGCTGCTTGTTCTCACTAGAGCCCCATCTCCAGTGGAAGCGTTTCACCGGGAAGATCGGCATCTGGATGTACGTCGTGCTCAAGATCCAACTCGTCCTGTCAACGATACGCAGAACACAGTCACGCCGGTCCATCAACCTGTGCAACCCACTTGCCACCACCAAGCTGGTTTCTGCACTTCAAGTATTCTCGTTCCCTGGCAAAATACTACAGTTGTGAGTTAAACATACCAAACATCACCCTTGAGACTTTTGTTGACAACGAAAGACAAATGGCTTGCCAGCACCCACCGTCCCAGCCACGTCTCAATGGGGCTTGACAACTACGAGCTCCGTGGACTCCATTACAACGGAAGACCTTATACCGTCGTCTAAGACGAGCTCACTCGCGGTATCTTCGGGCTTTCATAATACAACGTCGTCCAAATCAGGTACCGCGGAGACCACGTTGCTCCAAGAATCAACTTCTGGGACTTCAGGGTCATCCAAATCGAGTAGCACACTTGCCATCTCCATAACTTCACTATCTCAGACTACAAGCACCACAACAGAGACAAGAATCAGTGAGAGTTTGGTCATAAATACTCAGACATCGACACTACCAGCTCCAATTAACAGCACCTCCGCACTGCCAGGAGTCTTGCCAATTGGCTTCAGTACGACGAGCCAGTCTCTCAGCTCATCATCGACTTTCCCCATCATAAGCAGTTCCGAAACTTCAAGCGAAACGTCAACGCTGCCGACTCCGTCTACTGTTACTGAGCTTCCGACCGATGTGGTTCTGACCCCCTTTCCTACTAGTGATATTACCCAGACAACACCGTTCTACATCACAACCACCTCTCCAGGCGGCGACTCTCCCACCATCGTTCCCGGTAAGCATCTTATTGCAGTATTCGTCCTCTTGATGCTAATACGTGGTAGTCATTTTCCCGCTCGACAATCCTTTACCGGTCATATGCTTCGGATGCATCATTTCTTTCCCTCCCAATCTTGTACTCAACACCCCTCGATTTTGCATCCAGTTTCTTGGTTTGAAGATCGGCAACTGTCCCCCAAAGAAGGATAATGGCGGCAGCAGCGACGGCGACGACGACGGCGGTGACAATGATGATGAGGAATCGAAGTCGAAAACAAAGGACGAGGCTTCATCGGATAAGTCAACCGCAACTTCCACGTCAACCTCAACTTCAACTTCATCCTGCACCACCATCGTAACAGCAACCCACCAGAGCGTCTTCTGCTCTGTGACCGTCACTCAAGGTAGATTTCAACTACTCCCAATCACTGGTTTATTCATGCTAAATGATCAAATTTACACAGGGCCTGGAAGTCAGCAGATTTCTCAGACAGTTGGCACCTGCATGACCAGCGCCTACACCACAATCACAGGCTGCAGCGCGATGCCGGTAGCAACAACGGTAACAGCAACATCGACAACAACAACCAAATTCCCGGAGCCGACATGCGAGTTTTGGACTTGCGGCGGCGGCGCCTGCCCTGCGAGGACCAAATCAAGACCCAAGGAACAGGTTCTGAACGCCTTGGGGAAACGCGGGATCCCGGCTCAAGGCGAATGGCCGGACCCGAGCGACATGGATGAAGACTTCGACAGATTCATCGGCGACCAGCTGGCAATCATCGAAGACTTTACGCCAATTCCTGCAATACACACCGGATACGAGCCCAAGATCGTGGAGCACGCCACTGGCATGACTACGTCTAACTACGTTCTCTTCCAAAGACAAGTCACGGCACTTGCATTGCAAGGCCTCTATGGCTGTACCGCCGTCGTCATCGTGTCTCAGCGTGGCGCATGGGCAGCTCATATTTGGGAGACAGACATGGATAACATGAACCGGTACATCAACAGGATACAGACGGGAATCAATTTCGGACTTCATCCCCAACCCGGCCGCCCGGGTCATGACGTTTTCAAATATGGCTTGGCTGATTTGTACGGGGAGCCCGAACTTGGTCCTGTGGGTACAATGTTTGGCGAAACCGATGATTACTCCCAATGGACAATGTCTCCACGCGACCTCAACACGCGAGCCTTCATCATCGCTCCTCGTGAAAGGGTCGAAAGAATGGTGGCCGGCATGATCGTTCCCGAATCGATTGTCAACGATCCAAATTCCAACGTGGGTATCCTCATGTATCCTGAAACAGTCGAGAAGCTCAAGAGCCTCATTCTTGAGAATTTCGACGACATCCCAGTAGAGATCGTTGAGTACTCACCGGCCGTTGTGTCATACGCGATCTTCATGGAATACATCAGCCCACATACGACTGCGGAAAGGCGAAGACAACTCGAGAAAGAAGTCCCAGAATATCACACTTACAACCAGTTTCTCGAACCTAATGGGAAACTTCTTCTTCAGTATCGGCCAGCCAGAACGTGCAACGATCAGGCTGCTTGGAGGCTTTTTATTGAGGACCACCAGGTCGGCGGCCGGACTGATCAATGGACCCCGAACGAGGGTCAGATCTTCGAACGCCTGTTACACGAGAACAAGCATCGCAGGCAGGCTTGTCCGATTCCAACGACAAAGAAGAAAGTCGGTGGCTCCTCCCGCGCGTCAAAACCAACCCGCCCCGCCTCCTCTCAATTTGGTCTGCCATCTCAGTCACTCGGTGCGAGTCAAAGCATCAGCCATAACACAACTCAAAGTGGCTCGATAGGCATATCATTTGGAACCGGATCATCGTCTCAATCCGTCTCCATGACGCAAGGCTCCAATTTCACTACCACTCGACGGCATAGCACTCTCAGCACCAGTCCGAGTTCAGTATTGGCTTGGATCACGATAACCGTAGAGCCACACGTGAAAAGTTCGGCTCACAAAACGACAGCATCTACTACAACCAGTGCGTCAACATCAAGCTCCTCTGATCCCAAAACATCAGGTTCGTCAACCACCTCAACCAAGTCGGAAGAAAGCACGCCAACGCCCGGACGCCTCATGCCTCTGTCTCCATCATCCTCGTCTCCATCGACCGCGACAGAAGAGAGCAAGCCAACCTCCGGGCGTCTCATGCCGCTATCTCCATCGACTTCAAGTTCTTCCTCATCGCCTTCTCCTCCATCAACCAAATCAAAAGAGAGCAAACCAACTCCTCCACCACCACCACCTCCTCCTCCTCTTCCAAAGCCCACCGCAGGAGTCGCCATTTACTGGCAAGTAGCCTATCGTCCCGCAGAAAGAGGAAGCCGAACCGGACACTGGATCATGGTCGAACCCCCCGGAGAAGGCTCCAAATTTGACGTCTGCAAAGCCAAGGTAAACCTCGGATCCGCCATACCACGCCACGACATCAAGGAGCAGCCGTGGCCGCCCAGCTTGAAAGACTTGAAAACGGCACACAACCGTAAGGACTGTAAGTATGTTGCAGATGACAACGGCCCCGGCAAGTTCTCGTGTGATGGGCTGTCCGAGTTCAAGTGTGAGAAGGATCCGTCTTATGATGCTGGCAAGCTCTCGTCGTCTGTGAGCTGTGGATCGGGGATCAATCAGAGCAGCTGGTACTCCATCGTCATCTGTTGGTTTCCTACGAAGTGAGTGGGAAGTTCCAGGGTCTCGGAGCTTTTACAACATGTATACCAGTACTAAATGTAGCGAATTTCCATTTCTCGATGAAGAGATTGATGTTCTGTCTCTATCCTGACTGATTGCATACTCTTTCTCTAATGGGATAGACTGCTCTCGAAGCAAATGTGACTGAACATTTGTGTCTTGGATGCCATTCTGAACTATAACAATCGCTCCGAGCACAATCATAAAATGCGATTTCGCAGCTCTTGGTCGACATCAATCACCTAACCAGAAAAGACTCGATAATGCGTCACAGCCTGGATCAGCGAAGCTAGCTAAAGCTTTTCTCAACACCATTTCTGATAGGTGGAAGTCCACACCATCTCGGGCTCAGCCGCAGTTCTCGGTGAGACAAACGGCCCCGTGGTTCAGTGAAAGAACAGTTGGAGAGCAAAGACGGCTTGCTGCCTAATAGAAATCATCCACGGAACTCTATCGTCGAAGGATCCAACCAGATTTTGAATATATCCCATCCCTAAGCGTCGCGGACTCGGTCGATACGCACCCACCGAACCGCCATGAACTATGCCACCTCTGGGCAGCATTTGCGATGGCCTCCGTATCCCCGGTATACATACAATCAATGGAAGACGGAACTCGAGAACGGCTTCGATCCAAACACGACATGGGCCGGTTCCAACGATCGATCGCCTCTCTTCATCGCAGTTCTCACAGGCGATATCAATCTGACGGCACTCCTGTTGAACTACGGCGCCCAAACCGAAGATTACAACGACAACGGCATGACAGTCCTCCACGAAGCAATCCTCAAGGGCCATGAAGAAATCGCAAAACTTCTCCTGCGCTGTGGAGCTAATCCTAACCTCCCGATCATCCGGCCCATCTCTCGCTTTCCTCCTCCCTTCTATCCCGGATCCACAGCCCTTCATCTCGCCGTACTCGAGGGCCTTCTAGACGTGGCTAGGTGTCTGATGCATCACGGCGCGGACTCACAGGCTATGACGCTCGTAGGCTGGACGCCGGTCGACGTCGCGGTTCTGGGCCGGCAGACATCAATGCTGGAGATCCTACTGGACGGGTGCAAGTTCGAGCTTTTCGAATACGGAGGCCAGAGAGACGAGTCATCAGAGGAGGGTGAAGTAGAGATCACGCGCCATCTCCTCGAGAACGGGATTCGGGGAACGGGTGCCAGGCACGTGTGGTTCTATCGATGCCAGCTGTGCCGCCTTCTCAGCGACCCGTCTATCGCGGAGCAAGGTAGTAGTCAACTGGCGCGATTCTTGATCCGTGAGATGAGTGATTGTTTGATGAAGCGGGCCCGGAAACCGTGTCAAATGACGTGGGACAGGAAGTTGTGCGAAGCATGTGAGACTTTCGAGACGCTGGACTCGGATAATGTCTTCAACGCCTTCGAACACAGCCCGAACGAGGCCGCCTTGGCGCTCTCCGCGAATAAGGGGTGTAACTTCTGCCAGTTCCTTCTCGACGCCTTGCAGAACCACCCCGACCCTTCGCCAATACAAGAGAATTGGCTATGGCAACAGTTCGGATACGACTCGAAGGTCAGCCTCCGCATCGAGAGGAAACCGTGGCGTCAGGGGTATAAGATGCGGATCATGTGCGGCGAGTCCGCTTCGACCGTGAAACTCGACTACGTATCAAGTATGTGTGCATAACTTACCTTACTATGGGATGTGGCTCACAGCGCGTCTAGGACAGATCAACGAAGCCGTGGCGAACACCGCCCCCTCGGACGTGGGCGGGACTGGTTCGGACAGAAGCTTCGCCATCGCGAACGCCTGGCTGAGGGGATGTCAAGACGACCACCCATCATGCTACCACCCTACGGAGCTAGGCCAGCTTCCTACTCGAGTCATCGACGTCGGCTCCGAGTCCAGTCCCCCGTATCTGTACCTCACAGCACGAGAGCGGATTCCATACGCCGCGTTGTCGTATTGCTGGGGCGGCCAAGGAAACACCCGCCTCCTCTCCACGAACGCAGATGAATACCGCACCCGCTTACCCTCCGAATCACTCCCTCGTACCATATCCGAAGCCATCGAGATCACGCGTAGGATGGGCGTGCGGTATCTCTGGGTAGACGCGCTGTGTATCATGCAAGACTCCACCTCCGATCTTGAACAGGAGCTCTCTCGGATGGGCGATATCTACTTCAACGCGTGGCTCACCATCGCCGCCAAAGACTCCGCCGAGTCCTCGCAAGGCTGCTTTCGCGAGAGGGACTGGCACAGTAGCGCGCTCGTACCGTTGAATCTCCGACTTCCCGAGAGGGTCGCGCAGAGCAGGCTTCAGGACCAGGGCGACACCTGGCTGACCCGCGCGCCGCTCGTCAACACGCGGACGTCCGGCGTGAACAGGCTCATGGCGATGCCGAGGTGCAGAGCTTCGCCCCAGGAAACCCCGATCCTCGAGACCCGGGGCTGGACGTTACAAGAGGAGTTGTTATCACGCCGGATGCTCATTTTCGGCAAGGACGAGGTGAGCTGGGTGTGTCTCGAGACGGCGTGCTCGGAGCGCAGACAGACGGACGTGGAGGTACGGTCCGACTCGACGTGGCAGAATAACTGCCGGCGCATCGTGAGCCAGGGAGTCGAGGATAACCGGACGACGTTCAAGGTGTCGAGGCCGCAGGTCTGGGCGTACTGGCTCGATACGGTAGAGAGCTTTTCCCGCCGCAGGCTCTCCGATAGGAGGGACAAGGTCGTGGCGTTGGAGGGTGTGCAGCGCGCCATCGGGGTGTGTCTGAACGATGTGGGCGTGGCGGGGGTTTGGAGGCGGCGGTTCTTCTGGTCGAGTCTGCTCTGGCGGGTGGAGGGCGAGGGGGAGGGGGGTGAGGCTGTGGGCTGTTTTGCGTGTCCTTCTTGGAGCTGGGCAAGTAGAGAGGGGCCGGTGAGGTATCGGAGGTTGGAGTGTTCTCCGGACAAAGCAAAATATCATGGTCGAGTGGTTGAGTGGAAGATACAGGACCGCGGACGAGAGGGTATTGAGGGATGTTTGAGGATACAGTGTAAGCTTTTGAGAGAGGACGACTTGAAAGGTCTGAAGTATTTCTTGCGGCCTGGTGAGAGTCTGCGGCATGACCCAAGTGCGGTAGCCGGTGTCCGCGTTGAGGTCTTCTCCGACTTTGCTGATTTTTCCCGGCTCAGGAATGGCTGGCTGATGCCGGTGAGATCGGTTACTAACCACAGGGCGAATCACATGTCGAGGTATCGGAACGAGACGTTGTCTGTGGAAACACATTTGCTGTACTTGGAGAAGCTGAAGGCTGATCGGATGGAGTTTGAGAGAGTCGGGCTGGTTGTGGTAAGATCGCCGACGCTGGAATGGATGGATCTGGCGAAGAGGGATATTGTACATCTGTTTTGAGGATCGATGTCATTATGGTGAGATGATATCAATGACCAGATTACAAGGGTGGCTGCATTGTATTGCGCGGCATATTGCATTTGTTGAGGATCGATGTCATGTTTTCTGATATTGGGCACTGAGGTTTCAACACTATACTCAATATAAGTTGAAATATCGAGTTTGGCGAAGACTCGTGGAAACATGGATCTTAGTCTACCTCACCATGTAAAACCGTCTCGTTCATATGCGCCATCGAACCCCCCCGTAGTCTGACTCCTATCCCGTTTAGACCTCTTTTCCCAACCTCATCATGCATCCAGAAGTCGTATATCATGCAACCCAAAAACCCCTCCAATCCGCACCCAACTCCTTCCCATGCCAATCCCTCCGTGAGACCTACTCACAGCCGTCCAGTGCCAGGCGGCATCCTAATCCCCAAGCTAGCCATCCCCGCGGCGCTCGTCACCCGCGCAGCAACCTCGTCAACCCGGGCCCGCTGCAGACTGAACCCCGGCGTAACCCACCCGCCGCAACTGCACCGAAACCCCTTCCAACTATACCGTCCGACGGCAGCGCCGCACTTGGCGTTGGGACAACACAGCCGTCCCTCGAGCGCCCCCTTCTCCAGCTCCTCCCTCATCCAACTCAGAGGTTCCACGAACCAGTGCCCGCAAGCCTGCTGCTGCTTCGACTTCTGCCCCTCGGGCTCATGCTCCAGCACGAACCGCGGCGTCGCCAGCGTCCGTCTGCACTTCTTACACCTCAACTCCTTCCCCTGCACCGCACCGCCCCCCTCGCCCTCCCCGACCTCCTCGTCCTCGAACCGCAACCTCGAAGGCGCCTGCCCCGCCGCCAGACTCTCGTCGATCTCCCGCTGGAAAGCCCACCGCCGGTACACCGGATGCCCCTCCACATCCTCCGGGCACCCCATGGCCCACCACATCTCGAGCTGCCGCGCGAACCCCGGGTTCGGCTCCGCGATCTCGCGCGTCCTGCGCACCCACCTCACGGCCTCCTCGACCGCGACCCGCGCGCGTTCCGAGGTCTTTTCGTCGAGCTTCTGCGTCTTCCGCGCCGCAAGCGTCGACGCCGCGGACCGTCCGAACCGCGAGGGGTGCTTCCACAGCAGGTACGCCACGACCACGGACACGGAGCGCGACTTGCCCATCGCGCAGTGGACGTAGACGGCCGGCGGGCGGTTCTCGTCCGTCTCGAGGGTCAGGTCCTTGAACTCGGGCGGTGGGGCCGGGGCGGCAGCGGCGGGTGTGATTGCGTCTTCGTCGCTTTCCGAGGCGTTCGCGTCGTGTTCGACGGCTTTTTTGAGCGTGTTCACCTTTTGCTTGAAGTTCTTGTCTCTCTGCTCGTCGTCGTCGTCATCCTTCGTCGAAGCACGTTTGGCTGCTGCTTCGCCGGGGTACAGCGCCTCGTCGATGAACCTGACGGCCTGGGGGAGGTGGACCAGAAGATCCGAGTCCTCGACGTCGTCGATGTCGATGATCATGTGCTTGTAGTTCTTGCCGTAGTTCTCCCAGGTGTCGGTCTCGCTCTTGAGGCCGAGGGGATCGAAGCGCACCACGGAGAGGATGTGGGTGATGTTGCGCTCCTTGAGGGCCGAGGGGCGGCGGAGGGCCCAGATGCTGTGGTCCCTGTCAGACTTCACTCTCATGTTGATGTGATGAGCGACTCACCCGCCGACGTAGAGCTCGTCGTCCCCGTCCACGCGATTCAGCGCCATCTCGATACAGCTCTTCCTGATGAGTTGGTGTAATGCCTCGGCCTGCGCCTGCCCGTCCAGATCCTCGAATGAAATCGCCGGCTTCTCGGCGTGCTGCTGCTGCTGCGGCGGCTCCTCGATCTCCTTCGTCCTCTCGCTCGTGTCTACACCCATGCAGACTCTCAAAAACGACACGGCGCAGCGAGAGTCGTCGAAAGAACAAGTCGCAAATTTGGTATGTCTCGTTCACCGCCGGTGTTGATGCCCGCCACAATTTACACAGAGATATGAATGACGCACTCCTCAGAACACGGACTAAAGCTTCATTCACCAGCCAAGCAGAAAAAAAGGTGCCGTCGCCGGAAGAGTCAAGTCTCCACTTTTACCAACTGCCCCTCGCCAAAGCGACAGATCGGTACGTACCTGACAGGTTCGGATGCTTCCCCTCATTGCCCCTCACCGCCGACTCCACTAAAAATAAAATAAAATAAAAAAAAGCACGGCGACTTCGCCACAGTTCAGACGTGGCTTGTAGGGCTGAAGTCATGTGACACCACGGTAAGGTACCTTCAGCTGGCGGCCTCATTCATCGACGATGATGAAGCGCATAGGAGCACGGCATCACGGCATCACCGAGTCCCTTGTAATGGAAATTGGCCGAGAATGTTTCACCCGAGGAAACGATTCGATCGGCTGCCTCTACCGAGGCTTCATCTCTTCAAGTCTTGATGGATCGTCAAGCGAGATACTCATCCGCGGTCTACCTCTCAGCCCATCCCTTGGTAGCAGATCGTCATTCTCCAATCTCACGAGAGACGCAGTGACAGTGCATTATTAATTTGTTTGAATATTCTTTGTTATATCTCAGTTATTTTTGTTCCGTACCGATCGACTTGTTTTTTTCCCTTCCATATGTGCCCGTACAAAATACAACGCGGGCTTGCCGCGACTCTAGTGCCGTCATGTCATCGTGCCGCTCTCCCCCTGCTCTGGCCCGAGGCCTGGTATTTCCTCCAAATGAAAACATGATGCGCAACTAGACAACCTCCATAAAACTGTGTGTCCGGTGCCTAAAAGCCCCTGCTGCAATCGCCAGAACTCCAAAGGCTCCGAAATTGGCTGCCATCCACCTGTGATGTCAACCACGTACTTGGCCCAGCTGCTTCCTCAACTTTTGATATGCCCAGACTGCCGGCATGACGTCTCCCTCGCTGTGAAAAGCGGTATCCCGTTTCCCTTTGTTGAGCCAATTTTAACGAAACAAAGTCGGATGTAATGTCGCGATCCGTCAGGATGCCTTCCGAAAAGCTATTCGCTGCCGCCGACTATCGCTATGCGTGGCGGGGAACCATTGATTGCGCTGTCTCAAGTCGCCAATGACGTCCCCCTTTCAGTCGTTTCCTCCGCTCGAATTCAACGTTCCCCGCTGTATCCTTGCGAAATGACTCGTCGTCGTGTGGTCTCGCGGACCTGATCATAAGCCCGACCATCTTGACTCGACTGCACGCGAAGCGTCCGGGGTCAACTCCGGGGGCCCCTTTGCGGTATGATAGCGTCGTGGACCGATCATCTACCTCGGAGTAGGATCCTCATCCAACATGCAGGCGTTCTCGAGCATGTTGGTCCACTTGCCACTTGTTCCAGCGTGGCTGTGCTTCAAGTGCTGTCGGAAGTGATCCGCACGGTAGAACTTCTTGCTGGCGTTGCACTCGCGGAACTTGTGAACCTCCTGGAGATGGCGAATGCGCTCTTCCCAATCCTGGTCCGTGGCGTGGCGAGGTGCCGTCGCCCCGGGTCCTCGGCCGTTGCGGGGGAACTCCTCGCCGCAATAGCCACAACTGTCGGCTTCGCCAGGACGGTTGGTACTGTCGTGGAAGGCTCGGTCGTAACTGTTCAGAGCAGAGCAGCTCCAGCTGTGTCTACGCACGTGCAGACTGTTCTGGTGACGTTCCGCCTCGTTCTTGTTCTTAAACCGGTTTCCACAGAATGAGCATTCGTATTGCTTCTCTGATTCGTGAGCCCTGTATCGTGTAAGCACATGTTCAACGGCACATCAGGCAAGCGGACTTACTGTAGTTCTTCCGGCGTCTCAAACTTCTTCGGCTTCTTGGGGCAGCAGTCGCACATGAAGAAGCCGGAAATCTTTGCGTTTCCGGGCTTGCTCACTTCGGCAAGCTTGCGGGGGGAAGCCAAAGGCCGGCTTTCGCTGATGGTCCTCTGGTGCGGAGCGCGGGACAGAGAACCTCGAGGCGAAGGGTTCAAAGACATCGACGCACTGTAAGGTGAGCTACAGCTGGGATCGGTGCCATTAGGCGAGATGCCGCCGGGCGAGAGACCACCAGGGGAAACGCGTCCGTAGGATGTGTTCATGCTGGCGATGCTGCCGGTGAGAAGCGACAGGTTGGAGCTGTAGGAGCCGGCACGTCCGCTGGAGGATACCGAAGAGACGGATCCTTGAGGAATGGCGCTAAGCCGGGGCGTCGGTGAACCTCTCGAGTTGCCATCCCGGCGACGCATCAGATCGCCCTGAGTTGTGAAGCCAATGGGGACGCTGTCGTCGGGGTCCGCGGATGCGCGGCGCTTTGCCCCCGCGCCATCGTAGTGGGCTCGCATAGGGTCCTCGATACGCAATCTCTTCATGGAGTTTGTCTCTTCCATTTCCATATCCTCCACCTCGTATGAATGCGAAGACGCATCGTCGCTGTTGTTTCTTCTCGACCTTTGAGGCGGTGACCTGTCGAGGTCTGACACGGAACGGGGTGACCGGTAGTCGCCGAGATGGAATGGCTGACTTCTCGGGGATGGCGAGACAGCGGATTGGGGGGTTTGTGTGAGCCTGTCGGGCGAATCCAACATATTTGTCTTGAGGTGGTACGGCAGGTTCGTGGTAGGGAGGGAAAGCGGAGCTGCGCGCTGGTCACCGGACAACCTTCTCGTGAAAGGATCAGTAGCAGAGGCGCTAGAGGCGCTGAGCAGAGACACGTTCATTTTGTTATCAAAAGTCTTGAGGGGGTCGAGCTTCTTCTTCATGTCGGTGAAGGCATCGGCGCCAGATTGGAACTGGAACTTGTTGTGGTGAAGTCCGAAACCTGCGGCGATACTGGGCAAGGAGCATTCAGATCTGGGGACGCAACGTTAGCATACGAGTCCTCGTGTACGCCTGGGTTGGCCTTCAAGACCTGCCAATAATTGGCAGCTTACCTAGAAGAGCCAGAGCTCATGCTTGCGTATCCCTCGTCTCTTTCGTGTCTGTGACCAGCTCCCTTGTAGTTCGGTCTCTCGTCGAAGCTGTTCATGCTCCCGTAGCCACTGGCGTCCCTAGGGCTGTAAGATGATGGATCGCGGTGCCATTGCCTGGGTTCTTGGTACATGGTGTTGTGTGGCTCGAACGGCAATCGCGGGGGAGGTAGCGGCGGAGGAGCGTCGACGGGCCCTCTGTCCGAGCCGGGAATAGATCGAGCTGCCGAAGACGAGTACATGCCGTACTCTGGCCGGTCGGATGATCTTGGGTTTGGTTCTATATGGATGCTGGGGAGGCCAACGGGCTCCCTGTAACGTGATGGCGCCTCCATGATGTCGGCGAATATCTGTGCAATGCCAGCTGAGGTTTATGACGATGACAGCTGAAGCTGAGGCGGAGGCCACTAGGGTTTATAGTGACAGCACGTTCGTCATGGGGTGATGGGCGAGGGAAAAGGGGATTGAGATCGCGGCGGGATACGAGATGTATCCGGGGCCAAGGCGGTCGTCGTGCAGGCCGAGGGTGGCGATGAAGGTCGGGTTCGCCGTTGGTTGGAATTGGAGTCGGAGGGCCAATGGCGATGAGGATGGCAATGCCGATTCGGGTGCCGATGCCAATGCCAATAAATGCAGGTCGAGTCGAAGACGTCTTCCTGTCTCTATTCCTCTGTTGTTGGTTTTACCCTTAGCCGCAGCGGACGGGTTCTTGGAGAAGAAAAGACCAAGACAATTCCAGCGAGGGCGGAAGGAGAGGAGCCGACAGGTGGAGTTGGAATGTCGGGAATTCGAGGACGAAGACGCGGTCGAGTGGTTCGTAGACGGCTGTACGGACTAGACAGGTCGACAAGCAGAAACAATAAAGGACCGGACGGCGTCGAGGAATGCGAAGGCCAAATGTCGTCGGAGGAAGAGGAGTGGCCGAAGCTGAAGCTGGACTGAAGCTGCTGCTGGGGTGGGCAGAGTTCAAGTCGAGTCGAGTCGGGATCGAGTTCCAGTTCGTCGTGGGGGGAAGACAAGCTGAAATAAGAGGCGATGCGTGACGACGACTGGACGGGACGGGAGTGACTGAGTGGTGCCCTGGGTCCTGGGTGAAGGTAAGGTAGGTAATAGTAGGTGGAATCGGCAGAAATGTGCTGAACCCCCCGTGCTTTAAGGCAAAAGAGACCAGGACCTCCTTACGGGGCGGATGGATGCTGTCTCTATCCTTGTCAAGCGCTGCACGCTGGCCCCTACTCCTACTACCTTACTATGTACGGTATCCGTAGTGTACACCTTAACGTCGCAGTGGGCGGTACCTTGGCTCATGTATACTATTCAGTACCATGTACCTCCTTGGCTGAGGAACGGTGGGCGTGGGAGTTGGTGGAGAGGACCTGACCTGGGCTAAGACTAAGAAGAGCAGGGCTCCTGTCGGCAAGTAGCAACGCCCAGCGGTAAGGCGATGGAGATTGGGGTGAAGGGTGAGGGGAGGGGTGTGTGTGAACCGTTCTGCCCTGTAAGGTACCTCCTCTTTGGACGTGAACACTGAGCAGCCGGTTTTCTTCCCCTCGAGCTTGTCTTTGGATGTTTCTTTACAGAGACAGATCGGTAGCCAGGCCAGGCCAGACCAGACCCGAACAGGACGGGACAAGACAAGACGTGAACGAGGCACCACGCCGTATACCCTTTACCTCAAGAGAGAGTATGAGGACAGGATGAGGGCAAAACAGGAGAGGAGTGAATGAAATAGAAACGGCTAATGGGTACAGAGTAGATGCCCAGGTAGGCAATCCAAGGTTGCGGTAGCGGGATAGTGTAAGGTAGTGTCGGCAGGCTGCTGTAAGAGGAATAGGATGCGGAAAGACACTGACTAGCAGCCAGCCAGGGACCTCGACGGTTGTTGGCGTGTGGCTGTCTTCCAAGGTAGGTCTGGCTGTCTATCCGTAGGCAGTACGCAGTACGGATAGGCTGGTGTACCTAGTGTATCCGTAGCGCAATGCAGGAGACGCAGCCCTGTCTGTCAATTTTGAGTCGGGGTGGGCAGTTGACGGGGGCTTGGGATTTGGGATTCGGGACTGAGAAGGGAATGCCTGGGGTGCCGGGACAGGAGTCCAACGTTGACGACGAGGATAAGAACGGGGGATGAGAGTCGAGGACGAGGACGAGGACGAGGACGACTCGGTCGAGGACAAGGGGCGGACGGAGAACGGGGACGGGGGACGGGGACGGGGGACGGAGGGTATGGGGTTGGCTCGGATCGTGTGTTCGAGAGAGGGGTTTTATTGATATTATTGTTATGCCGCCGCTCTGCTGTTGCGACAGGCCATCCAGGCGTACAGAAGACAAGGTAAGGTGTGTGTGATGCGTGTGCGCGTACCAAACAATGAGCCTGAGTGAGCGTATGGTGTGAGTGTGAGTGTGAGCGCGAGTGATGTATGAGTGAGTGTGTGTCAATGTCGTTCCTGTCTGTCCGAGATGCGGTACTTTGAACGGGACGGACACCGGAGGTGGTGTGGTCAAGTCAGGTTAAGGTAAGCCTGAGCAAGGTAAGATACCTTACGTCGAGCAGGACCATGTAAGACTAGGTAAGAAGATACTTGGAGGTAATAAGCATGACGGCGGGACGTGAGATGTCGGTGCGGTGCAGTATGCGGCGGTATGGTGTTGTTGACGGGCGTCAATATTGCAGTGAAAAGTGTCAGAGAGAGGGCGATTGCTGCTCTTTATCCGTGAAGTGACGGACGAACAGAGCAGAAGACCTCAGGTTCTTGGTTTCTGGATACGGCCCAGGCAGAAGAGAAGAAACTTGCAGCATCCAACTCAGGAAACTGGAACAGAGTCGGCGAGCACGTACGGTAGGGTGGAGTGAGATGCGTCTGGTGAGGTACTTTGAGGTAAGTTCAGCTGATCATTTCAATTTCAGCCTGGCTGTTGCTTCCACGCGCATTCCTTTCCTCCCACGACAGCAGCAACGAGAAAAAGGGATCTTTAGGGACGAGATTGCGGCACGGAAGAGGAGAATCTGCGCGAGACGCCCAGGCACGATGAGACGGATACCCAACGAGGAAAGGGTGGTTCGTAAGAGCGGTTGCTACCTGGTTTGGAGATGCACCTAGGAGAAGACGCACGACGCAGGCAGAAGAGGAGAAAGCTGTTGCCTCTTACGAGCCCGTGTGAGTGAGGGCGTCTCGCTTTCGTGTCGTGATAACGGGGCAAGAAGAAGAACCTAAGGCTAAGAAGCGATAGCCAGGCAGAGGGGAATGGAGTTAGTTCCACCATCATGAGGTGAGATATTAGTATTAGTCGGGCACCGCAAGGCAGAACAAGAACGGAATGGGGACTTGAGTGTTCAGAAATCGCCGACAGGTGCTTTCCCTGCCTCTCATTCCACGGCAGGTTCCGATGACGAAACGGCTATTAATCTAGCCAAGGTAAGGTAATTAATTACTGGAACAAGCAACTTCGAAGTCATCCCCAAAGAACAACAAGAACGGGCACAGGAGAGGAACCAAAAGAAGGGAAGAAGGTCGGCAGGTCAAGGGTGCCCTATTGGGCTTAGCGGACATGGAGACTGAACAGTGAAGGAAAGGACACTGGAAAGGACAGGGAAGGACAGGGAAAGAAGGACAAGACCCAAGGTCACAATGCACGGCGCACGGTGCAGGTATGGGGCAGGGCAGAGCAGGGGTCGACGGCCCTGAGTGGGTACGCAAGCTCGAGGGTGGACCCGGTGGATCCCAAGTGTTTCTCTGCAGGGCAGTGGCCGTCAACTCTCGTCCCGTCGTTCTTGCTGTTGCTGTCGTTGTCTCGGCCTCTTCCTTGACGTTGAAGTACCTGACTCTGTATAGAGTACGGATCAAGGAAGAAACAGAGAAAGAGTACGAACACGACTACACAATATCATACCTTATCAGGTCAGATACCCCGGCATAAGGTACGGCAAATGCGACGCAACGCTCAGTATTTCTTACTCATCCGTCATCGTCCGACTTTTTTGCTTAGGAAAGCAATAGCAGAAGTGGTATTAAACCTACGTGCTCGGTAAGGCAAGGAGGCAGAAAAAGAGGACGACTGGAAGCTCACGACTGGAAAGACGGGGCGTGGTCGTTCACGAGGGGCGGGGTGTGTTCGGAGTGCAGTCAAACCAAAGCATGGGGCGTGTCTCTCCTAAACCAATGAACGATATCCTAAGAGGGTGTGAGATGAAGAGAAAGGGGGAGGGGTGGGCTCGTCGATGAGGTGGGGTGCATTCTAGCCCTGTGCTGCCCTCCCACACCACGAAGCGGGAAGACAAGAGCGACGGTGGAACGTCGAGGTGGGATTGGGGTCGTGGACTCGTGCTACCTTCCACAGGTACTTCGGCTCAAGTAGTGCTTTCCCTGAGTACGCCTGCCTACCTGCCTACCTGCCTACTGCCTACCTACCTGCCTTCTGATCTGCTGGAAGTCACCACCACATCGCTCTTACCTGCTTCATCAGACCACCTAGGCTGAGTGTCCCGGAAGCAGGAACCGCATGGACGGGTACGTACCCGAATCATTTCGAAGCCGAACGAAAGCTTCTACCAAAACTTCCACAACATCTGGCACCAGCATCACCATCTTGCATCTGCGGCTTGCGACCGAGAAATGTGGCCGTGGCCGTCTGCCCTCGACGTTCAGACTCCAGACTCGCAGCACCGAGTGCCAAAGTGCCATTCTGCTCCACAAATTCGCATTCCTCCACCTCAACCCTCACCTCACAGGCTCACGCTCGACTCCTCCATGTCAATCATCGAATCCCGCCCCTGTCAGCCGTCACTGACGCTGTCACTGCTGTCACTCCAATCCTGATCTGGGCTCTGACTGTGTTTTTCTCCTCCGGCTGCCTGAGCCTCGATTGGCAGTCGTTCTCGCCTTGTCAACATGGTCCTCTTTTCGGCTTCGGCCCCCGCCTCACCACATCAGCACTGAGCAAGGCAAACACCAACAGTCATCATCGTCATCAGCACACAAGTACCATCACCATCAACAACACTCTTCACCCTTGACCTTGACAACAGTCACGACTGCGACCCACGAACGGCAATCATCGTGGACCTCACCGTCACTGGCGCGACTCGGCCACTCTCCACTACCTCGCCAGGACATAGTCTTGGAGCCGCGGTCCATCTCCCAGGAGCCCTCCCCTCCCCTTAGAGAGGTACCCCTACATCGGCACGCGCCGTCTTTTACCATATCGGCCACGTACCAGGACTTCGCTTCCCACCTGATCTTGACCTTCGACCTCCGCAAGCCTTCACTGCATTTTCCCAGCCGTTTGCTCAGGCCCTGGTGGATCCTTGGCATCAACCATTGGGCTCCGCGTTATTGTCGTCGTCGTCGTCGTCGTCAACCCTCGACCGTCAACGTCGTCTTGACGCTTGAATCAGAAACTCCATTTTCCAGTCCCGGTCTGCTACCAGCTTTGCAATTTGCCGCAGCATTCAGTCGCATGGATACGGGCTTCCTTGCTCGTCAACCATGTCTCTACAAGGCGGCGAATAAGACTAGACAATTCCCGAATCCGAGGATGCCTCTTCATCAACGACGCTAAAAGAGTCCATACCGATACGGAGC